AAAAGGGGCGCTGAGTAAGCGAAGCTAAGCTCCCTAGTACCCCGTACATACGACACACCCCCCAGAGGCTTCTAATTCTATATACAAAGGAAATAGCTAGTAAAGTACTCCCACGGAGCCCCCTAGCCAAAAGGAGTGTATATGTGGTCTATCTCCCCTAATTGAGAGCTAAGAAACCGTCATTCCCTAACGCCTCACATTAAGCTTAATAGAACCAAAAGGGGTAGGAAGCAGAGCGTCCCCAGACGTCTCCGGCAGTGCACTCAGTCCCAAAAAGCCTAGCCTCCAGCCCCGACGGCTCCGCAAGCCCAAAGCCAGGAAAACCACATCGTACGCACCATTAACACTCAAAGTCCCCTGGTAACTTCCCTCCATTCTTCATCCAACCCTTCTTCTCACAAGCTGCCCACGTAGCTTCTCGTATCCCTTTGCCAAGCGTTCTCGTACGGCCTTCAATTCCTCGTCCGTAGGCTGTGGATCAGTTTCCTGGTACAAGGAACCACCCATCCCAGATATTCTAATACCGAGAGCTTTGCATTGACCAATTCGATTGCTCTGACAGCGTACTCCTGAGCCTGAACGAGTAATTCTTCCTTGATATCGTAAAACGAGCTGGACGTGGAGCTCTTGGTCGTGCTCCCTTCTCTGCTTCTGGCCTCCCATCGCATCCCATATCGCCAATGGAGTGTTTTCGCTCAATATTCGATTGCTCAATCATTTGATCGATCGTGAGAGGTGGGGGGGGGCCTCTGCGGAGAGCAGGTGAGAAGCTTCTGGAGCATCGCACCATACGTTTCGAAAGGTGGAGTTGATTTTAAGCTCTGCGTACCACGCAGGGAAGCTTCTGCGATCAGTAAGGCGTATATCGGAGACTGGTGGAGCTGCCATTCTGAAGAGAGGAATAAAGGATGAGAAAACCAGGTGAAACGTGTCCTTCTGGCGGTCACGACCGTGGGAGAACAAACCGCAATTACTAGAACGCTTACTAATTGCTAATAGAGGTGTGCAGCTAGTGCGCCGGGCTCATAACTATCGCAAAATAGCAAAGGAACAGTGATTTGCATAAGTGGTTGTCTGATTAAAAGAAGCTCTAAAGGGAGCCTCTGGATCTAGCTAAATAAAAGGGGCCGCTGAGTAAGCGAAGCTAAGCTCCCTAGTACCCGTACATACGACAATAATTATATTTATTATAATTATGCGACTTAATATAATACTCGAGATATTAATAATAATAGAGGAGAGGGCAATAGTAGAGAATAGCCTAAACTTCCTTAAATTATATAAAGTAGCCGGGTTTTAAAGCCTGGATATTACCCTAGCTAAAGTATTTCTTCTATTATAAATAAATAAATAAAACTACTCTTATTATATTATATAATTACCTGGCTTTTATATAATACCTAATAGATTATATTAAGCTTTTAATATTTGCCCTTTTTTGATTTTTCTCTATCTAGTCTTAAGAAAAGTATTTAGAATTCCGCTTCTTTTCTAATACTTTAAGTACTTTTATATCTCAATTATCTTTATCTCTAACTATATTCTATCCCAGCTTATTATATAATACTTCCCTAAAAATACTCTTTCTAGCTTATTACTTATTAGTAGAATTAAGAGAATATTAATAGCTATAAAAAAGAGCCTTAGCTAGTATTACTTCTATATATTCTGGTACTATTATATAAGAGTTTCCTTTTTACTAGAATTATATAATTCTAGTAAGTTATAGTTTTCAAACTTGTTTTAATTTATAGACCGAGTTTGTAATAGCTAATATAAGGGCATGATTTACTAAGGATAGGATATTGGAAACAGGTATAAAATAAAGCTAAGCCGGAATTGCTTGGGCGGAATAATACTAAAGGTTAAGGTATCTTTTTTATTTTATTTTATAGCTTAGTATTTTCTAATATATAAGATTCTTTAAACTTTGAGCCCTCGACTATTATATTAATTCCGCTATTACAGAGCTCTTACTATAAGAAATAAAGTAATATAATTATATATATCTAGTTTTAGTTTCTTATAAAACAAGCTATTATATGAAAAAGCTAATAGAATAGGTATAATAATAGCCCTTTCCCTATATCTCTTCTAAAGCTTTTTAACCTTAGTATTACGAAACCGGGCTCTGGGCTTGGAAAGCAGGTAGAGTGGCTCTTAATCCGAGGATTCTAAACTAAGGAGGGAAGCTCTGAGTACAGGAGCTTTGGTGTTCTAAATACTAGCTACAGCCGCATACATCATCGCGTCACGTGACGCTAAATTTACTAGTAAAGCGGTGAAGCGTAATACTTAGCTAGAACTGGCTTTAACTATTTCTTTAGCTAGTATATCTTAATATATCTTATATAATTATAAGGATTTAAGATTAATATAATAGTATAAACTAGAAATATATTAGTTCTTATATAATAATTATCTAAAATATTATATATTACCTTAATCCGGTAAAGAAAGTCTCTTTTTTCTATATCTTTCCTTTTTTAATATTTAGCCTATTAGAATTAATATAGTTATATAAAAGAAAAAAAGAACTTATATTCTTTTCTTAAAAGTATTTAATTAAGATATCTATTATAAAGAGAGTAGAATTAAGGGTAGTTAAGTTCTTAGTAATAAGAGTAGCTTATATAAAGGATTTAAGAAACTCCTTAATTATATAAAGCTTTTTCTAATCTTTGAAAATTAAGATATCCTTTTTAAACTCCTTCTTATAGTTTTAAAAATATCTTTCTACTATAGGCCTTAAATCAAGTAATATATGAAATATCTAATATTAGTTATTTTATCTTATATAATTATTTATTAGAATTAGTTTTTTTGCAAATATATAAAACTTCTTTATTTTTCTAGCTAATCTATAAATATAAACTATAATATTATATATTTGGCTAAAGGAATCTATTAGCCTAAACTGAGCCCTTATTACCTCTATTATATTAAAGACTTTAGTTTGCTTCTGCTTATTATATAAATTAAGGCTTTTTAAGCTAATTTAATTCATAAATAAAAAGGCTTATATAACTAGATTAATAATATAGCCCAAATAGTAAATATGCTAATAATTTGCCTTTTAATTCAAGCTAAGCTTATTCTTAAACTTCTTTTAAACTAGTTAATAAAGAATATTATTTATAGAGGCATTATTACTTATAATAGCTCCAAGCTTATAAGTAATACTATAATCTTAAAGAACTAGCCAAAAGATTACTATTTGAGCCTCTAAGCTATAGCCAGAAACCTTCTTTAAAGCAAAAAGGGCCTTTTATTACTTTCTATTATATATAGTAAAATGGCTATAGATTATAAGTAAAAGTAATTAATTTAGAGAGGTCCAGATATTAAGAGAGATATAAATAAGTGAGAGTATAGCCTGGAGAACTCGTTATATGATATCCTGGTACCGCTCCCAAGCTTCTTTGACTAAGTTAGTAATTCCTGAATAAGAAGTCGTAATTTTGCCCTTAATAGCTCGATTAAGCACTTGGTAAAAGGTATAGAACTCTGGCCATTTAACAAGAGTATAGGACAGATTCCGTATGATAATAAGAGTAATTAAGGCTTCTGTAATAATTGAGGTATTCAGATGGGCTTCCAGGATCTCGGTATTAAGCTCTTCTTGCTCGCTTGATCTAGTAACTTGGTAATAATATTGCTTTAATTACGAATTGACTACTACTTGGTTCTTGCTCAAAGTACGCTTAATAGTAATTTTATAGGTGACTTTTATATGCTTCTTTATATTCTCTAAAAGAGAAGTGCTATATGGTAATCTCGTTGAATTGGTATAGTAAGTATAGTAAAGATTGGCTTGGTTCTCCTTCTCAGTGGGTTTACGATAGTGCTTCCAAATAGCGGCTCTCCATTTTCGGCTCTGGGAAGTTATAGTTGATTCTAGCTCTACTAAAGCAGCAGAAGCTATAAAGGAAAAGTCTAGCTCATGCGAAGAAGACATTTTGAGAGTGTGATCCAAATGGAATTCTGATGTGAGGTGAGAGAAGTGAAGAGAGTAAAAATTGAAGGGTGCGGGGTAGAAAGCGGTGAAGGAATGTAAGATTATCACCGCAAAAAAAACGCTGCCGCACCTTCGCCCCAGATACGGCTAGTGCATATATCCCTCACCGCCCGAGTGAAGCGTGCGCCCGGTCACAAGGCCCCTTCAATTAATTAGTACGATAATAACAAGCATTTTTCTTATAAATTAAATTAATAGAGTTATAGTATAATATACTAATAGAAGCTTCTCGTTCTTCGTTTAAAGAAATACCTTATTGCAGGCGAGTTATCTCAAATTATAATAAAAACTACTACTTACCCCGCAACTGAAAACGCTGCCGCTGGCGGCAGCGTTTTTTTTGCTCTGTGAAGACCGAGATTTTAATATTCGCGAGGTAAAATAAACGCTGCCGCAAGCGGCAGCGTTTTTAAGAAAATTACCCCTCGTTCAGAAAATTTGAGCAGTAGGGAAGGGCTAACTAATAAGAATCCCGTATGCTTAATTAATTACTTATTAAGTAGCTTCCTTGCTTCCGTTACTAGTAATCTTTATATAGCCTTTCTAAATATATTCTTTTATCTAGTAAAGAATATGGCTATTCGCATATGGCACCTCCCAGTGAGGAATATATGGCCATTCCCAAATGGCCTATACCAGTGAGGAATATGGCCATTCTTCAAATAAGCTATGCCAGTGGGGAATATATAGCCATTCCCAAATGGCCTATGCCAGTGAGGAATATAGCTATTCGCGTGTGGCACATGCTGGTCACGTGCACCGGCAGAAAAAAACGCTGCGGCCTGGCAGCGTTTATTTTCGGAATGAATGCAATTCTGTGACTTCTGTCATGTGGACTTTCAAGCCTGGATTGTCGTTCCGTGTGCACGGACCATCATAACAGATTCTTTCAGAACAGGAAGGTCATTGTCATCTGCAAAACACTGCTCACAGTTCCTCGCAGCAAGAATGACAGTCGGTACGCCAGAACCTCCATCGATGCGAGGTACATTGGATACGGAATCTCGGTCTGATGAGGAACGAGACGGACGATGATGGGCATACGACGAAGAAGATGGGAACGTGTAATAATCTGCGGCGGAGCTCCCCAGCATCCGGGACAAGGAGGAGATTGCACACAGAGGGAGGCAATGAACTATCCTGATACTGCTAGCTTCTTGGGTCTTTGATCTTGATATTTCAAGACTCGAGCTATCCAGGTCCATTCTCTCCCGCTTTCGCATGCACATGCGAAGTCATCTCCGACGCAAAGTCCTCCTCCACACAATTCGACCTACAAACTTTGTGTTCCCTCTCCCACTCCGCCAGCTGATCGAATTTCTTGCACCGATGCGGAGCGTCGCGCGTCTTCCACGTTCCCATCTCCGAATGATCTTTCTGGAAGAGCACAGGCGTTACATCTGCTTGGCACTTGATCATGGTCAGAAGTGTCAAGTAGCAGTGGTTCACATGGAGTTCGAAGATGAACTCTGTTGAGTTCATGAAGGTCTGGTAGTCCCAGTACTCTCGATACTCGAAGAGCCAGAGGAAAGCAACGCAGTGCATCTGATGGGTCACTGATTCAAGTGTCAGTCTGGGAGACGATCTGGGACTGGGAGCACGAGTAACCTACTTTCCGGAAACGCAATAACTTGGTCATCATTTGGCGCCGGGAGACGCCACCAGTCGAACGCTTCCGCCGACTTGTTTATCATAGCCAGCTTGTCATATGGAAACCCTATATTGCCCTCTACGAAGCACTTCTCAGCACTGGTCAAACTCTGGAAAGCAGGGGAAAATACGGTCATATATCAGTTCCCAAACCGCCCGACGTTCATCAGTCGGCTCTCCAAAATACTTTGGTGGGATGATGTCCGAATCATATTGTCGCCATTCGAACTCCATTACTTCCTGCATTGGGCTATACGCCCACATCTTTCGCTCGCATGCTGCATCTGAGGGAGCGATTGTGTATCGATATGCATAAAAGATGACGGAGCAGAGCAGGATTCCAAGATTGGCGAAAAATGCGATTCTAGCTGGCGATTTCTCTTTGGTCTCTACAATGTCTCTCCTCTCATACTGTTCGTCAGAGTCCAGTGGCTCGTCGAGGAGAGCTGCTTCTTCCTTCTCGTCTCCAGAGGTCGAGTTTCCCGAAGTTTCGGAGATGTCCAATGAGCAGCGGTCATTGTTGGAGAGTTTTTCGTACTTTGACATGATCACATACTGGACAAGTGCATCGATGCATTTTCAAACTGCTGCTATACAGAAGTTGGTCCAGAGTGAGCTTGTAAAGAGCCTTGGCGTTATGACCGTCATCACACATTGGGGGACGTCAGCACTGCTAGCCAATCAGCAAGCGAGAATACTGGCATCTCAACCATCCGAACATCAGAGACGGCGACCCTTTCAGTGGAAATTACGATAGCTTCGCGCTTTTCACTATTAACTGTCATGGCAGGGCGATATCCACACTCCTTGAAGTCACATCTACCATGGATTGGCTCCTCCGTAGCAACTCTGCTCGTCTCAGCGCTGATACTGGTTCTCGCGATCAGCCTCGAACCTATCGATGCTCGATGTGTACGCCAGAGCTTTTCGTGGTCTCCAGCGCTGGATGCCATCAAGTACCGCTACGAAACCTTCGCCAACATCGATTTCTTCACCGAATCGCCATATTTCGGTCTCGTACCTACCCAGGAGATTGAGGATGCTTGGGGCGGAATACTTCCAAGTGCGTATATCAAATCATGCTATTTCTGAATATATATTGACAGGCTTGAAGAGCATCCCATCTCCATTCCAACGTCCAAGCTAGAAGCGTTGGGCCAGTCTCTCGATTCTGACGACCCGGATTGGATTCGTGATCCCCACAACCCAGACGCGGTGCTCGCGATTCCAGAGTATGCTGCCCAACTAGGCTGCCTCAACTTTCTCCGGCAATGGTCCTACAGTCCCCAGAGGGATTTTAGATATCTCGCAAGCCATTTGGGCAGCAAAGATCTCATCTGGAGAAGAACGCACCAGTGTCTTGAGAGATTGCGTCAAGCTGTGATGGTGAGAACATCCCCCTTCAAGTGATGCGCCTGTCTGACAAGATTTCTCAGTGCTGGGCGGATACAGGTGTTCTGATCAAATACTTCCCCGAAAATCCAGAACCAGGCCAAGGGCTCATGTTTGATCTGGGAACATATCACTATTGCCGAGATTTCGACAGAATCCAGGACTGGACGGAGGAACATGCAGTCGAGCACGTCACAATGGACAATCTCTGGTGGAGTGGAGATGAAGACACTAACTGCAAGGTCTACGGTTTGTGTTTTGATTAGATATCCTCAAACCCCAGCTTCTCATTTCCCCATCCCTTCCTTATCCCACTTCTCCAAACTCTCTTTCATACTCTCAAAATACCCCCTCTCATCTCCTTGATACATCTCATACGTGCCACCCCTCATACCCTCAATCACCTCACTCATCTCACACATCAAACGCTCCGCATCCTTCCTCCTCCCAGCTCCCTGCTTCCAAACAGCCTGCACCATGATCCTCCACGCCCCAAAAGCCTGCGGACAGTCCTTCCCAAGTTTGCTTTCCAACCATCCCTTCACATCGAGTTCCATTTTCTCAGCCTCCTCATAGCTTCCTTTAGCCAGTAACATACCAGCCAGCGTATGGAAATGGCTTAAATTCCCCCTATCCCTACGTCGTTCACACAGCATCCTCATCGTTTTCTCTGCCTCCGGTCTTCCTAATTCCCGCTGGATATCAAACCTTCCCAGCCACAACCGATCCCACATCACATAATCCTCATCATAAAACGTCTTTGGTGCTGCGGCAGCATCTTTGGCCATGAGGCGATCGATGAGCAGTTCTTCTAGGATCCGGAGTTTCTTTTCCTTGGGTAAGGAACTCTCGGGATCAATGGGGAGGGAAGAGATCTCGGAGTCGGTGTAATTGCAGAGAAAATTCCGCGCTACGGTGAAGGGGAGATCGTTCCAGAAGGGCGTGTCCGGGACGGCGTATTCCCAGGGGAATTTGGCGCGCCCGTCGGAGGAGGGCTTGCCGTTGGAGTATTTCACGTCTTTCGAGGTGGCCATCGTATCTTCGAGATGTTGTTTGGTTTACATCACGAGCGAGTTGGTCTGATTTGGACGCGGAAGTGCGTATCCCTGAACCCGATTGCGGAGTACTGTAATGGTTTCGGTTCGGTCCGCAGACTTGCTGGATATGACACGATGCCACTTTGCTGACAGGTGTGATGACGCTCTGATGACAGGACAGCCAGCTTCGGCTAGGCTCGCTTAGGGGAGCACCCCCATTTTCGGTTCAGCCACACCCGTTTGAGCTCCTTGAGGAGCCACTCTCGAAAGCGTCTCGTTTGTGATATGAGCAACAATGGCACCAAAATGGCCGTTCAAACGGTGGGAGAGCTGGACATATTATTCTGTGTCCCAAGACTCGTTCAGGACAAATGCGGAAGAAAGCCCAATCCCGGATAAAGCAGATAAACTGCTGTACTTGCCAGAAGCTCCTAGCAAGAGATTTTTCATCTTTTACCAGGTTGGATTTTGGGTTCTCTTGTTTGTCTGTCTACTCGAAAGCCTGCCTCTTTTGTTGCATTCGCACCTTTTCGAGGACAGCGACTCTCTGATCAAGTCGCCAGTCCCATCCGGTGCGTATCTCGAATCTCGAAGCGAAGGGACGAAATACTAAGAAACCATAGTTCCATGGACCATCAAAACCTTTGAACATGACCCGTCAATGGTCGCACTCGAAACAGTCGAGGATGTGGAGAGAGCGTGGAGCAAATACGGTACATCAACCCTTAGTCCTCGTTATTACTCGTGGCTAAGCATCAAACAGAAACCACAGCATTCATTTACCTCGAGAACCCAGAGGACTACTCCCTTTACCCCAACCGCGATGTGATTCTAGGCGCGCAAAACATCTACATGATTAGTGCGCACCATCAACTGCACTGTCTGAAGAAGCTGCACATAGCTATGACGTTACTGGCACACCCACCGGATCATTCGACGACAGAGGAACTACTCGGTGGCGTGAAGCATGCGGAGCATTGCTTCAACTACCTCAGGCAGGGGATTCTGTGTGCTGCGGATTCGGCGTTGGAGGGACCGACGCCGGAGAATGATCTGTTGGGGTATGATGTCCAGCATCAGTGTCGGAAATGGGATGGCAAGGGAGGTTTGGATGAGTGGAGGAGGAAGCATGATGCGAATAATATGAGATGAAATAACAGAATAGACACTTGCAGTGTTGTATTTGTTTTCCAATCCTTACAAGCGTCTTGTCCCGCAAGTTCAGCGTTATGGTCTTCTCCCCTCCCAGAATTTCAACTGTCCACTTCTTCAAAGTCCGGGGAATCCTGTTCGCAAACTGCTTCAAATTTCTCGGTGTGAACAATGGGGTAAGGTGAAATCATGAGAATTCGGCACACGGGGATTTTTGCATTTCACCGAGTGGAAACAAGTAACGGAGGGCACAATTCACTTTGTTTATATTGGCTCTTCGAGAATTCTAGCAACATTGCCCGACATAAATAACCCTCCTATCTTCAATTCTGGTCTGCCATCAATCCTTCTAGCCCTCCAAAGTGACGTTCAACACATCTAAGGACCGACGACCAAGCCCCAAGAGAGGTACAACTGGCGAGAGATCTCCTTGAAGCTGTTGCTAGCTTTGGCGATGGGATTGGGGTTTGCCTCTGGCTTGGCTTTGAAGAAGTTAGTCACAAAGACCATATTTTTCACAAGGAGGTAACTCGCCAACAGGAGCAGCAATAGCGGCGGTAGCCGCAAGAATAGTGAGGATGGCGGCGAACTTCATAATGACGGTGATGCTTGGTGGGGCTGGGCTTGTTTGGGTTGGAAGTAGATGTTGGTTGGATGCAGATGTGTGCGATCTTCTAAGGAGTGATCCATAATAAAGGTATTGGAACTGAGTAGGGTCTGGGGCAGATGTGTGATGACATTCGACCGAAGTCATCGTGAGGTAGGATGACTTGTCAACAGTCCCTCCCCCTCCTACCATCCTTGGCCTAGTGCCAGCCCGCTCGCCCCTTCGAGCTCTGCTTGAAGGAGAACTCGCTCGTGAGCCCCCAGTTTCTTGAGGACGTCTCGAAATTAAACAGCATGGCTTCACGACTCTCATCATCGGATGTCTCCCGCGATGGGTCAGAAGAATGGGAAGAGGAAGGCCTCATACAAGCTGGCAAGAGCTTGAAGTTGAGAAAAGCTCAAAGTGAGGGATGGTTTTATTCCCGTGCTCACATTGTTTCTCTATATGCCTTAATATCTTCGTTGCTGCTGGTCAGCACAAGTCTCACATTCAGGCTGCATCGGAAGCCATTCGCAGATCCGACGCTTGGAGTATACTGTGAGATTCCCTACATCACTGAAGATCCATCCCTAATATTTCTCAAGCACCGGCGAATGAAGCTGTGGAATACATCCGAGAGCAAAAGTTCGAATCAGCGCTATTCAGCTATACACCATACATGGGCTTTCCCACCAATGAGACAGACAAGCTATGGGAGAATCTGTATGATTGTAAGATACTTCCAATACGATCCGAGCTGGCGGTAGCTGACACTTTGTAGCACTTGCCGTCTCCAAGATCTCGAAATCAGAAGCAAAGCTGCTTCATCATCCCACGTTGCGAATTCCTGGAACCGAGGACTACCTGGTTCAATTAGACGTCTTCCACCAACTACACTGTCTCGATGATCTTCGAATGCTGTTGTATCCCGAGCGATTTCCAGGATTGGAGGAGCTGAAAGATGAGAGCGGGGTGATAAACAGAGACGGTCACGAGTTCCGGCATTGGGGTACGTTCACTTAAGAAGACAGGGACAAGAAATCATTCCTGACAGTATCTCCAGACCACTGCATCGACGCCCTCCGGCAAACAATAATGTGCCACTCCGACGTCTCGCCCGTGTCCTGGCACCTCAACATGCCCAAGCGCAATGTCATCATCCCACAGCTCTCAACGACACACACTTGTCGCAATTTCACCAAGATCCAAGAATGGGCGATGGAGAATTCGGCGGGTGACTGGAATTATATGGTGGATAGTAAGGAGGCCGCGGATGAGATTCTGAGGACCGCCGGCTTTGATCAGGCGCCTGATGAGGATATGGGGAGTCAGTATGATAAGTTTCCGGGGGATCCGTTTTTCAAGTATTGGAGGGATCATCCTGAGGAGGCTGCTGAGGCGAGGAAGAAGGCAGGTTTGGATTGAGATAGAGACTTTGGTAGGTTTAATGGAGTTCCAAGTTTTCTCCCTTCGGATTTTGATGCGGTCGCTTTGTTGACATTGGCCCAAGCCATCTGATTCATCGTGGAAAATTTGATTTGACAACAAAACTTCGGACCCGACCGTTATTTTTGAGATTTCGACTGACCTCTTCCAGTGTCTGGCTTCGAAAAAGCGTCAGAAAGTGGGGTGGAGATGAAACCTCTGTTGAGAACTGGTAACTTCATTCAATATCCGCCAAACTCCTCAAAGTATCCCCCCTCCTCACCGGCCGTCTAGCCACCAGCGGCTCCTCTTGACTCCTCAACAAAATAGCATGAAACCCCTCCACCTTCCTACAATAGTGCCCCACACCCACACCGTCAATCACCGTCACCTCCTCCCCCGTCCTCAACTTTCCAGTAAAAGACGGCTCAATCGTGTCATCAGCTGAACACATAATGCCCTTTCCATTGTCAGTTTCTTGCCCACCTCAAGGAACATATCTATATTCACCTGGGTAATATAATCCAAACAATGCTCCAAATGCTCCTCCGCCGACATCTCACCCTCCTCAAGCTGATGGGGCGGGGCTTGCAATCCCCTCCTACCCTTAACCCCATGCTGGTAGCCCTTCCCTCTCAGCACAGCTCTCAGCATCTCCACACAATGCAGCTGATGGAACATCGACACCCCATAGCTTACTGCTTCCTCCTCTCCCTCCTCACGCATGCGGAGGAAGCCATTGCTTCCATCTATGGCGATTACCTGTCGTGCTTGGGAGAGGAGTGATTGATAGTCGGGATCTGAGGGGTTGAGGGCGTCGTGGAAGAAAGTCTGGAAGGAGGTCCCGAGGGAGGGTGTGTCGGTTGGTTTGGGAGCGTAGGAGAAGAGACGTGAGAGGTTTCGAGTGGAATGGCCGAAGAGGATATATGAGAGGGAGATGAAGGTGATTAGGATGAATACTATGAGGAAAATCGAGCGCGTAAAGGTTGGTGACTTGTGGTAATTGGCCATCGTGTAGAGGTATGAGGATTACTGGACGGATATGGCAAGCTCTGGCCCAAAATGCTCCAAGGTGATTTTCTCAGCTTAGTTCAACAGTTTGCTCGACCCAGGCTAGGGATTGAACATGGAGTCGGACCTCACGTGTCACTATGTGGATGAATGCTTCCCTAGTGAGCAGTCAGAAAGTGTAGGATGACCTGTCGTGACACAAGCGAGCCGAGTGCTGACTTTGGTGAACTCCGACCAATCAGAATAATTCACTGCTTCAGACATGCAGACTCGAGATTGAGTTCTAGTTGACCATAGAAACTCGAAGCACAAGACGTTGACAGGAAATTTAAGCGGCATTGCAGGATCTTAATTGCCACCTAAGCAATCTCCCCATCCGGATCCGCATTCTCAAGCAGCTCCTCCAACTCCTCCTTTTCCTCCTCACTCTCAAACTCCCACCCATTGACCTCCTTAAACTTCCTACTCATCTTCATGTACGGATACCCCTCCGGCCTCTTCAACGCCACGAAACTCTCCTCATCTAACCCATTCTTCTCCTGCCACTCCATAACCGCGCTAAAATCCTTACACTGATGATTGATATTGAAATCCGGAAAAGGGTGCACGAGGGTGTCAGTCCAGATATGCGTATAAACATCCGTATTCGCATTGCACATGATATTCTGCAGCAGCAGATACACACAATGACTCAAATGCAACCTATGGAATTCAGTAGTATCGTTCCAGACATTGGGGTACGATTCTCCGTAGTAGTATTCGAAATGCGCCTCTCGCCGTAGAGCGTCCAGACAATGGATTTGGTGGAATACGTCGATGCGTCCGAAGTAGGACTCGTTGCCGTGGCCCCATGATGGCGGGATTTGGACGCTACGAGAAGGGTCTTTGCCGATTGCTTCTACTTGGGAGCGGGAGAGGGGGACAGGGCGCGTGTCGACGAGCGCCTGCCAGGCCATGTCGACGGCGTCGGAGGGGGGCTCGCGGTAGATTACGGGCGGGTTGCGTTGGAGGAGGGTGGCGTCCATGCGTTTTGGGGAGATGCGGATGTCGGTTTCGTCGAGTATGGGTGCTAGAAGTGTTTAGATTTGTAGTATATAAGAGTGTACAAAGAGCTTACAAGGTATTGACATCTGTTTGAGAAGGTGATTCCTCGACTGAGCGGTGATTTTGTCGGTGTATCGCAGAGAAGGGGGCCGTAAAGACATGATGAACATCGTACTCGATATTAACAAAAGCAGAATATTGAGAATCACAAAGCAGCCCATTGACGGCCACGGCCTTCTAGACTCCCTCATCCGTGGTAACATCGTCTCCACCTTCTCCTCGCTCGATGACGAGAAGTTTGATTCTGAGTTTGTGCCTGTGAGACGAGCATATTTCGCTTTTCTGGAATTGAACATTCTGAATCAGGTTCCTGGCGTCCACTGCGCTGTCTCGGCAGAATGTGGTAGCTTCCAGATCAACTTTGGGGTGGAGGGTAATCTTTGGCCTCTCCCCTTTCCGAAGCGAGGTCAGTGTTGTGGTGGGGCGTCATCGCTCGCCTTGGCGCTGTCAGCCAACAATCGACTCTCGTCGGCCTAGAGACTTGGTTGTTAGCTAAGCATCATGACGGAAATACCCACTTACTATTATCACCATTATCATTTCGTTGGCGTATCTATCGTGGGATCTGTCAGTCAAATGCAATGTTCTACTACGAAAAACTCACGAACGGCTATTCCTCAGATTCAGATCATGAGGACCCAATCCCCCACCATGACCTCCCCGCCCGAGGAGGTAGGCTCTCCCGCCTCTTCCGTTGTCGCTGCACCTTCATAACCTTCTTCCTCCTCGCCATCATCTCCGCCACCGCAGCACTGACTTTGCATTTCGACCTCTCATCCCACCACATCTCCTCCTACATCCCCAAACTCCACTACGGGCCCAATGAACCCTCAACCCTCACATGCGGCTCAACGCGTCCCGAAGCCCTCGCAAAAAACTGTACACTCGACATCATGGCCGACGCCTGGCTACCGCCAGCATGCTACAACTCCACCTCCGCCTCCCTCTCCCTCGACCCCTCCACAATTCTCTCCAACCTAACTGGCGCGGGGATATTTGATTGGTACCGCGACGAAAACCACACTCTCCCTCTCCCACTCGCTCAGATCTCAGCAATCGATGAGTTGAGAGCGTATACGTGGCAAGTCTACCACCTAGCACACTGTATGTACTCCTGGACCACCACTGTGCGGGCAATGAACAGGGTTAGGGAGGGGGAGAGAGATGTTTGGATAGATCAAAGACTATTGAGTGAGGAGCATGTGCATCATTGCGCAATGGTGCTGGCGGGGAATGGGGGCGAGGAGGGGGTGCTGAGGGGGACGCAAGTGGAAGTTAGGTTTACGCTGGGGACGTGCGTTAGGTTGGATGAGGTGGGGAAGGGGATTTGGAAGCATGAGAGATAGAGATTTGGATTGAATGTCAACATACAATTCCCTGATTGTGAATGCTCTCCCCAATGCCAACCCCGAAATCAGCACCTTCTCTCATTAAAAGGAGAATCATCTCCTCGTTCTCCATCTCTGCAGCTATGTGCACAGGTCCTACACCCTTGTAGTCTACTATATCTGTATCCGCTCCCGCTTTCGAAAGCTTGGCTGCAACGGCTATGTGGCCGTTCAGGACTGCGAGGTGCAAGGCTGTGCGGCCGTAGAAGTCTGGGGCGTCGATGTCGATTGCGGATTCGAGGAGGAGGGAGACAGCCTTGAAGGAGCCGCGTTCGGCGAGGATATGGAGGGGGGTTTTGCCTTTGTTGTTGGTAGGCGAAGATGGCGAAGGGGAAGTCAGGGATGGGGCGAAAGTTGGTGTTGGTGCTGGGGTGTTGTGATTGTGCGTTGCGAGTGGCGAGACAGGTTTTAGGACTTGTGGGTGATTTGAAGAAGGCGTGGTGGAGCTCCATCTTCGCGTGGGATGCTGCCGAGGTCGCTCGGGAGTTTCCGAAGCAGTCCGTGGCCGTGGGGTTGGCAAAAGTTGTTTTCGGGGAGGCTCGGTCACTCCAGAGGCATTGGAATGAGATTCCGAGTATTGTTGTATTGCAAAGTCCAGATCCAAAGATATATCCTCATTATATAGCCCGTTTTCGTCGAAGTAATTGTGACTTAAGTCCATAGTAGGGCTCGACGGTGACAGAGGCAATGACAGAAACTCATCTTGTTTGTCTGCCATTGATTTCGACAATGCCTCTTGATCCTTGTCTGATGGTTCTGTTCGAGACGTGAGATTCGCAGTGTGATGTTGCTGAGTAGCCGAGGCCATCGTTTCGGCACTACCGGAATGTCGGAAATCGAAATTGTGCAATCGGCATTGGCGGCATCGCTGGTGAGGCGTTTCTTCACTAGTTGAGTCCTCTCGTCGTTCTTGATCCTGCTGCGCTTCTCTTTGTTTCCTCTCCATCTCAGCGCATCGTTGACCTATTGTAAACATTAGCCAGTGTAAACTGCGAGTCTAGCTTGAAATCACTTACGACGCTTTCGCTGAGCATTACGATTCTGAATCCGTCTTCGCTCCAAGATACTCTCTGCTGATTGACGACGTTCCTGCTCTTCCATTGTTCTCAACACTATTTTGAATACATCGACGGTGAGCACTTGACTCTCCAGTACTTGATATATCTGAGCTCATTGTTCCCTCGGGCTCCCGCTTGACTGTCCATTTCTGGAAGGTAGCTAAAATCTTGAATCTGCACCACTGAGGCACAACTGTAAGCTGTGCCTCGCTCAAAGCACCAATCCTTATCGTAAGCAGCTGTATGGAATGAGCAAGAAGAAACAGGTAAGTGGCGTGTTGGTGGCGTGTTGGTTACCACGGGTAGGATTGCAGATCTCTGACTTGCAGGTTACACAAGAGGTTTGACCGACTGCAAGACTCGTAGCATGGTTCAATCAGGTTTCACGAGAATGAAGCTATACGTGAAGAGCGAGACAATGGGGACTTGAATACGCTCCTCGGAGGTTTGAAGCGCTTGGATAGAGGGAGCAGATAAGAAATGGAAGGTGAGAATTGGTCAGATTTGATCCTTCGATAACCGAAGTCCCTACTTGGGACAAAGAAAAGAAAACTTGTGTTCAACTGCCAAAGAAGACGGTCAAAATATTCGAGAGCTTCAGTCATGCAATGTCTAGGATCTAGTGACTAGTACCCCTGAATACTTACATTGGGACCTTGGGTAACGCCACTCTGAAACCTCGTTTATATCCCTTAAGTAGGAATATCAGGTGCTTTCTAGAATCGCTATTCGCTGAAGACCCTTGAGTTAGCCAGTGTTATCCTTGGACCCCTGTAAGTATTCAATGGGGATACTATCCCACCCCTTGAATAATTACGAGTGGGTCCTTTGGTAACGCCACACTAAAACTTCGTCAGTATCCCTGAATTAGGAAATATCAGGTGCTTTCGAGAGCCGCTATTCGCTATAGACCCTCGATTACGTGCCTTTAGTGGTGTGAATCGTGGCATGAGAGTGAGGCGAATGTTGGACCCACTATAAGTGTTTAGGGGGGGATAGTAAGCTTACATCAGCGTAGCATTGAGGGTCCATCGTTTTTAGATACTCATCTTCTGCACCCCTGTCGTATAACCGACATAGACAATAAATAACTTATCGTGACTCGCGGAATTGCACGAATTGCGGGGTTAAGGTTCAGGGACACGAGGAAATTGATATTGAGACGCAGGAGGATAAGTGGTCGAAGTTGCCACGATGCAGGTGTGCCCCACTTCGCACCCCGGCTGAACGGGGTCTTGGTTCGGGTTGCCGCGTTGGGCCTGCCGAACTCGCGACTGCGGGGGTCAAGTGGGGTTGAGGGGTAAATGATTCTTTAAGAAAAGATTTCATAAAACAATCTCATCCCAACGCGTCTTTGTTTTTCTCTCGTCCGAAGCTTCTTGATCACTTTGATTCCTTTCGTCCTGTCAAGAATTGATGAGACGTTGAAGCTACGAGCAAGTTTTGAGGAGCTCCGCTGCTCCGATCACGTTGCACACCAGTAATATATCTCATATGATATCACAGAACTTGAGAATATATATTTCTGAGTCTTTGATTCCTTTTCTTCTGGGTATCTGTTAGCTTGATCAATCATGTCAGCCAAACACTACTTCCCCGAAACCGCAGTCAATACTCTCGTCCCTCGGGCCCTCAAAGCCCTCTGTGCCACGAACCCCTCGCTCTCCCTCATCGAAGACCAACGGGTCGTCCTCAACAATGCCCACAACCATTCCCAAGTCTCTCTCATCTCCGGCGGTGGTTCAGGTCACGAGCCAGCCTGGTCTGGTTACGTTGGAGATGGCCTCCTTTCCGCTGTTGCATGTGGCGATATCTTTGCTAGTCCAAGCATGAAGCAGGTCCTTGCGGCCATCGCCGCTGTGCCCAGTGAGAAGGGCACGATTCTGTTAATCACGAATTACACAGGGGATAAGTTGCATTTTGGTCTTGCAGCTGAGAGAGCGTTGGCTGGCGGGTTTGCGGGCAAGTGTGTTGTGCTGCCGGCGACGGATGATGTGAGTATCGGGAGAAGCAGATGTGAGAAGGTAGGGCGAAGAGGGCTGGCAGGGAATGTCATCAGTGAGTTAGTTAACTTCAGTACTTGAAGAAGACACTGAGTAGTAGTCCAGCCATGAAGATCCTAGGTGCAGCAGCAGCGAGAGACTATAGTTTTGAGAGATGTGTGGAGATTGGGAAGGCTGTGAATAAGCAGTTGGTTTCCATTGGATCTGCATTGGATCACTGCCATGTTCCAGGGAGACAGAATCATGAGAATATTGGGGATGACGTGTGTGTAATTGGTGCTGGTATTCATAATGAGCCTGTGAGACCTCCCTTGCTGGTGAGCTAGATGATGCTGACTGCTTCAGGGCGCTCAAAAAATATCGCCGTTTCCATCAGTCGAAGATCTCATATCACAGCTTCTGACACTTATCTGTGATCAAAATGATCCCGAGAGAGCATTTGTTAAGTTCAATAAGAACGACGATACAGCTCTTTTGATAAACAATTACGGTGGTCTTTCAAATCTCGAGCTCGGGGCACTGACTCAAGAGACTTTAGCCCAACTAGGTCAGTGCTAGAGGCCATGATCTCGAAAACAAAGTCCTGACGTGCGCACAGAAACGAAATGGGACATCAGACCAACAAAGATATACTCTGACGTGTTTGAAACATCGCTGAACGGGCCAGGATTCTCTATCACATTATGCAATCTAACAACCGTAGCGAAAGAAAGCAAGACATCTGTCTCGGAACTGCTTGAACTGCTTGGGGCCGAAACGAAGGCACCAGCCTGGCCAAATGTACTATCAAACACCTCGACGAAAGTGGCTCAAAAAGAGACGCCAGTTGTGGATATAGAAAAGCAGACCGATATCTCAGCAAGTGAGGATATCAAAGGTGAGACTTGATTTTGTGGTGGGGGAATAAATGCTAAATTTGGTTCTAGTTGATCCGAAGCTTTTGGACGCAACAATACGATTAGCTTGTGAGCGGGCCATCGCAGCGGAGCCAGATCTGACAAAATGGGACATGGTGATGGGAGATGGAGACTGTGGTGAAGCTGTCAAGGGTGTCAGTGAAGGTACTATCTTTCTTCAGATCCAAAGCAATATTGATACTAAGCCCATGATTCAGCAATTCTCAAAATCCTAGATAACGGAACAGCAAAATCTGGATCTGTCTTCACAGTATTACATGCAATCATCAATGCAGTGGATGATATGGGAGGCACTCTCGGAGCCATCTTCGGAATCCTCCTCGCTGCCTTCGCCACCTCACTTCGGACCCACATATCGAAAGCCACTTCTGACACAGAACTCATGAACATCTCCGCTCCATCGCTCACGCAAGCAGTTGAGTCCTTGAAACAGCACACTGGTGCGAGAGTCGGTGACAGGACGGTGATGGATGTATTACTACCATTTACGGAAACGTTGGAGAAGGAGAGGGATTTAGGGAAGGCTGTGAAGAGTGCAGAGACGGCAGCGGAGGGGACGCGGGATCTGAAGCCGAAATTTGGGAGAGCGAGCTATGTTGGTGCTGGTGGAGACGAGCAGAGATTGCCTGATCCTGGGGCTTGGGCGTTGATGGAGATGGTGAAGGGCATTTGTGATGCCAGCAATTAACGATCGAGTTGAAATTTTCCTTTTCTTCCAAGCAGAGGACTATATAATAGCCTTGTGCCCTTTAACACAGGAGTGATACGCCATAACGTATCTTTCTGTCTAAGAATCCCGTCATCCGGCCGAATTGGAGTAGAGTTGAGTTTCTAGCCACAGCTTACTCGCGCGTGTCAACTTGGTGCTGCCCACGCTTCGCTGTAGTCTCCCAATGAAACAGCTGTGTGCTCCCTTGACCACCTTGATTCTTCGCCGACGTGACATGCGCGCTGGGACAGCCCGACATATCGTCATTCGATCTTCGTCCGCTCTCGTCGCGAATCGACCAACCGACCAACCAGTTCCTCATTATATCACACCATCATGTTCCCCCGGAAGTCTCTTAACTCGCTTCTGTTCCCAATCATCCAGATCCTTTGCCGCGAGTCTCTGTACCAATTCATCAGCCTGTTTCCAATTCCATCGGTAGACTCTGCCACTCACATAATACTCTTCCTTCATGTCAACTCTTCGTCCCGCCTTCCCAATACCCAATTCCTCCTCCTTACTCATCCTCCGCACTCTCCTGTCGTGCTTCTCATACCGTATCGCAGTTGCGGGTGTTAGGAAGAAGGATCCTGCTACCATTGTAACGATGAAGGGCAGGCCGAAGAGAAGGAACGGGTGGCGGGCGAGGGAGGAACGGTAGCGGGATGCGATTGTATTGGCTTCCGCTGCAGAGCGGAACTTCTTGTTGGGGAAGACTGCCATGCTGAGCTTGGATTTGCAGATATCGTGCACGTAGGATGGTTGTGGGCAGGGTTTGTTGGCGGAAGAGAGGTTTGATGAAGCCAAGCCCCACTTTAATTTTCGATCACGTGCTACCGCGTAAACTTTCTCGAACGCGTTCTTCCCTTCCACCCCACTTCATGTCTTGATCTCACGAAAACACAACCATCCTACCATGGCAAACACATAATGGCCCCCATATCTCGCAGTGCCTCCGCCAAAACCCGGCTCAATGGCCCTGAAAACGCGGCCACGGGGGCCTACGACGCTCCTCCGTCAACTATGGCCGCACAGCTCATCAGCAACTTGTCAACAACGAACGAACCTTCACGGCCGGCCGAGCGAGATGACCTCAAGCGGCTCATGGCCGAGGTGCTTGAGCATGACGCGAATGAAACCGATGATATCGACTTGAAGCTGAGCCATAAGCACAAGCTGATATATGTATTTGCACGTGCTGTGTTGGAGAGACTGAGCACTGATGACCCGTTCATGAATCAGGCCCACCTGGTCGGTCAGGCTTCGGATGCGCTGGAAATCTTCATAGTAGCCGTCAGGGAGCTTCCGGGCGTATTGGATTATGTGTTGCCAGCAGGAGTCACCTTGCAAAACCGGGGCCAAGAACCTCTCTGGACGTGGCTGTTTCCTCGAGTTCTGACACTGCTCGGTCGACGGCATTGTGAAAACCTGACAGAAAAGGTCAAAGACTTTTTTTATGTCTCGTTTCAGGCTGCTGGTAGATCTCCAAAGCATTGGAATCTCACTTCGTTCATCTTCACTTACCTGAAGGAAAGCGTCACAAGTATGTTCATGCTTAACCCACTGATATTTTCACCACGACTTACCATAATTAGCCACCTTGGATCGCTTGCAAAACCCCAACATCCTGTCTCACACCCAGGTGGTAGACATCATGCTTCCTTCTGATGACATGAGCCGCTTTGTGTCCTTTATTGCAGGTAGTGAAGGTCCCCCGAGCTCCGCAGTCGACTGCACCTATGTCATTCGAGATGTTACGGAAAGTCTCGATCATGCTAGGAATGTATTGTCAACGCTGGTTGATGTGTCTATGGCCGCCGTAGCTTCCTACGATGCAACGCCAGCCTTTCAGGATTACGTAGGCTGGCTCCTCGACTCATTCCTGGTGACACACGAGTTGCACAAGAAGTGGCGAGGAAACCCTTCATTGCACCCATCGTGTTCCGATTTCTGTTTGCTTCCCTTCTGTTCCGTTCATGCCCTCCTGACTGCTCTTCGAGAAACCCTTTCCACCTCTCTATTGCGAAAGGGATATTATTTGCTGTCAATGTTCTGTGCAGACTTGTTTGGTGACCCCATACAACTATCGAAAAGCTCGATTCAACTCAATCTTTGTAGCAGCATCATGAACCTGGCCGCCGGCTGTCACAAATATGATTCTGTGCGCAGAGCAGTATCTTTACATCTGATGCCCATCGTTCACTCAGCCTTCACCAATGAAAATACAGCCATTGGCGGGATGGGTAATGATCTGAAGGTGGAGAAAATCATGCCCTCAGAGAGACACTGCTAATAATATGACAGATTCCCTGCGTAGCACTGTGCGGGGCGTGCGAAGTAGACGTTCCCACTGGACTTGATCTGAATGGAGTCCGAGAATGCGAAAACCAGAACCTCGTTTTGGAATTTCAGTGTTTGGATCTCAGCATCGAACATCCACAAAAGGACCCGTCTGAAAATGGACCACCGAGCAAACGACAGAAGTTAGACGAAGGGCCACATCTTTTTGAACGGATTACAAGTAGTCTTTACACGTTATTTGGTGGGGTACAAACCGCTGAGTGAGTTTTCTGTGCAGCCTTTCAATCATTCCTGATAACAAATATGTAGGGCGAGCTTCGCTGCTTTGAACGAGGAAGATCAGTGTAAAGCTATTGAACTTCTTGGCCTCGTACCCTGCGGGGCGTCCGGTTACCTGAGGGCCACTTGTACAACGTACGCGATCACTAACCCAAAATGTCCGCTATGCGAGGACATACCAAATCCAGAGCAAGTTGAGCGAGGTGAATCTATGTGCCAAGAGATCAGCGTTGAAGCAATCCAGATCTTTGGCAACTTGATCAAGTCCCCAGCCTTCGGAACGGCCAAGCGACCTCGAGTTCTAGCAATGTTGATGCTCAAGAAGTTCGCTTTGCATTATGAGGACCCCGAGTTTCTTGACTTGGAGAAGTCTCCGCTGGGTCAATGGTGTTTAGGCTCTCTGAAAAGCTCGGTCCGAGAGCTACGCATTGCTGCTGGGTAATATCTTCCTGTGCCTTATTTTACCAATTCTGACGAAATACTTCACAGTCGCACTCTGCCTGGATTCTTACGTGGCTCGCCATTGGAACCCTTGACAAAGAAGAACAGAGTCACCACGTTCATGTTCTTACGTTCATTTTCTGAGGAAAAGAGCAACCATTTGCATGAAACCTGCATTCTTGCTTGGGGGCAGCTGGGACGGTAAGTTTGCCTCCATGGTACACATGCTGAAAAGGTACTAAATCGGTGGCAGGAGCGCTGATGACGACGAACTCAATTTTGTACTTTTGAGTCTGGTTACTTACTTGGGCCATAGAAATCCACTTGTTTCTGGGGCGTCTTTCAATGAAGTAAGTTGCTGACCGAAGGCCGAGATGTACATACTGACTTGGATAGATTCTCAGGCTTGCTAAAGCAAGAAACGTCACTGTTGAGCGTCTGTTCAGCCCCTGTTGGGGCACTGTTGCTATTGAAGTAGTTAAAGACCTTCTCGTTAAGCCTCAGACTGCTCAGCTGATGGCTGATTTGCTGGGAATGTCTGTTTCAGAGTTCCTCGTTCTAACCCAGTCCCATACACTGCCCTGGCTAGTCTTAAACCAGCAGGCTGTGGTAGTCAAGCGGATCGCTGAAGCTCGGAGAGCGCCCGAAACGTCAGTGATGTGCATGGACCCAATAAATTGGTGTCCTATCTTGGCTCTTCTGCTTGTTCAGCCAGTACCTGATATGGAACTTTATGTGTTGGCTACCTTAAGAAGAGCTGTAATAGGTTTCAAAGAATGTGATCTCTCATTGTTGATCCGCGTTGAACCTGCCTCCACAGCCCTCTGCTTGCTAAAGGCTGCAGGAGAGGCTGATGAGGGCAAGAAATCTCGAGTAAGTGATCTTGTTGCCAATGGAAGGGGTCGCCTAACATTTGACAGATTCGAGTTGCTTTGCAGTTCCTTGCTTCCCGTGCTCCTTCTACTGATGGCAATCAAAAGAAGGGCAATCCTGTCGGCGCATTCCTTGAAATGCATGTTCTAGGCCTTGTTACCCGTATATCCGAGGTTGTAAACGATTCTCGCGATGCGCACTCGGCGAAGCAGAAGGAACGTTTCGTGAATGCTATGGAGGAGCTAGTGAAGGTTGCTAAATCGCACACAAGGGTTGCTCGACCACAGGTATGTCTTCCCTGATTCTAGTATGGAGTCGCTACTTACTTACATTAGATGTGTGCCTGCTTGCAATCAGCTTTCGCTCAGAGGGAGCTTCAAACATCTGCCTTTTCGGCTTGGGCTACGATGCTTACCAGCCTGGAAGATGATGACGTGGAAACTATGCTAGAAAGCACGTTTTCTACGATTATACAGAGGTGGGACACTTTCGACGAAACAGCGCGGAAATGTGTTGTAGATACTCTACAGTATCTGATCGACAAGCGGGCTCGCCTCTTGCGCAACATGCTTGTCAATCTACCGTCCTTATCGCAGTTTCCCCAGCTGGCTAAGGTTGAAAAGCAGCTCAGCAACATGAGAACACCCACAGATATTGGGAACACCTTCCAAATTTTCAGTCGCAGAGTGGGCCACGAAAATTCAGGTGTTGTTGCCCAAGCTTTGGTCGAACTAAAGGCCTATCTTCGACAGCATCAATCCTTCCTCCAGGCATCGGCAGTTAGTGAGCAGCCCGATGCCGTCGTCGGTCAGCTTGTTCGAGCAATACTGGATACTTGTGTCAAGTTCAACGATTTGCACGACGTTGCTCAATTATCTGCAGAGTGCATTGGACTCATCGGCTGCCTTGATTCGAATCGAGTCGAATCCGTCCGAGAGCAGCGTGAGATGGTGATGGTCAGCAATTTCTATGATTCTGGAGAAACTCTTGATTTTGTTCTCTTCGTCTTAGAGGAATGCCTTGTTCCTGCGTTTCTCTCAGCCACGGACACCGTCCTGCAGGGATTTCTCGCCTTCGTAATGCAGGACCTGCTTGAGAAGTGTAATTTCAAGGAGATTTGTGGGCAGATCATCAAGAATGGAGTGAAAGGCTCTACCGACCTACACTACATAAAATGGCTATCATTGCCGACAAGCGTGCAGGATACCTTAACGCCATTTCTCAGTTCAAAATACGCCGTGAAAGATCTCGACCCCGTGACATACGAGTATCCGATCTTTCGCCCCGAGACGATACCTCCCACCAAACTGTATAACTATTGGATTAGGACAATGGCACTGGATCTATTGCAGAAACCCGGCAGTCCTCTTAGTGACCTTATCTTTGTTCCGCTCCGTCGTGCGATCAAAATGAAGGATGTGTCAATTCCAGGGTTTCTCCTTCCTTACTTGGTCTTGAACAATATTGTTGAAGGCAGCGATCAAAATCGAGAGGATCTTGCGCAAGAACTGCTTGCGATCTTGCAGTATCAGCCTTCTGCGGAATCTCAAATACATACGGAAGATATTAAACTGTGTATTGAGGTAAGAAAATATTTATCTAGGATATAACGTCTTTTTGCTGATTTCTGCAGGCGGTATTTCGCGTCCTGGACTACCTCGCACGTTGGGTCCAAGAAAGACAGGCGAAGAACAGCAAATCTCGCGATCAATCACCGTCCTCGGACGGCATTGATAGAGTCAATGCTCTCATAAAAATGATTCCTCCCGAGGTCATATCACGTCGTGCCGTAGAGTGCAAATCGTACTCTCGCGCGTTGTTTTACTGGGAGCAACACATTCGTCATGCGAGAAAGAATGACAAAAGCTCTGAAACCAATACTACCTTGCTACAACGTCTGCAAGAAATTTACACCCAGATTGACGAGCCAGACGGAATCGAAGGAATTTCGGCTCATCTCCATGTGCTAGACATTGACCAACAAATCCTTGCACATAGAAAAGCAGGGCGATGGACAGCCGCCCAGAGTTGGTACGAGATCAAACTTGCGGAAAATCCTGATAATATTGACACTCAATTAAATTTGTTGACGTGTCTGAAGGAGTCTGGGCAACACGGTGAGTGGCCAGCGGTGGGTACTTTGAATTCTGCTAATTCTCTCTTTAGATGTTCTGCTGAACTATGTTGAAGGTATGCACACTGCAAAACAGACTGTCTCTAGTCTGCTCCCATTTGCAACGGAAGCTTCCTGGGCCACGGGTCGATGGGCTGCATTGGAGAAATACACGTCTTCAATACCGAAAACCCCTGGCGAGGACTTCAACGTTAGCATTGGTCGTTCTCTGCTGGCACTGCATACGAAGGACACCGATCTCTTTACTTCGACCATCCAGTCACTTCGAGAACAGATTGCCTGTTCTCTCTCAACGTCAACGACTTCTTCGATCGCAGCATGCCATGACTCTATGCTCAAGTTTCATGTGCTCACAGAGCTGGAAATGATCGCAGGCACGGCTAAAGATGCTTCCACAGAACGGACAGATATCCTTGAATCTTTAAGCCGCCGATTGGAAGTGATTGGAGCTTATCTCAACGACAAGCAATATTTGCTAGGTATTAGACGTGCTGCAATGCAGTTATCAAGGTATGACTACATTCTAGCAATGCATGGCATTGTTGCTAACTTTACAGCCTCAATTTTACTAAAGGTGACATTGCATCCGCATGGCTCACGAGTGCACGGCTCGCCAGAAAAGGGAACGCAATCCATCAGTCCTTCAACGCTGTGCTCCACGCTTCAGAACTTGGCGATAAATCGGCAACCATCGAGCATGCACGACTCTTGTGGAAAGAAGGCCATCACCGGAAAGCCATCCAAAGTCTACAAGGAGCCATCGACAATAACGCATTCATATCCCACAACATAACCGCCAATGCTACAAGCTTTCCAGGCACCGAAGCAGGAGAGCAACAACAAAACCTCCTCACAGCGAGGGCGCATTTGCTACTTGCTAAATGGCTAGATAGTGCAGGTCAAACTCATTCGAATGCTCTGCGGATTCAATATCAACTAGCGGCAAAGACACATACCAACTGGGAGAAAGGTCACTATTATCTGGGCCGCCATTACAACAAGATACTCGAATCAGAAAAAGCTCTTGCACCCGAGTTAAATAGCGAAGCGTACCTCTGCGGAGAAACTGCTAAGCTCGTGGTTGAGAACTATTTGAGGTCGCTGTCCTTTGGGACGAAGTACGTTTATCAAACACTGCCGCGACTCCTTACTCTCTGGCTCGATTTGGGCACGCAAGTCAATCAACCTCTAGATCCAAAGTACGGAAACAGTCGAGAATTGATCAAGAAGGTTAGCGATCTTCGAAAGACTCACCTGGAACATTTACACGGGCGATTCCAGAAATACATATCAAAAATGCCCGCATACATATTCTATACGGCTCTCCCTCAGATTGTCGCTAGAATTGCGCATCCAAACAACGATGTCTACAAATACCTCCAGAGCATTATTTTCAAGGTCGTACAAGCACACCCACAGCAGGCATTGTGGAGTCTCCTTGCCGTATGTGCATCCCCTCAGGTGGATAGGAGGACGAGAGGCGGAACCATTCTTCAAGCTCTTCGTGCCAGTAAAAACAAAGAACCTGGATCACTCGATATCAGAGCAATAATCAAGAGCGGCGATAAGCTTGCTGAGCAACTTCTTTTGGCCTGCAATGCTGGCGAATTCCAAGGCAATCGGACGATTTGGGCAAACTTGACCAGAGACCTTGGGTTTTCTCACAAGGCCTGCATGCCAAGTTCAATGGCCATGCCGGTCGAAAGCGTCTTGACCGCAACCCTTCCAACGCTCACCGATAATGTCAAAACCCACAAAGCATTCTCTCGGGACGTAGTTACCATATCATCATTCTTGGATGAAGTGATGGTTCTCAGCTCTCTACAAAAACCACGAAAGCTTACCGCACGTGGATCGGACGGCAAAACATACGGTCTCATGTGCAAGCCAAAAGATGATCTGCGTAAAGATCAAAGACTTATGGAATTTAATAGCATGATTAACAGGTCTCTGAAGCGAGATGCAGAATCGAGCAGACGGCAATTGTATATCAAGACCTACGCTGTGACGCCCCTTAACGAGGAATGCGGAATCATTGAGTGGGTTGATGGTCTGAAAACACTTCGAGATATTCTTCTCGGTCTGTACAGGGCGATAGGAGTCCAGATAAACTATCGGGAGATCGAGACGTTTTGCGATGAGGCGTCGAAATCAACGGAGAAGCTTCCATTCTTTACTGAAAGGGTACTTGGCACTTTCCCCCCTATATTCCATAAGTGGTTCGTGCAGCAATTTCCTGAGCCTTCGACCTGGTTCGCGGCTAGACTTCGCTACACCCGGTCTTGTGCAGTCATGTCTATGGTCGGCACAATTCTCGGTCTAGGAGACCGCCATGGTGAGAATATTCTTTTCGAAGAAGGCAACGGCGGGACTTTTCACGTCGATTTCAACTGTCTTTTCGACAAAGGTCTCACCTTCGTCAGGCCTGAACGAGTGCCTTTCCGCTTGACGCACAATATGGTTGATGCAATGGGGATTTATGGATACGAGGGACCATTCCGAAAGTCCTCGGAACTCACTCTGAAACTGCTTCGTCAACACGAAGAGACGTTGATGACGATTCTCGAGGCTTTCGTGTACGATCCTACGTTGGACCTGTTGAAGAAGCCGGAAAAGAAAAAGAAAGAGGGTGCCTTTGTGGTCCCTCAGACTGCTCAAGGCGTGCTCGACAGTATCCAGAGGAAGGTCAGAGGTTTGTTGGCTGGGGAAAGTGTGCCGCTCGGAGTGGAGGGACATGTGGACGAGCTGATCAAGCAGGCGACGAACCAGACTTATCTGGCCTCGATGTATATTGGTTGGTGTGCATTTTTATAGCTGTGGTGCCACGAAGACAATTTTGGCGGCGGAACGTGGCTGTATCTGTGTGCTGACGCTGATGACACCATGCAGACGTGGCAATTGTGTAACATTGCTGTATTTGCCATGTCTCAAACATATTGTATTTACAATCATATGGTATTACCAATATCCAGCCTCCGCATCCAAACGGACAAATCGTGGGCCGGTTGAATCTGGTAATGAAGTGGGCTCATTTCCCTCAGACCACATTCCATCGCGTAACTGAACCCCACCTCATCCTCCAAAATATCTCTCAGCCCTACACTTTCCAAAGCTCCTCATACCGCGGGAGGGAGGTTAAATTCCATGTATATCCCCTCAATAGCCACACAAATCCAAGTCAGTCAATTCGACGGAAAAGGAAGCGGCAAAAGGATCATGAACACGCCGCAAGGACGAAGGATTGGTGCGCTCGTTGGTCTGAGCGTGGTGGGCATGTCATTGTTAGCGGCCAGCAAGCTGATGCCAAGTAAGAATCAGACTGTTGTTTGGGAGATTGGGGCCGAGTTGGATAGGGTTAATGGGGAGGCTGATGTGATGAGGGGGCGGGAGGCGGTTTTTGGGTGAGATGCTTTTAAGCTTGTGCGAGGTGGAGGGAAGAGGGGTTTGATGGAAATGGGCTGGGCTGATGCGTGATAGAAAAGGAGCTGGTGGTGAAGAGTTGAAGAGGTGTGGACTTGAGGAGCGGAGTGATGTGTGATGTGTGAATGGGGGATGACTGCTGGCAGTTAATGGAGGCGGAATCGACTGATGATTTGGTATATTTGGTGGTTGACTCAAAGTTGAGATGGCCACTTGAAGCATGCTCGTTATTCAACATGAACAAACTTTTGTGCTACATCACAGTGTATTACTGCCTCTTCTTCTATTTCGCCGCAAACACTCTGTTCTCGTTTCCATACTTTACAACTCAACTTCAAGTCTCCGACAAACCGCTAGAACAGAACATTCAAGCCAATTTAAAGTTACAGGCTACGGTGCAGGCACATCTCAAAGAGAGAAAAATGCCCAGCAGGATACTTGGGGACGGCACCCGAATGCCTACCCGACCTTTCTCGAATTACAAAAACAGATTCTTCTGCATGAAGCATAACTGCAACGCTTTGTTCTTCACGGAAAACATGCTGAAGAATCATGAAACGTTTTGTCATTCGGAGCATCCGCTTGTAGGCGAGGATGCATCTGAGACGGAGCAAATGGACAACAGAAGAATTCGAGGGAGGCCTGAAGATGTAATTGTGGATGTGGAGATGGTGGGAAAGGAGCCAGCAGACGAGGGTAAGGTGTATCGGACGATGTTTAAGATGGCTTTCGAATTCTTTGACAACTTTTTGGGGAGGGGAAAGAGCGGTGAGACACCAGGTGGTGAGGTGGAGGGAAGGAATTTGGTGGAGTCAGTTTGAGTATTCATTGGATCAATCAAGGTATTTGCTAGGCAGACTCCTCTTTGCTTTGTGAATCATGTGCAAAACCCATTCCTTGGGTGTCGTTATGCTTTGAGAATATTTATACAAACTCATTCAATTTCGGTTTCCGATGCCTCAAACATTCTCTCGGGGCGTCAAAGAGAATCAAACATATTTACCTAGAGCCTCACTCGCTGCCAACAAACCCAGAAAAGGCAAATCAAGTACGCTCTCAACATGTCTGAATCAACGCTAATAGAGCTTTCCAATCGCTATCAAAACCACAATCCTAAAATCGTGGGCAAAACAGGGAAAAAAGCAGAGCAAGTGTCAAACTCGGAGTCGTCAAGAGAAACACCAGCGGAGAACAGCCGGAACCAGAACGCGAACATCAACTTGAAGACTTCTACCACTCATCCCACTCGACATAAGCTGGGAGAGAAAGCCAACAGTTTCTTCGAAGAAAGAAACAATCGACCTAGCACAAGGTGGATGTCACTCTTGCACAGGAATCTGGCTGCGAATCCAGGGTCGAGTCAGCATTCTGGGTAGGATAACTCAGGGTAGGGCGATATGAAGATCCAAGGCAGAAGCGAAGACAGCCAGCGAGTGAAGCATGCTCCACCATCTTAGCATCTCAGGTGGTTTCATGCATGGGGGGGGGGCTGGGACAACTGTGAACATGTGTTGGCTGGAGGGATGGGCTTGGTGAACAGCGATGAGAGTCAATACAATAAAGCATCAGTTGGGTACGCTTGAACGTAATTCATGCAGTTGTGGCCTCAATATCATGAAGTCTTTCCCAGACTCTCTGCTTGCTCCACAGCTCCCCCCCCCAGTATTTGTACAGCACGCTTCCGTTCTCAAAATATGAACATCCAATACCCAGCAGACTAATAATGAACCTCTCATGCAGTAGAAATCCCTAGAAGATAGGCCTCGAGGGTGTCACTTAACATTGCCAGTGAAAGGCCGGGGTCAGCACGGCTTGCGAAAATGCTGAAACGTATTTCGAATCGCGAAGGAAAATATAATACAAAGCTCAGTCTATGAGAGTCAGTGGCAAATAAATGGTGGAGATGGCAGTAGGTGTATTCTAGCATGCCTTTGAAGAGGGTTGTGGTGTTGCTTACAGCCTTATGTTGGGCTTGCAGAAAGAAGCTGGGGAGTGTGCCGATTCACAGCTGAACATGTTGCCGATTTCGAGCAGCATTTTGTGCTGGGGCTTTGTTGATTTTCTCATTTCCTGTTTAATATCATTATTGAACTCTCAAGTTATAAGATAGTGATCAAAGGGTGGGAAAGGGTATCATGTTGCATATTTTTCTTTGAAGTGTCGGAGGCGGTGAACAGGAGGAGAGAACAATCGTACCGAACTCGAATCCCGACCCCAAAGAACTCTTCTCTTGATGATCTCTGATCTCGCACACAATGCACTTGCTACACTGATTCAACTCGAGGATCTCGACCGACACCTCTCGACTCCTACACGTGCTGTAGTCCTTGGGGGCGTCTTTGCAGGGACCCCATCGACGAGAATGCTCCTGGCCACAAGCAAAGAAATAAATCGATAAATGGCACATCTCGAGACCCGCAAGCGCTGTTCAATTTTCACAATGAATATACAATGAATACTTCGAGAAATCTGTTGTGGGCCGGGGGGTAACCTTATCTTATTCCCGAGTGTGGCTGTGTAAGTCTTGGTTTTACGAGGCATTTCCCATGGCGAATGGATGTGTACCCGCTGTGCTGTACGTAAGTTTGCCAAGAAAGTCTGGGGCGAATATCCGCGTGGCATTCTGAGATCCTTTCCTTGCATGCCGGACACGAAACCAAATGGTGTCTCGATTTTATTTGAAGTTGGCAAGGGATCTTCCAACGAGTTACAGATCTGCGTCTCAGCCTTGCATGGAGGTCACGAGGCTGACAGTTCGCTAAATCGAAGCCGACGTCGTGAATGAGTCTACAACTTACTTACTCCACTCATGATCTCCACGATATCACTTTCCACTTCGGAATATGAGCTATAGTCAGTCTATTCAGAGAGCCTCACTGAATAAGAACTTACCCCTTATTCTCACCGGCCCCACCGAGCCTCGCTGCTCCCCATTCACCAAGGCTACGAGGTGAATATTTGACAAGGCTCCCGACATCTCCTCCCATGCTTCGGGGAACGAACCTCTTTGCTCCACAAATTTTTCGTCACTCATATACCACAAACACAATTAGGATGTCTACCTTCAACCTCGCGGGTGCAGATGTATCAATCAAATTAGTCGATGATCTCACCAAAGACGAGCTCCTCAAGTTTCCCGCCTTCAAGGTACCACTTTCCCACATGCTTCACAGCCTTATCCTGAATATAACATAGCCTCATCGTCTCCATTCATGTAAACTACAATATTAACAGAAACATAGAACTGGATCAAAACTCTGCAATCCAACCTCTCTCTCCAGTCCACCAACCAGAACCATGAATTCCACAAATCCCCCTACTCCCTCAAGCACATCCAAATCCAAGCTGTGGACCGATTCGGCCCCCGAATTGGCTTCATGAAGATCCACGCCACGGTCACGAATGCAGACGGCGATTTCCTCCCCGGCGCCATCTTCCTGCGCGGCGCAAGTGTAGGCATGCTCGTTCTGCTGCAGCCCGATGACCTACCTCCGAACAGTCAGGAGGAGAAGCACGTGCTGTTGACAGTGCAGCCTCGGATCGCGGCGGGGGGCTTGCAATTCGTGGAACTGCCGGCGGGGATGGTGGATGATGGAACGTTCAAGGGGAGCGCTTCGAAGGAGATTGAGGAGGAACTGGGACTGAAGATTCATGAGGATGATTTGGTTAATTTGACGGAGTTGGCGATCCCGGAGAAGGAGGAGATTTGTCCGAGAGCTATGTTCCCAAGTGCTGGGGGGTGTGATGAGTTTATTCCGATTTTTTTGCATGAGAAGAGGATTCCTCGGCAGCAGTTGGCGGAGTGGACTGGGAAGCTCACCGGACTGAGGGAGGAAGGGGAGAAAATCACTCTGAAGCTTGTTAAGTTAGAAGACTTGTGGCTTGAGGGAGCGAGGGATGCAAAGGCGTTGGCGGCTTGGGCTCTTTATGATGGGTTAAAGAGGAGTGGAAAGTTGGAGACGTAATGCAATGCGACGTGTTTTTAGTATTCGTGCCTGCCATGCCAGTCTATCTGGGTATCCTCAAGTCTATAACTTCCATTTTTTTGCAATCTCAATACCCTCTCCCAATGTAGCAACCCTAGCATCTATCGCGAAGCCTTCCTTCTCTAGCCTCTTGCACTCCGCATACAGATCCGTCAATGGAAGTGTGAACACCTCGATAAACTCGCTGTCCTCCAACTCCGGCTTCGGATTTTGATTCTCGGACTTAGACATATCGACCGTAACATGGATCATTCGAAGATTGGTGTTGCAAAATCCAGGATCTTTGTCAATTCCCCGTCAGCCTAACTCTTTCCCTCAAAATCGGAGCATGATGAGCCGTACCATTAAACATCACCGGACTCGTCTCGCTCACAACTCCAATATACCCGGTCTCCTCCTTCAACTCTCTCACCGCAGCCTCCTCAGCCGTCTCTCCCGCATCCACCAGTCCAGCAGGCACCTCGATCGTGACCTTCTCAACCGGGGGCCTGAATTGCTTCTGGAGAACGATTTCTGGTCCTGTTGCCTATTTCAGCCACTTCCACCAACGCAATTGCAATTGAATGTGAGCCGCACCTCCAGGCTTCTCTAGAATCGCAACTATTCCTACGCCATCGATATCAGAACCTTTGGGACGTGTAGGTCGCTCGGCATGCTCCCACGTTCGTGGCTTGCCGAGGGGATCTTGGTAGGTTGTTCTGGGGACGAGATGTCAGCGGAGAGCTTCTGGAGTGTGGTGGGAGGGAGAGGATATTGGGAGGCATTTCGTACAAGATGAGTCTTGTCCATTTCGCATTTTCGCCGGTCTGTAAAGGAGAAAATGGTCAGCTCTGTGGGCCTCGTCGATATGCATGACATGGCTGCAGTGCTCGGGCAAGGAGTGGACACGCACCAGAGGTTCAGTCTTCAGGATCTTAGAGTAGGTGGAAGACATTTTGAAGACTTTGGAGAGTAATATACTAAGAAAATTGAGGGAGGATGAGCTCAACGAGCTCGAAGCTCAAGGGACCGGTGAGGATTTGTGCATTATCTTGCGGGAAGTCGCGTGGCGCGGTTTTTTTGGTGGGTTTTGGAAGCGAGACATTCATAGAATGGAGGGGTCAAAATGCGGCTCCCCGCCATCTTGGTTTGAAAGGGACCAATTCAGGACCCTCCTTGTGCAATCAAACCCTTCGGCTGAGATTTGGAGGATCGCGGGTTCACATGCGGCTCCCTACCACTTTGGTTTAGAGGTCGATTCAGGCCCCTTATTGTGCAATCAAACCATGGCTCAAAATCGGCTCCTATGCCCCTGCGAGCCCTCCCCCTTCAAAATACATTCTTCAATCTCTCAAGGCAGATTCTTCTCGCAAGATGGCATTGTCTTGCGACAACTCCCTCGCAAATCTTTGCTCTTTCGTATACCTTTTTCCACCAGACTCTTCTCTATCTGCCTCGCAAATTTATTTGCGCATTGCAATTTCTTCTTTTGGCGGACTAATTGTTTCTTTCTATCGCCCCTTCCCAACGATCGTTCTCTTTGAAAAGATGGCTCAGACGAATGATCCCGAGAATTTTGTTGGAAGAGCTCGACAAAAAGGGTCCGAGAGGAATATATTTCGCATTAATGGCCCGAAGTTCAAATAAAAACCATCTCAAGCCCGAGACTCGAAATTCTCATCCGAGGCACGTGGACAATCTTCGTTAGTGAGTTACATCTTCTCATTCGCACGTAGCTCTTGATCGCAGTTCATGTGCCAGGAATTCCCGGTACTGGCCCTCATCTTCAGCCGATAATCAAGAAACTTTTTGGAAATATACCATCTCTCGCAAAGATGCCTCCTAAGATCGCAATACCAAACGTCATAATTACTGTTTCTGTTTTATGGAAGAGTTAGCCCTTTTGGGCAGATAATTGCTGAGATTTTTACGTTACTCGGCTCATAGGTGAAGCACCCTTAACGAAAGGAGACCGGCCAGCCCCTTTTCATTAGCGAAAGTAAGTTCGAACCGACCCCTAAGCCGACCTCCCCAAGGAATGAATCTCACCACCCACAACTGGATTAACTTTGAGTTAGATTAATTATTGACCACCTTTTTAATTATGTAGAAAACTGATGTCTTGTTTAGCTTTTCACTGCAAATACTTTTTCATCGAGAAGGGGGAAAGAACGGAAGGCAGTCAGTGCTTAGGTATGTCCACAATCCTCAGAGCTTCTAATACATGTCTACGTATAAGGATTCATACTGTTCACTATTTAATACGCTCAAACACATCTTGCGCATCTTCTATATAGCCTTTATCCTTTCTCGACGACCTACATTCAATTTATTCGTAATTTCGTAAATCTCAGGTGTTAAAGAATTTCACTTGAGACCACATCTGTATATCTTGGCTAGCACAGACTTCTCAGCAGAATAGAGCAGAATCCAGTACCAACATGCCTTCTTCTCCCCCATATCACTATTTCTTCTTCTTATACTACCGCATGTCCTATATCCATAGACTCACCTATAACATTTTTCCCAAACTCACTGTTTGCTCGACAACTTTTGTTCCACGCTCTAAGGGCACATAAAAACCTTCTCAATCGACTTTTAAGACCTTATTTCATCTTTCCCAGCGCTTCGCGCATTATTTTAGGAAATAATAGCGACTTCCACCCCAATCGCTCGAATTTATTGCATTCCGGCTTCCAAAACGCGGATTTTACACGCCCATAAGAACCTTAATCCCCCAGCAATCTCAATTATACTTCAAAGAGATATTAAAAGGATCTCGACGTCAATCCTCCTCCCCGTCTCGAATTAGATGGTAATGCACATACCTGCAATACCGCTTCCAAGGCCATTTCCGGCCAATTTGAAGCATTCGAATCGGGACGTGAAATCTAGGCTCAACACCTAAGGCAACCCCCACACTACTTGAAAGAGGCACCATTGAAGGCTCTCATGAAACTGTTTGACAGCTACAGCCTGCGGACGGCAGAGGCCATCTCAGGGCTACGGCTCCTGGACGGCTTCCAGTGCCTTACCTGCTCGGCCGTCCCCTGGCTCGACCGTCGAACGGGCATTGCGGAGTGTATACGGGGCCTCGGCAAGGACCAGAACCAAGCCGCGTTCGCCCTGCCGACGAAGGGTGGCGAGAGCGAGCCGGAGCTGGTCCGAATCCTAGAGGCCATGGACGAGGTGCTCGCGGAGGCTCACGGCTGGTGCGCGGACGGGCCGGTGTACATGCTCACCGCACTTCTCTTCCAGAGTAAATCTTACGACGGTGATCTTCTGTACCATTTATTAATTACTAAGAAGATTGGGAATTTAAGGAGGCACACCAAAGAGTTGGGACTATATCACTGGCAGGGCCGCAAGGCGATTTCGACAGGTTGCCTGAGGAGAGGCGAACCATTCGACTTGAATGACCACTGACTGCATCTGAATGTCCCTGAACGCAAAAAGCCCTTGCTTCCTATCTTGGGCGTACATACGAGTTTTCCTAGATTCAGGACGGAGATATAATCTTTTTCCAGCATCGTTTTTCCTTCTTTTCTTATTTTTCTGTGGCATGGTGCTCTCAAGACCATTTTCTGGAGGTTTACAGGCAAGGAGAACCGCTTCAAGGGCTCTGAAAGCTTTCATTAGTTTCAATGTGGGCAGATATCTACCAAATCAGCCTCTGTCCCAAAATGCTCTTGATTTTCCTGTTCAAAAAAGGGTTTCCCCTATTTCACCAAGGGGTTGCTCTCGGCCCCTGCACATCTCTCCACTGGCCATCAACTTTCACTCGCTCCCCGGCAACACTCCTCTCCCTTACAGCGCCCTCCTCCATACTTTCCCCAACCCCCATCTTCCTAAACCCCCACCTCCCCACCGCCCACCCAGTCCCCACAGCCACCGTTCCCAGGATCCCCGTCGGCGCCAGTACCCACCCCACACCACTCACCACTCCTCCAAACGCCGTGGCGCCCACCGCCGCAACGATACTTCCTACCAGCGCATACTTCGCATACCGTACAACCCGCCAGAAAATAAAGATTCCTATATATCGTAAAGAGCGGAGGAGAGCACGGGTGCGGAGATGTGCCGGACGGGGAGAATTGGGAGAGTTGGGCGCGAAGAGGAAGTGGATGTTTTGCTTTGCGGAGTGGAGGGCTGAGCTGGACCTTATATTTGCGCGTTGTTCTGTGGCTGCTTCTGAGGAAGAAGATAAACCGGTCTCTGAGGATCCTCTGGATGGAGACATTTTGCTTCGGAATACTTGCAATTGAGGCTTTGTGAGAATTTCGTGAGCTGAGAAGAGGCGAGGTTGAAATTGAGATGAAGTTGAGTTGAACTCAGGAACAAACTACGTCATCCCTCTCCTTCCTCCCCTTGCTTCCCCCTCCGAAATTCAGCCGCGCAACCGAAGCCCACCCCCTATTCCGCCCCCCTTTTAAATCTCACCAACACCGCTTCCAAATCATCCCCACACTCAACCCGACAAACACGACCTCCGCAACCGCAGAATTGCCACACATTCCTCTCCCCGTCCCCCTTCCTCTCCCACCCCTCCACCTCCGATCCCCAAATGCAACCGACAATCCTTGTAAATCGAGATCACCAGCGCACCAGCAGCCCACGCAAGCATGACATCAAATTGTCCCGGGACTCGTGGATGCGAGATCGCGATAAGTAACGGGATACCGAGGGCAAAGAGCCAGGGTGAGAGGAGGGAGAGGTGCGCTTGAATTGAGGCAGGTAGGGGAGGAAGGTCGAGGACATTTAGGCAGAGGGCGAAGCATGTTGCTGCTAGGGAGAGGCGGAGGCGTTTTTGCATTTTGAGTGGAGGAAGAGGAGGCACGGGAATGAGAGAGTGTGTGCGTGTTTGTGGGAGATTAATTAATTGTGGATGAGGAAAATAAAAGAGCGGAGGGAATTTAAAGATTGCTCGTGTGGCTGTCTGTCTGATCCTTCGAGGTGATTGGGTTGCCGCGCGCTTACACCGTTGTGTGAATGTGAATTTTGAAACGAAAGGAACTTCTCGACTTCGGAGACTGGGTGAACCTGGAATGTTGGAACATCCATAAATAGATGAAACAGTTTTCCTTGTGTAGATGCAGGTTGGCCTGCAAGGCCCCTAAATGTCAGCTTGAGTTCTAGTTCGCCAATAGTGACAAAACGCGAGCACACGCCCTCAGTCAAAAGGAAATTGGGTATCATTTTTAAAGATTTCCATTTTTTATCTTCCCTGGTCTAATTTTGAGACAGCTATCCCTGCCGTCTTGGTATCGATCGCTCATTCTCACCTCATGAGTTCACCATCTTTATAAACATACACAAGGATGTATACCATCCGTACTCTCACATCCGCCGTTTTCGCATCTCATCTGATCTCATCTCGTCTTAACCGTGCCATGTTCAGTGCCAAGCATTGTTTAAGCTCAACAAGTAGCACACTGTGTGTGTGCAGTAAACGAGAAGTTGTACGCCAGTCGAAGCCCCGTGAATGCAATGTATATCAAGACCAGCCAGCCAACCAAACGAGAATTCCCTGCGGAAAGAAGAGAAATCAGAAAACCAACCCACAACCAGACCGCTTGCAAATGCATGTAAAAACAAACAACATATTCATCTGTTTGGAAGAGACTTTTCAGATCTCTTCAATCTCTCGCGATTGACGAGAGCCCTGGTCATCAAAGCATTCAGATGAAGGAAATCTATGCAATCGTAGACACACCATGTCTATACCATTTCGCCATTTTTCTTCCCCGGATCAAACACTAGAGGACGAATATGCTACCGAAGCACATCAAATGAACGCCATTCAGATGCAAAACGATGGAATCTGGTTGGGACCAGATGCTGAGGGATTTCCCGTCCACAGAGGAGCTTGGAAACTGGTGTTTTCATGCTTGGGATTCGAGCACTGTACTCCTTCACTGGCTCCGGACACGACTTTGCTTTTCCCTCGCCTAGTCTCGAAGCCGGCGCTGTGTCCTCTGCACGACCGCGGTCGCTTACCCACCCTTTCGTTCGGAGTTATTGCTTGGAAGTTTTTCGCTGAAGGGTTGTCCGTTTCCATTACTCTTCGCATCTGTACCAGCACTCTTCTTTTTGCCCTTGGGAATCTTCTGCCAGCTACCGGTTGCAGCACTTTCACTCTTCGCTGATCTCGTGTGGCCGTTGGACTTCGACGTTGTTGGAGACTGGTTGGACTGGTTGCCAGCAGGAGTTCCTGATCTCTGGAGTGCCTTGAAATTTTGCTGCTTCTCATCTGTCGAATTGGAGGTAAACCCATTAGCTTTTCGGTCCATTCCTGGCTCAAACTTTCGGTTTGCTGTCGGCGATGGGGTCCGAGTTTCGTACACGGGAGACAAATGAGGCAAATCGTCTCGGATATGCTCATTTTGACCAGTACTGATATCCAGAGGAGACATACCCCCATTCTGAGCCTGACGTGCTAACCGATTTCGAGTATTTGGCGAAAGTCGAAGCGTTCCGTTCAGCTGCTCTGCTGGCAGCAAACCATTTGGTACAGAAGTTGAATGTGTAAGGATGCCATTTGGAGCAGATGGATTAGCCAAAATCGTCGAATCGCTCGTCACTGAGGTTGACCCATTCGCCACCACCAGCATATCATTTCGGCTTTCCATTCGAGAATCTCTTGGGGTTTGTTGAACCGTACCGACCTGCTCGCCATACAACTCGCTCCCCTGTGATGTTGAGTCCATAGACCCCCCGACTATATCGCTACCCTGGTCATCTGTAGGAGAGTTTTCACTAACAGCAGCTTGCCAATGAGCAATCGAAACCGGTGCTGGATTGGAACCATTGACCACCAATGGTGCTTGACTGTTCAATGCACGAAGGTTGGAGCTTGAGATTCCTTGCAGGGATTGAACCGCGGTAAGAGGTGCAGAGTGCGCGCCGGTAGAATACGATCGGTCGTGCCCAAGAGGCGAAGGTGATCTAGAAGGTCGCTTTAGCCTATCCAGAATGGACTGGGGTAGCTGATCTGTCGATAAACGGCGTCTAGACTGTCCAATATCACCGAAAGCCGGAATTGATGGGATTGTCATCGACATGGCCGGCTGCCTTCTCATAGGACTTGGCGCATGATCATTAACATAGTAGCCAACGTATTCCTTCGGTGTAGTATCTTCAGGCGGGGTTGTCACGACAGAACCAGGCCCGGACTCAAAACCCGATTCCAAATTTTCATCCGCAATGAAGTTAGGAATCGGAACCCCATGAGCCTGCCGTAGTGATTGGTAGATCCCAAGTCCCTGGTTTACCATGCCACCTCCCTGGAAGGCGAGTGGTGATGGAACTGATCGAGCAGCAGGTTGAGAATGCGACCGTAACGAACTGTTGGGCGGCCCTCCCCCATTGCCCGAACCGTTTGTGACGCTTGATCTGTGCATGCTTCGTCTCAACTCAGGAACAGCATTGCTCAGAGAAGGCGATGAGGGGTTCGTGCTCGGTGTTTGGTATCCATAAATCGGCTGTCCCTGGTAGTGCAAAGGGTAGAAGAACATGTCCGAACGAACGGGCGCTGTGAGAGGTGGCTGATCGAACGAATTGGTGCGATTGCGATCCGTGGCCTGCTGTTTGATTGGGCCGCCACTGCCCTGAGCCTGAACGTAAGCTTGACTCTGTTGCGCCTGGAGTGACTGAGTATATAATTGTAACCGCAAGCTATTCTCCTGCGCTTGTAAGACAGAGTAGGTCGCGTAAAGATCATTGTGTAGCTGTGCTTGAGCCTGTCGTTGGAGCCAAGCCTCTTGTGCGGACATGTTCTGAGGCAAACCACCTGAGACGTAAGAAGAGTTGTGGTCGAATGCTCCACTAGAAGCTCTACGATTGCTGTTTCCATTGCGGTTGTTGTTGTTGTGTCTCCCCCCGCGGTGTGTACCACCTCGCCCTCTATTTGACTGTGATGTACTTCTCAGAACCGGTTTAGGCCTCGACGGCGGCTTCTCCCACACTCGCTCCTCTTCTTTGGGGTAGGAATATTGCTCGCAGCACTCCTCAAGTTTAGCTTGTGACACCAAGTCAAAGGCTCTCCTCAGCTCCATATGCAGACCTCGGAAAGATATGTCGTCAGCAGTGTTTCCTAGATTCCTCTCAACGTTGAAAGGCTCTTCAACGCAAAGTCTGTTGTTGTTAGTAACATGCCATTTCTTGTCAACCTTTGAGATCTGTTTCCCGCTCCGAACTGAAATTACAAGCTTATCATAATCGAACTCGTGCCCGTAGAATCGAAAGAATTGGAACAGAAGTTCCCCAAGCGTTTCTTTATTCTTCTTGCCAAAGTTCTTCAATGCATCAATATCGTCTGCAAACGCGCTTTCGACTCCATCCTTGGTCGGGAGTTTCATGTGCGGTCGTTGGTGAAGGGCTGGAAGGACAGGAGGAGGTCGACTTTGTAGGAAGTTGATAATCATGCATATCCAAGTGTATGAGCTGAGAGTCCCGCCAAAAGCTACTCAAATGTTAGACAGGAAACTTAAGACCGCATTTATGAACTCGCCTGCATCATTCACTATCCTTTTCTTTGTCCAATGCTTGATGATCATAGCCAAAGGCCGTACGCGAGGATCGATCTGAACGTATGTCTTGATCATTCGAGTGTTCTCCAACGCAAGAGTATTATTGACGTTCATATCGCAGGCCAATCGCAGCTCTGGGTCCCAGATCTTAACAATTGGAACCTTTGCAGTAGAGACACATATCACTCTCTCCATCCCATCTGGCACGACATTAGTCTTGTAATCGGTTGCTTTGAGGTTGCTCACTCTTGGCTAAGAGGTCTGCAATGATACAGACGCCCTCCATCTCCTTCCAGTCCGTAGTTATGCATATGTCAACTACATGTATATTAGCAAAAGCGTTGGGTCTCATGCCTAATAGGCCACTGACCGTCTGATTCATCTGTGCAAAGTAGATTGCCAGAGGATCCAAATACATGAACCCGTATGTTGTGCCCCGGCCACTCGTCGTTGAATAACTTCTCGAGCTTCTGAACAAGTTTCTCCCTCCTTTCTTCACTTTCTGGAGTCGGTAATAACCGATCGTACAGCTCGCGCATATCTGTTGATAGTTTTCTTTCTTCATCCTCCGAAAGCTTGCTCTTGACATCTTTCGGGTTCAACTTTTCCAACTTCTCACTCCCCAGACTGTAAGGCATCCGCCTCTTTGTATGGGCCATGGCAGTCTCATAGCGGCAGCCTCCTCGGGGTATGTGGAGTGGTCTCGAAGAGGGAAGTGTGATGTTGGATTCGGAGTACGCAGAGCGAGGAGAATGGTTGTTGGTGGCATTCGGGGAGGGTTCTCGGGACTCGAACGAGAATTTCCTAGCGTGTTGATGTGGGGTAGAGGGTACTGAGCTTGATTGTTGAGTAGTGGTGGAATTTTGGTGTTGTGCACGGGGTCGACTCGGCAGCTGGTTCGACGACTCCAATTTCTTGGCTGGCATCGTAGCAGCTTTTTCCTTCTCTGTTATGAGCGCGCGCTCGCCTTTACTAGATTTACGTGACTCCTTATTCCCATGACCGCCCCGAGACGAAGCTTTGTTGTTCCTTGCCGTGTTGCCGCCACCAGAGCTAGATCGCGAGCCAGGCACAGCCTGGATATGTTGCGCAGACAGGAGAGGAGGAAGCGGTGGAGATTGAAGTCGAGTTGTTCTGCTAGACGTAATAAGTCTGTTGTACTGAGCGAGTTGTGCTTGGTGGTAGGACGAGTGTTGTGGCAGTAAGATTGGGAGGAGGTCCAGGGGTGCGGAGAGTTGTGATCCAGCGAGACTCGGCGAGATATTGGGGACAGCGTCTGCAAGCGTATTGCGCCGAACGAGTCGCGACCACTGTGCCGACTGATATTGATACTGAGAATTACCAGCAGAGGACTGGCCCTCCATCAACCCACGACTACTCAAAGTCGTGATTGTCGGTCAGGGCAACTCGGAGAATGGGTTGTGTTTCGTTGAACAGAAAGGCAGGATCGACGGCTGCCAGAGGCGACGCGGGATTGTAAGGCAGTCCGCCACTATCGAAACGAGTGAATCTGATGTGTTGGAGGCAGTTCAGAATCCGTGAGCAGCTGAAGAGCGTGATGGCTTGACTAGCAACCCCCTTCTAAATCGAACGGGCGTCTGGCGCTCGCGAGGGGCGGAGACCCAGGGCGGATGGAGAGACAGGTGCAAAGAGGGAATGTGTATATCTACAGACTCGCTGCTGAGCACGGAGATCTGCACATGGACGGCCGACGAGAATGGGCAGGGCGAAGAGAGAGTTAGTTACGTGGGTGAGGTGAGGTGGATTTGCTTTGTCGAAATGTACCTACTACTTGCGGAGCCTGCCAATACGAAGACGTAAATAATATGTGAGGAGGTTAGCGTACTTTTTTTCGGCAGTAGCACTTCAATGTCCGATCCTTTGGGCGGGCAGGGCAGGCGCAAGGGGCGACGTTGCAGCCAGTGGAGATCCAGAACTCGACACCACACATTTTCCAGCCTACAACTGCAAACCTACAAAAATGCATACAATATCTTGCAGGAGCTGGGGTCGCACTTCTATATCCACCGACAAAGGCCTGCCTCGAGCACGCCCACGGCTTTGCCCACAACCTCTGCACTCTGAGTTAGGAATTCGCCCGTCAGGGGAGGATCGCGAGTTCTTTGTGCCTGCCCAGCCAAACAACCTCTACGTTGATGATGAAGGGTGCTGCCCAAGACTACATGCCTGGTGAGTCCTTTGTGACGAGAATAACCGCCCGCCCACACCCAATGCTTGTTGGGGTCCACGACTCCAGCACCCAAGCACGACTCGGCCAGCATACACCCATCCATCAGCTCTGCTCAACCCCTCACAGTCCCCATTCTGGACGGAAACCCAGCTGTACCACACTTCTGCGCATACATCCGGTCTGACATGAGGCGTGCCTCCAGCTACCTACGTGCCAGCCGACGACGTGAGATCTGTTCAGACGCAAACAACGGCAAACACTCTATACTTAATCTCTCCTCCAGCCGGGCTGTGGCCGCCTCCTCCTGATCCGTAATTCCAAGTCAAATCCAAGTCTGAGACGAAACAGTTTCGAGCGCAGGCAAGCACCCGTGATTTCTGACAATTATATGAAGACATTAATCCATTGTACACGACTTGAACCGGATTCGGCATACCGAGATCTGCGAACACTTTGCGCGAACGCGAGCTGATTTCCTGGGCAATATCCCGCGTGGGCGTGTTCTCGCCCACACAGGTCGACGTTTGTTGACCCCGGCCGTGGGACTCGAGGAGGGCCCCTGATTCAAAGGTCATTCTCTCTTTGTGGCATGAATAAAAGAAATCGTGATGACCACCTCTCGGGGCTGCTGCATATCTGGGGGACGTGGACTGGGGAAGGCCAGGCCAGGTTGAAATGAGGGCCGCCTTCGGTGATGAGGCCCCGTCCACGCCACACCCGCCCTGATGAAAGGATAAGTAATGGATTCTAATCCTGGCTGCTCTCTGAACATTTGCATGGGCCCTCCAGGACAAACTCAACAAACACCCGTCTCCCTGGAATTGGGGTCTTCAGCGTTGGGGCTTGATCTGCCAAGCTGCGATCCGTGAATGCTGCAGGGCCATCCTGATCAGCTTTGGCCGTTCTTTTGACACTGACTGGCCTCGACGCACAGGATCTTCCAGCTTATCCTGCTCAGCGGGAGAAGCAAAGCATGTTGCACAGGAAAGACGGCACACCGATGGGCTTTTGAGAGTTTGTTGCCGGGGAATTGGTGATTAATCCTCCATCCTCCATCTGAGGACTTTGGTCGGTGATCACGTGACAGGTCTGAACGTTGACTCGGCAGGAAGCTCCACCAAAACGAAGTCCTTACGAAGACGGGCTTTTGGACATCGCCATCGTCATGGTCGTATCATACAGCCAGCAAAAGAACAGGTCTCGAGTCTCGACCCCGCTGGCACGAGATCGCGAAGAGCTCTGCCCGCTCCGGTCCCGCTTTCAGCCTCACCGGCACTCGAGCAAGGATCTGCACACCTCTCACCATCGGCACCAATGGATCGCGCTTCGCGCAAAGACCGGAGGACTTCCTCCAATGACTCTTTTCTTCCAGGCCAACCATCACCAAAACAGCAAGGAAAAATTCACTGGGCCTGGGCTCTTGGCGTAGCCTTGTGCTCGGCATGCTCGGATGCAATTATGCTGACAATCGTCGTTCGGACTCTAGCCTCGTCTGAGCCCCGAACGTCATCAGGCGCTCAATCAGATTTACAAATCAACAAACCCCCGTGTTCTTCTTAAACCCTCTCACCCCTCCTGCACCTTTTCAACGCGTTTGTGATTGAATATACGTGCAGGATTAAGTGATCCGTTTGTATTTAGACCTGGATTTTGCCGTACGTCTGTTTGGGGGGAGATATCTCGGGTCTCGCTGGAACGATACCGCCGCAGCCGGAAGCCTCGGATACCTTAACTCCATATCAGAGCACATCTATATAGCTTGGAAACTGCCACACTCCGTTCAGCCTCTTACTGTCCCACGCCTGCACAACCACAGAATGGGACTTTCTCGGTCACGGTTCGTTAGCCTTCTCCCTTGTCTGCCTTCCAATGGTTGTCTTTCTCGGCCAGAGCAGTAAGCTGATGCCGTATTCGAACAGAACAATCACTCTGGTGGTAGCAATTGCAACACTCACAAGCAACGCCCTGTCATCCATACTATTCGCCCAATTACCAGATGATACATACCACCTCGCCAGCAACTTCAGCTGGTACCTACACTTTGCAAATGTATTGAGCGTGTTTGGGTTTATTGGTGCACTGAGAGTACGTGCATCTGCTTTGAACGGTCACGCCTAGGGCAAGGTCATACTAACACAGCTTCTCACAGCAACATGCCCTCAGCATAGCCCTCTTCTCAAACTATCTCATCTTCGACACAATCCTCTGCGCCATCCCACGCTTCCTCCTCGTCACCCTCCTCCAAGACCTCTCCGCGACAATATGCACACCTCCACCCTCCTTGTCCTATGCCTCGCAGAACCCGCAATCGCTCTCCACACCCTCCCCTTTACCTCCACCGCAAACAGAGAGTCCGTTCTCCTGGGGCCTCGGCGAATCATGGTCAGAAGAAAGCTGCTACAAGATGGTGAGCTTGGCGGAGTTGGCAATGGCAGCAGGTGTGATTGCTGCCACGCTGCTGCAGTTTGTGGGGGCTCTCGCGGTGAGGGAGTATGCTAAAGCACTGTGGTTGAGAGAGGTTAGGCAGGAGCACAGGGCTGTTGCGGCCGTGGAACGGGTGAGTTTGTGTGAGAAGAGGGGGCTGCCTGTTGTTTTTGAGGAGGAGGAGATGGGTGAGAAGTGCTCGTAGTAAAGTCCACCGAAAACTCGGGGAAGGACGGCAATATTGTGAGGCTAGGACCAAAAGTGTGAAAATATGGTCGAGGGACGGCGTTTTGGGGCTATACCCTTTGCTTTGGGTTGTACATATGACGAGAGATGATATTATGGAGAGGAGAAAATGACAAGGCAACAAAAACTAACACCCCACTTTGAACGAGGAGAGTGCCGTGAAAAGAAGGAAAGTCCCCAAATTTCCAGCTTGGGTTGCAGTTTCTCGGGTGTGCCAAGTCATCCAAGCATTTCTCGTCTTTTTCCTTTTACACCCCTTCAGCTCCTTCCTTCGTCCAATATCATTCCTTTTCATCAGTAGTCCCGTTTTCTGTTAATGAGGCTAGTTCTTCTATGTATTCAGTCAAGTGGCCATGAGACCTAGCCTACGTGGCTCCTAGCTCGTCGATCCCCTTTCAGATGGAGTTGAAATTGTTCACAGAGGTTTCAATTCCACTCAGCAAGGGGCTTTGTTGCAGGAATCACTCTTCATGGTTAACCAGAGCATTGCGAAGTTCAACGAGATGCAATTCCAAGAGGATTTCTGCATGAGTGTTTCTCTACCAGAAACGTCCTCCCCCAGCCCTAACAACACAAAATAAGCCTTTGAAAGGCACTGCGCCAGGCGCAATTAGGAGAGCGCGCCGCTGTCACTTATTTGCATGCTTTGAAGCCTTTTAAAACCCCGTCGCGGCCCCTTGACTTCGATGCCGAGAATTTTTCTTGGCCAGCTTGACACCCCTTGGGCTCAGCAAGTTTATTATCCGCAACCTCTCAACTCAGGGGGTCCCTCCTCGTTCAAGTATCGTTGGTTCAGAGGCAGCGCCACAACTAGCTGCAGGAGACATGCACGGCATGATTTGGGGCAAACAAAAGTTCTCATCCAGTTTGCAATTCAAGGAATGCTTATGCCGAAGCCCTAGGACGTCGAGACCGCAACTCGTCCAAACATGAATATCGGCGCTAAAAGCTAGAAGAAATTTCGCGGTAGTCCGTTGACTGAATTTCATTGCCAGATGCAGAGCCATCTCTCCCTGTCCGTGGTGCCAATGCACGTCACTCCCGGCTTCGAGCAAACCGTGCAATGCCCGAGTCCTACATTCATCCGTCTGCGTTGCATGGTGGTGGATGATTGAACGCCATCATCAGTGCATTGCCGTCGTTATCGCAGTTCTTCGGGTCTGCTCCTACGTTCAAAAAAGAGACGTGATGAAACATGCTCGGTCGCTGTTTTTATCGCCGTCCCGCATATCCCGCAACCACTCGAGCTGGTTTAGAAGGGTTGAAGGAAGATGCGTTTCTAGGGTAACGAGAGATGCTTCTGCAAGGCGGTAAATACCATTCCTTCCCTTGGAGCCTCCGAACCAAGGCGAATCCTTGGCGGTAAGAATAGTCCCCTAGTAATCAGCAAGCTGCTCATACAGGAAGAGGTCGTTGACAGTCTCAATAGATGGATGGTTCTCGTAATCACAGGAGACTTGTTCATCACGGCTATATGGCTCCTTCTTCCTGCCTTGAGTTCCTCGATTTCGAAGACCATTTGAGTCCGGGATGGCATTTTCGGTCTCACGGGAGAGAGAAGATCGCGTGGCCCGAGGATGATGACAAAGTCAGTGCCGTGAAAGTTCAGCTGTCCTACGATAGTGTACACAAAGCAATCCCGGGCGGTCGAGATGTGTCTATGGATAGGGAGATCATCCATCTGGGTGACAATTTTGCGAAAGCGTGACTTGACCGATACAAGGTCGCATCAGTAGATGGAAAGGACTTTGGCCAAGATGATCGATCATGCTGGCGAAAGTTGAATCCTTGAACCCTCAGAAGCTCAAGCAAAATAGCAGAAGTCGTCACAATGGCTGAAAACCTCCGGTTTGCCCGGCATTATGGAGGCCGTTTACGTTTGCTCCCAATTTAATAAGTGAAATCCAGTAGCTTGGCGGTGCAGACATAGTCGCCGAAATGCGTACAGTAGAATTCCCACATGCATCCATTTCGTACAAATTCTCTTTTCAGACAGAGCACTGAGCACTTCTTGAACGTACATCCATATCAAGAGTTCGACTTGTCGGAGTAGCTTCTCACATAGCATTGCACGCTGTAATTCTGTGGCTCGTTTCCATTGAATACAGCGACGTAGTCGGTTCTGGTTGATGTGCAGCCTGCGGTACTCGGACAATACGCTGGGCAGTATTATCGGAGACGTAGCATCAAAGGTCTGCACCCCAGAACAATTGTCGGATATGCGAGAATTATCTGCATCGTGCGAAGTTGATGCTTGGCTAAGAGATATCTTGCTCATTAAAGTGCCGATGACGGAGCTTGAGGGTAGATGTTTGGATTGGCCTACACCCTTCGTGACAGACATACAATCCTGATTCGGGAGCGAGTGCTGAAGGGGAGAGGATGCAACTTGGCTTGAAGGACCCAGGGTATCTATCTGGTCTGGCGGCACTTCAAACTCTTTGAGATTCGGCGCATCGAAGTCGGACGAACAGTTTGTGTCGGCATTCCATCGCACATATGTTGGATTGACCTTGAGATATCGCCTTGCAGCTAATTGGTGGCAGACAGATGGTGTAGTGGGTTCGTTTGATTGGGGTACATTGCCATATTGGACACCTTCACATGCGGCGGTCAAAGAGACGGCCGAGCCAGTTGTTGATGGGACGAAGCCGAATTCTGGGAATGAAAGATCACTCCTTGGTCCAAAATTCGAATCGAACCCCAGATCGTGAAGAGGACTGCAGAAGCCATTGAAGCCAAACTCATCATAGATATCCGTTAATTCCTAAGAATTAAGCATCGAATAGGCAGCATCTTCCCCAGTGTTGCATTGTCAAGTCGTCCTGAATGTGATCCAGCATCTTGAACGACTCACTCGGGAATGACCGACGTTGTTGTTTGCATGGATACCGAGTCTTGCGAAAGAGCCCTGAATTCTAGAAGTAACCGTCGTAGTATCTTAGTGTCTCCTTTCAGCCGAATTTTGTTTGGGTTTGGTTGTAAAAGTAGAGTGAGTGAGTTTCTCTTGCACGTTACGCTTGCTGCAGGGTTCTTAGCTAAATCACTCACTCATTCAATGGGAACTAATGGGGAGTGATGTGGCTTACGATGGTTCAAAGTCTTCTGTACGGAGACGATCTATTCTGCTGTCCAGATCCAAGTGCGGAAATTTAAAGATTTGTGGTTCGTACCTGCGCAGAGCTGAGCTGGGCTTGGTGGCTGATAATCCCGTAGGTATTTCCAACACAAATGATATTTGGAGTATTTCAAGCCTCCTTTCTTTCTTGATAATTTTGGAGGGGATGGTTCGAAAGAATTGAGAGCTATTATCTAGTCAACCGCGTCTTGCAATATCTGATATTTTCGCCTACTAGAATGCGGTGGTCTCCATTCTTCGGACTGTGACACCTGCTAGATTATTTTCTGCACTACAAGGACATCAAGCCAACTTTGCAAGTTCAATGTAAGAAATAATGAGTTCACTTGTTCTCAACTATAAGAACTCGATGAGGCCATAGCGTACTCTGCTTTGCAATCAAATGTACTTCTTGCCTTTGCCTCAGTGCTCGGTCTCAAAATGATCAAGTTTCAGCACTTTCTATCCATATTTTCTTGATTAACAGGGAATATAATTCGTCTTCTCAAGACATCGAGTTCATGTTCTCCGGGCGGGCAGGTCTCGGTCGGTGAGTTGGTAAATTTTGATCCAACTCCTATCAACACACCATTCATGTATCGTTGTCTGACAGAAGACAGTAAACAATGAATGAAGATACCAATAGACAGATGCATGACCCATCAGAGCGAAAGTGACTATCGCAGGAATTGATAACGATGCTTGCGCTGATAGGAAGTCTGCTTGCAGGATTTGCTCGGACTCTCACAATCTCACTACTGAGAATCGATCGAAATTTCCTCCTGGACCAACAAACCTGCAAAATTACCTTCAACGTGACGAAATGGGCGAAAAAATTGTCATTGAAATGGAAACACAACATCAAAGCCCCCTGACTCTAGGTCTACAAAATTGCGAGGTTTCTTGGCGAGGTTTAGGTCGTATGGAGGCGAAAGCGGTGGAGAGCGAGAAGAACTAAAATGATATTTATGCTGTGCGTGTGACGTATGCTGGAGAGGATGCCCCGAGCAGGAAGGATTCATTGATTAAAGAAAGATCTGGGACGAATCAAATTTGTGAATCAGTTATGCAGTCTTTGACACGAAGTTTATGAGAAGGCCTTGGGTCAGCTGAGAACTTCTCGAGATTGCTGAAGGGGGGCCAGTGTTCGGCATTAAGTTGGACCTACCCAACCTACAACCCTTATAGGTAGGTAACCTAACCTAATTTGAGAGCTGTAGGTAGGTTAACCTACATACAAATTTTGATAGGCCGAATAGGTTCAACCTATGACCTATACCAAACCTAAACCGAAATAAATCCTTTAGGTAGGTTACCTAGGTTGGACCTATGAAACTCAACCTAATGCCGAACACTGAGGGGGACCGTATCCCAGTCCAACTCCTGGATTGAAGCTAACTCGACGATGAGATCGCTCCAGTGGTGAGTGGATGCGAGATAGCGACTACAGACCTACTTCGTAGACTGCAAGGTAAGTACGAAGGACTGGGAATATTTGCAGTTTTGCGAGGAAATTCTCAAGAAAAAGGGATGGCGAAAAGCAGAACTCATAAAAAAGAAGAATGAAAGGAGTTGAAGTTAAAGATAAACAACGAGTGAATCCTTGGGGCCATGAAAGGGAGAACGCGCTCGCATGTTCCTTGTCCAGTGACCTCGACCTGCCGCTGTACCTACAACACCTGCCCCATTCCACCCGGCATCTCATTCACGTGTGCGATACCCACCCATCCCGCTCTCTCTTCTCGCATTCCTTATTCCAGGTAGTAAACCGCCAAACTCTCTGACATCACCCTTTTCTCGATTTTTCCTGCCCCGCACGAGCTTCGATCTTTGCAACGCGGAACGCGGGCTGGGTAATGCATGACACAGCAGCGTTTTTTCTCATGCATGTCAGAGAATGGAAGGAGGGGGTTGAATTTACCCCGCCAAGGGGAGGCGAGCGGGAAGACCGATGGGTTTTTCCGGATCCGGGCGGTTTTTCCGGATTTGATTTTTTTGATTACTGGGAGCTTGGGGTTCGTGTAATATTTTCATTTGGCGATCGGATTCTTGATCTGGTGGGGCTGTGTGTGAGTAGTGTTCTGATCGCACTGAGGATCGTATGGTAGAGTTGATTTCCTTGTTTGCGAAGTGAGCTCGTGTGATAGGAGCGGATTGGCGGCCTCCTTCAAGCGACTCACCAGTAGTGACTGATGCTACCATAATCGCTGGCTGTTTCCTGCTCCGGGTCATATCTTCATCTGGTATGGGGAAAAGCTACATGTCATCCTTTTTTGCCTCTATCTTTGGGCTGACCCATCCTATCGGAGGGGAAGGTGGGGTGTGCAAATACACGAGCGCGAAGGATATGCACTGTTATGCAGAGAAGCACAACGCCATGCGTGTCATGGTGAGATGAGGGCCCACACTTGGTGACCTGTTTCCACTTTCTTCTCTTGGGCCGTTTTTCTTTTTCAAGATATCAGGATGGGCGTGTGAAGATGGTGGGCGCTTCTGTTACATATCGTGTGATGTGCTTCTTTGGCGCCTGTGCTGGTGTGACTGGAAAGTTGACTTGTGAATTCTCCGAGTGGGAGGAATATGATTTCTTAGCTTCAGATTGCGCTTTTCTTCCCCAGTAGTGGAAAAGGGGGGAAACAAAAATCACACTGTAAGACTAAGCAAGATGTTCCATCATCACGGACGCTTGATGTTTCTGGCGGGTTTGAAAGATGTTTCCGGCTCTCAGCAAAAAGTGACTTTCGTCGCGGCGGCGGTGGTCCTTGCAAACCCTGTCGGATGCAAGCGCGATAACGGTGGGTTGACATTTTAGAATTAGCACCGGTTTGATCAAATTGATCAAGAGAATTTTTCCAAATCATCTCCAATCATCTCCGTCAAGTGGAATGGGATGAGATGGGGTGAAATGGGGGTGTTAAGATGCGAGACATTCTGAGATTGGAGTTTGGGATAGCACTTCAAGAAGAGGGAGGTCTGGAGGATTTCCAGCACAGGACCATGTGATCTGCAATTCTCCGACAGAACGTTTTCCGTCCTTCTTCACCCGTGCGTTGTAATGTTCGGTCAAAGGTGTCAGTAAGAAGATGGGAAAGGCTTTTCCCAAGTACAGGGGTACTGAAGACTAGATGCCGCTTCTTGCGCTCGAATTCCAGCGACTCCAAAGACAATCTGCACGAGGAAGATTTGCTGGAATTCGACGACGCATGTCGGCGGGTCTTCGCTGTGCCTGCCGCGAACACCTTGAGGAGGACGGGAGGGTGGGGTGCATGCTGTACCGTACACGCGATAGACTTCGACAATAATGTCGGTCGTGCTGCAAATCAGCAGCAGCACCTGGAAAGAGGGGCCAGCTTTCGAAGGTTTTGATGGTGTGTCGTGGTTATTTAAAGGCCAGTAGGGCCGATGATGCAGGATGGGTCGCCGGGACGAGGGTGCGCTGGTAAAATGGCATCGGCAACATCCTCACAGAGTCGCAGGCAGCCGGATATGAGTGAAGCCTGCCACTTCCCCTCCCTCCCTTCCTTCCTACTCTTCCCTACTCTTCCGCAATCCCAGGTTGTTGTTGATGGCTGAACCCAGGAGCCGGGAAGACCAGCATGGGCACGTGGAGGCTGAGAATAGGCTTCATAACGCGGCCGTTATTCTTTACCCGGCTGTACATATGTCGTAGTACCTGATACAACGTTTGACGGGGCTTGATTGGCTGGGTGGGGGAGATTTATCAGCCTTACATATGCCTCGTGGGAGGCCGCACTGCGAGGCCGCGCTGCTTTCCCTGGATGCCAGTGGGTGTTCCTGGCCGCGGGACATGGACAAGTGCTGTCGCACCGGACTGGGGAGAGTGGGACAGAGGCTCGCAGGCTCGCAGCAGCGCTCATTTCTAGCCGGTTGTCCGCGGGGCGGCGTCGGGGTCGACGTCCGTGACGGGTGGTGCAGTGGTGCAATGGTGCATACATAGCCAGAAGTCGGGGGGGAGATTTGACTCGAGCAGGTTGAAGCAAGCGCAGCGTTGATTTGATGCTGGATGCGCTGTGTTGAATGAGAGCAAAAGGAAATGAAACAAGGGCATTCAAGGTCGAGCTAGAGAAAATCTCTTACGGAAGTGGTGTGGTCTGGCCTCGCGCTCAGGCTCGCTTGGGAGCAGCCTATTTTGTCTGGTTGGGCTGGGGGGTGTTGGGGTTGGGGGGGCCCACCGAGTTGGAGGCCGTGGACGAGGACGAGGGCGAGGCGAGGACGTGGATGTGGATGTGGGTGGATGTGGACGTGGACGTGAACCACCAGAACGCTGCTTTCTCCCACCAACCAGACGGACCACCAGGACCACCAGGCTCCTCAGCCAGGCCTGGCTGCCTCTGCCTGAGTCTCTATGCGTCTCTCTGTGAGTCTCTGTGAGTGAGTCTCTGTGTCCCCTCTGCCACCCCTCTGCCACTGCCACTGCCACCCCTCTGCCACCCCTCTGCCACCCCTCTGCCACTCCTCTGCCACTCCCTCACTCCCTCCTCCTCTGCCCACGGCCTCCCCTCCATCCGCTCCCAAGCCTGCCTGCTCCCAAAGCCTGCCCTGCTCCCAACGCGCTGCAGGCTCACCTCCCTTCCCTCGCCTGGGTGCGGCCCTGCTCCTCGCCTGCTCCTCGCCTGCTCCTCGCCTCTCCTGCTTCCTGCTCCTACTCCTACTCCTCCCCCTCTGGCTCCTCTTCTGGCCTCCTCCGCCTCCGGCCAATTTTCTTCCCCTTCTCGCTCTTTGCTGCCCTTCACGGTCCACCTTCACTCCACCCTCCCACCCAACTAGCCCACACCCCCCCAGTCGCCCTCTGTACCCTGTCCAATCTACACCACCACCATCAACGTGCTACGACCATCCGGCTAACAGTACCTCCTCCACGCTTCACTTCCACCGCGATCTTCTCTTCTTTTTTTCCCTTCCCGTCACTCCCATATTCCTACCCACCCCCCCGATCTATTGATCACACGTCGGCAACAGGACGCTCAGTCGTTGTCGTGCAGTCGAGGGCCGTTCCTTTCTCTCAAGCCACCTCTGTTCTCTGGATTTTTGTTTGGTGAGTGACTTGTGTTCTGCTCTGGTGCTGAGACAATTCTCCCCCCCAGTCCATGCCGCTTTCGCCGTCATGAGATTTTCTCCTCGGCTACATCCTTTCGCGCGCATCCCCCCAAAAAACATTTCTTGCACTTCGCGGCACAACTCTCGAAACTCAACTAACGCATGGCTACTATCTAGAACCCCCTTTGCGACCTTCTCGTCGTATACGTTCCTTATATCTCATCGAATCAGTACTGCAGGCTCCAGTTTTCGAACCATCTCTTGATCCGAAAATATGTCTTATTACGATAATCAACAATGGCCAGCCGCTGGCCAGCCGTCTTGGGAGCAGCAGACCCCGCCGGCTCGTTCTGGTACGTTGGCAAGGCCGATGGCAAAAGTTGGGACGCATCAATTGACGGATGTTGCAGGTGCCAGCTCCGCCGTTCCGCGCGAGGACTCGACCGCTTTCAGCATACAAATAGAGGGTACGTGAAGATGCATATCAGATGAGGGCTTAGGGGCGAATTTTTGGGTCGAGGGAATTTTTCCAGGGGCCCGCATGTTGATATTTGGGGAGGACCGAGATGTGGTCGCATGCCCGCCTTCGACAGGCCTTTGAGGACTACGAAGCTAATACATTCAATCAGAGGTCGACCGTGCGATCGATAACCTCGTCAAGAGTGGAAAGATGTTCAACGTGCCTGGCCGTCGAGACTCGATGCCCTTGGCCGGCGGTGCGCCCAGAGCGTTCCCCGAACAATTCGGTAAGTTCAATCATCAACACCAAACGTGTCAAGGCTCACTTTAAAATTAGATCCACGGATGGCCGGCGGTCCTCCCCGACACCACTCGGTCAGCGAATTCGGCGATGCGCGTTCCTTCTCGGGATCAAATCTGCAGAACTTTTATGCCAGTCAGCGACACCAACCCTCGCGTGGTGCTAATGAGGCCGAACAAGTGATGCAAGCAAAGAGGAGGATGGCAGCCCAGCGTGAGAGAGAGCTGCGTAACTACCACCAAGAACAGCAGTACAATCGAAGTAGGCCACCCTCTTCTGTATAACACAATTTTCACGCTTCGATACCCTGTACCCAGCGGTTCACATATCATTCAAAATCCTCTTCGTACCCTTCTTTCTCCCGCCTTTTGTGCTGTGTGTGATTGCATGGACTTCGTGGAATCGCTACGCTCCCACATTATATCAACACTTACTGACTAGAATAAGGCGTTGTAGCTGAAATCTCGACATTTGGAGGTAAACAAGATCGTACTATTAGCCCTGGCAGCGGAATGAGCGAAGAAGAGCGCCGTGAGCTGATTGCCCGTCAACGAAGTGCCCTCTACGGTGAAGGTGCAGCGTACCCTGAGAACAGTGGTTTTGATGACAACGGCACTCCACGCCCAGGAACCCAGGGGTCTGGATCCCAGTCCGCGACCGGTATTCGAGGCCACTCACCCCTGGCGTTCGACCATTTCAACGCCCAAGGTAGCCAAGGCGAGAACGCAACTCAACAAGCCGCGCCTGAACAACAGTCAGCAAGTGGCCAGGCTCCAGGACAGCAACGATCCCGTGCCAACAGCACTTCGTCGCCATCCTCCAACCCGACCAGCAGCTTCAGCCTCTTCGAGTCAGCTGCCCAGCAATCAAGCCGGACGTCAACTTCATCGCCAGGCGGATCACCTCCTCGTCAAGGAAAGGCGCCAACCAGCTCTGGCGTTGCACCAATCGGTACTCGTCCCAGTGCTCAAGCACCAAATCCAGCATTGAACAAGCGCTCCACCACTCCTCTACCATCACCACTAAGCTACGGCTTCGCTGCCAACAACAACGAGGAAAGTCAGGGTGAGAAGGATAACCGGGCTACGTCGGCGGCAGCGAACCCGAATGCGCAGGCTCAGCAAGATGTCGGACTTGGATGGGGATCCAAGAGCGGAGTGTGGGGCAAGAATTCTCTCGGTGTACAGGCTTCTGTTTGGGGCTAAACAAAGGAGGTCGACCTCATGGAACGGAAGGTACGAAAAATTGGCGGGAATCAAATTCGGTGTTTGGCAACTGCATATATTGCTGATTGATGGGATACGGGGGGTCGGCGTATGGACCTTTCGAAGTGGATCGTCGTCACGGTATCCTTCGTCTGGTTGATGGTTTTTTTTTTCCCTTTGGGTTAGGTAACATTGTCTGGGTGTTGTCGTTTGTGCTATTGTGGTGTCTTCCTGCATTGGTGGAGTGAGGGAGTGTTTCATCACCGGGATATCCTCTGCTCTTTTCTACGTCAGTCAAATCGGTCGGGGGGTTGTTCAATCGCTTCTTTTGTGGGAGTTGTAGTTTCCGGGGGGCGGAGCCGGGCGAGGTGTAGGCTGGGGGTTTGTGTGTGTGTGATAAAGAATTGAAGTTGTTGAATCCGTTGGAGCATGGGAAATTGTAAGGAGGGTTCGAGGTGATAAAAAGTGTTTCATGGGGATTCAAGATTGACAGGGAAAGGGTTAGCATATCTGGCAGGCGTGTGATTTTCTCTCTCTCTCTCTCTTCAGTCGGGGGTTTTTCTGGCATTAAGCGTTCGGGTGGGTTGGGTTTGGCTCGGGGCTGGGCTGGCCTCGGATGGATAGGGTTTGTGTCAATCGTTTGTACGGGGGTGCGAGGTGCGTGTAATTAGGGGATATGGATGTCATAGGATGCGCAACAATACGTTGGTAATAATGGACGAATGGGTGAATATGGAAAACCAACGGTGTCCAATGTGAGATGAGATGAGATGAGATGATCTTGTGAAGTGGTGGAGTCAGAGGAGTTGGATGAGGCCTTGTGGCAGAGAGGAGAGTTGTAAGTGAGTTGAGGGAGTGCGGTGTCCAGGGTGAAGCTTCCTCGGTACGTTTTCAAAACTCTCGCTCAAGCAACACTTTCCAAACATACGTTTCCAATAATGTTGCACACTCAGATTTTCAATGTCTTGACATAATCTAAAATGGTCGTCATTGCATTGAGGTCGCAAACTCATGTTGCACAGCGATGATTAGTCAGCAGTCTTGCTCCAAATCTCGGCTCGCGAGCTCATCCATCCCATCCCCTTATCTCTTCACACTCACTTACAGAAACCCACATTCCTTTCAATCCTGCTCCAATAGCACAAGAATATGGAACCGGCCACTCAAAAGTCGTATGGAAGGTCTCCGTTCGACCTCGGTTTGGTCTCCCACACAAGCCACCCAAGGTGAAACATACCGGGGAGGGGAGGGGGAGGGGGACAGATGCACATCTGCTCAGCCAATCGTACCGAACGTCTCCGTTCTGACCCGTAGACCCGTCTTTCCGCCCAGAACGGACGGTTCTGGCGAGTGGGCGGCAGCACCTTCACAAAACCGCCGCAAAGTCAGGAACCGCCAGCCGTAGGAGGTGGAGGTATAGACTCACATGCAGCGTCCCTCGTACGGCGAAGTCAAGGGCAGCCATTGAATGAACATACAGACTTATCTCCTGAACTTAACTATTTACGGCGCGTCACCACCATCCTACTACTAGGACCGTCCATCATACTGCCTCGCACCGATACATAAATCAATTGCTTTGGAATCGGCCTCTCGCGCTCCGCCTCTTAATGGAGCGAATCAATAACTTGCGCTATTGATGAGGTGTATGCTGCGGAGGGGACGGGGGCCAGGTTTGGTGGTGTGGGGAAGGGGAAGGAGATGAGGTATTTGAGGGAGAGGGAGCTTGATCCTTGGGTTGGGATTTGTGTTAGGGAGGAGGGAGAGGAGGAGGTCCTGATTGAGATTCTGGACGAGGTTAGGAGCGGTTTCCGGATGGGTTTGGGTTAAGAGCTACGGGGTTGAGGATGTATTGGAGTGGCAAAGGCGTCTTAGAGAAGCAGCCGACTGTGGAGACTCCTTTCTCCGGGAGTATGTATGAGGGAGAGAGAGTTTGAACGGTGTTGGAAGTGAGGGATCCTTGCTGCGAGGGAATGCTGATTCGTGACAGCAGCTCTTGAGATGGGTTGCACCTGAAGCTCCGCAATTCCCACACGTTCTGGAAGTCACGGCCATCCAGGGAAGATGAGGCTTTAGTCTAGTCACCGCTCACGGGCACTTCAAGTGCTTTGCAAGCGCCACATTCTTTCTCATATACTGGAGCCAAGACGGAGAAAAGCCCATCGGATGATAATAGAAAATGCCATCGCTCCCGAGAATCCAATTGCAGGAAACCTCGATTCCAGTTTTTAGCACTTTGACTGTCGTCGGAGAATGGACATGTCGATGTCTCGACTCTGCTTAGTCAAATTGTTACACAAGACCCACACCTACAAATTCTTTTCGCGACCTCACTTCAACCTCTCGTCTACACAACGACCTTCAGCATCATGACTCGGCATCTACCAATCTTATACGGCGTGTCGTCGTTGCTGGTTTCCCTCTTCGGTTTGACGCTGGCCTCATGATTGGAAGGTCGTTGACTCGCCTCCAGGTGTTGAGCTGCGAAGCTGGAAAAGTACCAGATTGTTCTACGGTATATGGGGAAATCACTTGGAGGACTACAAGTCAGCGTGAGTAAGTATGCATCTCGGTATTCACAATTTGCGCTAGAGATTAAATCTCTGTATCGATCGCACCGGTGACTGGTCGTCATATCATCAAAATGAGGATGTTTTCACCCGAAATGATGCAGCTTCGCATCAGATTATGAAAAGAACTTGGATCCGTACTTGGTGGAGCTTCTCGGTCTCCCACAGAATGCCCAGCGTCCCAGCAGATATCATTCACTTCAGCAAGGCTGTCTTCTACCCAACAACCGCTCTTTGCGCCCTGGGGTCGGAAGATGCTGCATCTTCCGACCGCATTTTTAACGGGATCAATTCGGAATTTCCAAATGGCCATGGGAACATACGAGTCGTCGGATTGCAGCTATGAGTGGGTTTCCCGGATAGACACCAGATGCTCTTTTGATTCAAATACTCACCCACAAATTATCGGTTTTCCTTTCACTGGCTCTCCATGATGCCTATTGTGCCAGGATTCTCACATCATATCAAGATATCTTGCCGATCAGGGGAAAAGCGATCCATTGCAAACTCTGGATCAGGCACTTTCTCGACCATTGGATCTGTTCGTCTCTTTCCCTGTCCTGGCTGAGTTCGACGGAATCAATTGCTCCAGCCTTCTCTGGATATCTCTGGGCATTGCCAGTCAGTCTCCAGATATTCTAAAGAGATCGGCCTCCTACTTCCGGAATTTAGGTCTGCGAGCTTTTGTTGGCTCCTCATGCTGTGTCGGCATACAAATTTTCTTCCATCTGGCAACTGTCCGCATAGCACTGCTCCCGCCCCGAATCAGTCCTATATAAACTCTGCTCCCACGAAGCACGGAAATGTCTTCCGGCATCATGGCTATCTGCTTTTCTCCCGACGCTCTACCTCTAACTTTCTTGAGCTTTGGTCCTAAACTTTGGAACATCAACATTTTCTCAATTTCGGCAAAGGAAGAATCTAAATCGGCGGGCGTCGACTTATCCAAGATGGCGGCCTGGTAGTGGGCTGAGATATGGGTCTTGCTAATTGGAAAATGATGATTCTGTGACGCGCTGGGGTTGTCCCTGATGAATGTTGAGGTGACCGGAAGAGAATTGGTTTGGCGGAATGGAACGGTGTTAAGGAATACGTCGATAGATTACAGGAGACTACTCAGCCCCTGTGCGATCCCCCTGCCTGGCTTGTGAGATGAAGGGGTTTATAGTTGTGAATGAAGGTTCTTGGGTCTCTCTCTGTTGATGTCCGGTTAAGCGAGGCAATTGCCCCTGAACTGCAGAAACCTCGAAATGTTCCAACGCACATGGTTCATCAACAGAAAGAGTTCATGTTGTGCAACTAGGCCTTTAGGTAGAGCCTTATAATGACTTTGTCGAATTCCCAAATCTTGAGACAATAGAAACTCGCAAAATAACCACGTGACCAACCCCTGTTCCAAGAGGTCTGTGCCTTGCAGAAATCCCAGCCTCGTGCTTTCCGCAACACCCCTCTGTTTCAAGCACGGCGAGCGTGAGCTGCTTAACCACTAACCAAGCTCAAAAGGTTAGCCCTCTCTTTCCACCTCCTTTCCTTTCCTTTCCTCCTTCATCTCATCATACGATCCAAAATGTTCGCCAAACTCACCACAAAGATAGCGCTCCGCAAAGCGGGCATTCCCTCAAATGCCCTCTCCATGCCCTCGTTCGAGGGCTCGAAAGATCCCAATGCGACCTCACCATTTGCGAACGTGTCGAACCCATTCGCAAACCTCACAGTCCCGAACGCGCTGAAATCGTGGGCCACTCCTCCACCGCCGCCGATCGAGATAGCTCCTGCACCCGAGCTCGGTACGAGAGCGCCGGAGAGCAATAAGCTTCGGCTGCCGGCTCTGGATGGAAGACCGAGTGTTGTGGTATTCCTGAGGCATTGCGGATGTCCTTGTACGCCTTGCTGAAAAAACTCGTAAATGGAAGAAGGGAAGCAGGCTAACGAAAGTTCTCAGTTGCAGAGAAAACCTTCCTCGAGCTCCGCCGCCTGGCAAACAAATTCCCGCGCCTGAACTTCATCGCCGTCTCGCACAGCTCGCAGAAAGCAACCGAGAAATGGCTCTCTCAGATCGGCGGGAAGTGGGCGGTTACCGTCGTCGTGGATGAGGAGAGAGAGGTGTATGCTAGCTGGGGCTTGGGCGTTAGCACAACGTATCACTTGCTGAATCCCTGGACGCAGATCGCTGCGAGGAAGCTGGGGAGGGAGGAGGGGTTGTGGGGCAGAGAGGTCGATCCGAGTGGGAACCGGTGGCAGGTTGGAGGGACTTGGGCGACTGATGAGACGGGCTTGATTCGATGGGGTGCGGTGAGCAAGACGGCGGATGAGATTCCAGATCTGGTCCAGGCGTGCCATATTCTAGGCGCGTATTGAGGGAGTGATGGCTGATCTTGACTGATTTGTGAGCCACCTTCTGCTTCCACCCCTTTCCTCCCGAATCAAGATCTGATGTAATAATAGAGTGAAGTGTAAGAATAACAAGTCGGCGGATGACGTTGATGGTTCTCTTGGGATACTAGCATGTACCGAAAGAGGCTCGCGGAAGCATCAGGTGAACGATCTCTGCTAGTGCTAGCCGCACTCCATTCTAAAACATTTTCGTCTCCACGGAGCCCACTTCCACGGATAATTCTATACTCGTTCCAGCCCGAAAAGTGGAAAGCACTTGCGGCATGATGCATCGGCACGGGCAAACTTTCATTACCCTGTCGGTCGGGAGCCAAGTGGTTCCTAAGATCCTGACTCTAGGCCATTTATTTTGCTTCGATGCTTCGCCGCCGCTTGTGAATGCCGGCGAGGCGTATCGAAGAGCCGTGCATCATCGTAAGCTGGTCGTCAAGACTGAGTATTTTCATCTTGAGGCCCGATTTTTCTTGAGCTCCTATCTGTGGTGCCCTAGCTCCTCCATATCTTCATTTACCTTCCCCATCGTTGATTTCTGGTCTGTTATGTTTGCGGTAACATCTTTCGAGCAGCTTACACTCCCCCCTGTCGTTTCTGATATGTGCTTTTCTACTTTATATTGAGTGCTTCTCAATGGCAGACGAGCAACCTGCAATGGAAAGCATTGCAGAAGGAGGTAACGGAGGGAATCCCAACCATAACACTAGCGGCAGCTCCCAGTCCGACTCGGCGAAACACGAGCATGCAACGTGAAGAAAGGGATTCTACTCCAGCCTCCGGACGAGGAGTGGAAGCAGATGCTCCTGCGGTGCCATCTCTCCAAAGAGCTGTAACATTGCCAATTCGAAGGCATGGAATGGAACGGGAGGAAAACGAACCCGGAACATGTCGACGAGGGCGGACGATCTCATCGAACCCTCGAAATCTCGATGTGCATCCGCTGTCGCCTCGATCGCAGATGTTTGGGAGGAAACCATCTATAAATAGAGGGGAAAACAATAGGGAAGGAAGTCTTGGCCCAATACCGGATATGGTTATGATTTTGCGTGAGCGTTTTGGAGCGTACAGATAGATATGAATTCGTACGCTGTTGGAATAAGCATATGGGGGGGTTGAGCCTCGCTTAGCAGAAGAGGTTATTCCTTGCTTCATCGCGGGGTGATTACGTTTTGTCGTCCTGCACACCTCCCTGTTTCCACTCGTTTACATCGACTCTGTATATAACTTTCCCAACATCTTGGCTCTTTGGTCCATCCTTCCTCAATCCCATTTCACAAAATCATCGGCGGATCTCCACTTCTCAATCACGATTATGAAGCGATGCGCACGGCAACTCGTCTGGCCCCCGCCATCACCCAACACCACGGTTCGACGTCGGATTGGCCTTTACGTACATGAGTTCTCTAACCCCGGCGCTCTAAAAGAGGTACCTAACGAGGTGATGGAGCGCCTCCTCGCAGCAGATCCAGACATTATAGACCTTGAGCGGCGATTTAACTCCTTATATACCGAGATCAAGTGGGAGTACAAGTTCATTAAGCGGGCCCGGAAGGAGAAGCGAAAGGAGCACGAAGACCTTTGCAAGTAGCTCACGAATGCGAAGAAAAACTTGAGATCCGAGATCGAAGACGCATACCGGAAGGATTACTTTTAGATCAAGAATCGAGTCTATATCCTTAAAGACTAGTATTGGTCAAGTGCAGGCAAAGTTGCCACCCTTTTCTGTGACAGCTCCGCAATCGCGCCCCTACACGCCATGAACCCGTTCCCTTCTGCCAATTCCATCGCCCTTCGACACACCTCAATGTCAAACCAACCTTTGTTCACCTCCCAAAGAAAGAAAATCATCTGAACACGACCATTCTCTGCTGCTCCCTCGAGTGGCCCTCGACCATTGATAGGTGCTGGTGGAGCATGCAGATTTGCCCCGTAATCGAGCAATTTGGCGGCAATGATACGATTTCCTCGGATTGCTGCAAGTTGAAAAGCTGTCGCTCCACCACGCTCCGCTGGTCTGGCGTTGACGTCGGCTCCCACCTCGAGAAGCAGCGTTACAATTTCGAGGCTATCTACCTCCACCGCTTTTTGCAGGGGTGTTCTCTTCAATCCCAAATTAGCCTCAAGATTGACTCTTGCCCCGCTATCGATCAGGAGTCTAACCAAGTCCGTGCTTCCTGTGTCGATGGCTTCCAGGAGGGCTGTTTGCCTGATGTTAGGTTTGGTATGAGTCACGTGCGTGACGGTGCTGTTGGGATCGCAGCCATAGTCAAGAAGTTTCCTTATCACTTCAAAGTCGGCGTGATGGCCCTTCCGACTGAGTTTGATTGCTAGTCCGAGCGGCGTTTCATCTTGAACATACAAGTCGCTGGAGAAGCTTTTCGCGTCGACGAGTCCAGTACCGAGAAGGAGTTTCACAGCTGCAAGTCCCGCCTGGCCACGTCGAATTGCAGCCTTCAGAGCGTCTGTTCCAAAGCCAGGTACAACGTGATGACTCTTTCGAGAGAATATATGTTCGCAGAGTAACGGTAGCATTGCAGGATATTTGTCTACACATGTGGCGAAGACATATGGGTCAGAGGGATCTGCACCCCTTTCCACAAGTTTCTGAACCAGTTCGGCATCGCCTCGACTCAATCCAATTTCAAGGCAACTTGTGAGAGCAGAAATGGAAGTTACTCCGCATCCGAGTAGAAACTCAAATCCTGCCATATCTCCCTCGTCCAGGACGGGACAAAGCCCTCTATACTTGAAAGTAGCACTAGGAAAAGCAGATAGAAGGTCCTGAATGATTACTCTATCTCCCCATTTGACTGCTTCTCCGAGAATGGTACTTTCTACACCCTTATATCGGTAAAGCCGCCATTGGTATTGGTCGCTTACATCTGCACTCAGAATAGCGCTGACCATGCCGGAGTTTCTGCGCAACACAGCAGCAAACAGTGGATCTGGAGGAGATGGCATTGGATTGCTGGGTGAGTTAACATCGGCACCAGCTGCAAGTAATGCCCGGAAAATCTCCTCGTGGTCCTTTTGAACAGCGTACAACACCGCACTGCTCATATGGGAAGGTGTGGGGGAAGGACAACATTTGAGAAGTTTCCGAACGTACACGATATCGCCAATTCTGGATGCGGCGGTGATCGCAGGTTCGAATCGTCTCCCCTCACTTAGGAGCTCAAGAGCACCTTTACCCTCCATCTCGAGAGCAAGCTTTTCATTTCCGGCTTCAATTGCCTCCGCGTATGATGTTGTGGTAGTCCCAAAGGATTCTCGGCCTTGCGATTTCCACTCTTCGTCGTCGATGCTGTGTGCAGGAGCATTGATATCTGGTTTTAAAGTGAGGATAGCGTCGATTACCTCGCTTCTGCCGGATCTAATTGCACCGCTCAGGGCTCTGTGTGGAGTTTTCGAGTGGAGGAGAAGCAGTCTAACAAGTTCCAAGTGGCCGCGTTTTGCACCTTGTATTAAAGCCCAGTCAAGCTTTCCTTTGTAATCGGTCCTACATGTTTGGCATTTGATCCGCTCGCAAGCCATAATAATATTCTTGGTAGCCTGCGTAGCTTGCCAGTCATCGAGATGTACTGCGATAAGACTCAGAAACCCACCACGAATAAGCTCCGAGTGGTCAGAGTCGGATACACTGGAAACAAGAGCATAAGCGAGCCCAGGCCAGTTGTGGGCTTGCAAGGCTCGTCTGACGATATCAAGATGCAGTTTGGCGCCAGCTCGCAGCAGTACTTTGCCGATTTCAATAACGTCGGGTGGAACTCTTACGTTCCAGCCAATGCTATTGATGAGTTTTCCAAGTATGCCTCTATCTAAGGGGTTCAGATCGCATGTCTTCTTCACATCGGCTCCAGCGTCGAGGAATATTTGGACTATCCCAAGATCCTGGAGACTTGCAGCTCTCTCAACGGGGGTATACTTTCGGCCATTGACAATGCAAACAATGGAATTAATGTCAATGGAAGGAATGGCTAGCAAGCACTTGAGGGCGCCCATGTCTTTGGCTTCAATCGCTGCTCGAAAAAGATTTTCTGCCAATGCCTTCCCAATGTGACTGTGGCTTGCTTTCAATAGCAGATCGATATCCACGCATCTTCTTAAGTATTTGAGCACGCTGTGGATAGGAATATCCTCGAGAGCGGCAAAGCCGTCGGCGGTTGAACACAACAAGATCGGAATGAGATTGGTTTGAAGCATCTCATCCTCCGTCATGAGACTCTCCCCGCTGTCGCAACCTCCTTGAAGAACTACGTTAGGCAGCAGGCTTCTGAGAAACGACCAAAGGTAGGTCGCATCTGATGACCGTTCGTCTCTCTGGTTTGCGTCGTTTTCTGACATAGACGAGATGATATCTGCCTGGAAGAGTGTGACAGGGCTCTGAATAGCAGAGAAGCGGGTACTGTCGAAGTTGAGAGATCGGTTCATGGGATTGTTTCCTGAAGAGAGATTAGACATAAGATTGGAATCAGGAGTGGGTTAATTCTTAGGAAGAATATGTGAAAGATCAAAGACCAGAATGAATTACGCACCTAGAAGGCCAAGATCTTTCATAAGCTGTTTAAACGGCAACGCTTCCAGATTGTCCCTCACACGGGTATAGAATTCTGGAGGGACTGGTGAAAACAGTGGACTGGGAGACTTGGCCCAATTTGTCAAATCCCAGGAGGGCGACTCAAAGGCAATGTCAACAAACATCGGTGGCTCGTGCTGTGGGAGCTGCTGACTTATTACCATCGACGGGCTAAGCTGCGGAACGTCGAAGAGCATTGGCCAAGGTTCTTCCCCGATAACACGTTCGTTGAGATCTTGAGAACCAGAGATGTGCGAGAGGTCTGAGGGTAGTGGGGTTCCCATACTGAAAACATCAACATTATCATACACTTGGCCATGTGGCCCTTGTTTAACGCTGAGACCAGTCTTGGTAGTCGCGTTGCCGACAACTGAAGCGATTGGCGAAGCAAAACCATTGCGGGCTTGGTTCTGCGCGTGGTTCACAACGTTGTCGGGATTCGCATAAGGGGTCCAATTTCCATCAATCCCTCTAATCTCAATAGAAGAGTTCTGTAGGCCGGCCGAGCGTCCTTTATCTCACCATATCAGCTACAATCCAGCACAGTCTATGGCTATGAAATCACCTTGCATCGTTCGATTCGGATTCTTGTGTTTCTCCTTGTTATATAGTCGTCTCGATTTCTGAATCCTAGCGGTGTCAACTGGTTCGCCCGAGATAAGTATCCTGGTGTCCTTGTGTTGGGATTTGAGTTTGTCGACAATTTCAAATGCATTTGCCCACTCATCCGGAGAGAGGTTCTTGCGAAATCCCCAGGCACGTAGCTGCGATTCGTATTGTGAAATGCTGAGATGAATGTTGTTAACTCGAACAGGTGAAAAGAGGCGGAGTTATGTAAGTACCTTGCGTTGAAACCATACTTATCCTTCATGATAGCCATTACTTTTTTACGTGTGTTGGCTTTTTGGCGAGTGAGATCCAAGATAGTAGCTTTCCAAATTTCCCACTCGTTTGGAGGAATCCGTCGCGTTTGTGAATCCATGTTCGAAGAATTGAGGTAGTAGGTTTGTACAAAGACGTCGTGAGTACAGCCTTCGTCAGATGTCCTGTTTGGTGAATGATAAAATCGGCAGATAATTGACAGACCCAAGGAGAAAATCAGCAACAGCAGGACCTAGCCAACATTATTATACAGTACGGGGGGGGCGCAGAGCCCACGAACCGTGACATGCCATTTCAGACAAGATGACCACTAATCTTCGAGATTGTGTCCCCAGGTTTTTGTCACCGACTTTTGTCGCGGGGTTCTGTCGTCAGGTTCTTGTCGTCAGGTTTTGTCGTCAGGTTTTGTCGTCAGGTTTTGTCGTCAGGTTTTGTCGTCAGGTTTTGTCAGGATATGTCAACTGTTCGGTCAGGCAGCAGGGCGTTTCCCAACCGAACCACATGTCCACGGGCCGTGTAACAAAATGCAGCATCGCGGTTGGCCATAAATTTGTGTGGCGTCTTGGATATTCACATGATGCAGATTCGTTATCAAGCGAAGGGCCTCGCTGGATGGTTCGTTATTTGGCTAAGCCTTGCCGTGCGCACCCACGATGTATGGAAGTATATCTTGACCCATGAAGCAGAGCTCAGCTTGACTGGCTATCTCGATGTGCCCCTGACGGAATGGTTCAACTACTTTACCAATTCTTTCAACCCTCGCTGAACATAACCGCAAGCTTGCTTCTGCCTCAAGACGAAACTTGGCGAAAACTAAACAAGTTCGTTTGTACAATTTCGGATGGGTTACAAGCAATCCGTGCGAAATACAAAGCGGGCGATGAAAAGCCAGACTCAATGAACGACCGAACACTGCTCTTCTCTAAGGTTTCCTCTTCCCACCGCTCCAGTTTCGGAAACTCATTAGCGAACTTCTCTTCTCAGTATTCGAAAATTCGAATTAGAGTTGAGCGAGCCCTCCAGAACCACCACTTCGACATATGGCGTCTACTGTGTCGCCTTCAAAATGTTTTCGCCCACTTAACAAGGCTTCGCGTCGAATCGTTAAAATATTTTTTAATTGAAAGTAACTTCCGCTACTCACGTGTCTCAAGATATCGATGATGGCATGACCATCGCCCCAGGAGTGGCTATCTTGACCCCAAGGATTGATATTGGTTCTCCCTTCTCCAAGTGCCAAGAAACCGACGGGGTTGCTGGGTTGAAGTCGACGTATCCAGACGGGCTTGGAACTATCACGACAATTGGCTTGCACTCACGGGAGTACCTTTCCAAGAAGAATCTTTCTAGGCTGAGCAAGGATCCGATCTTCACCGTCGAATATGTCAACTTTTCGTTCTCGAAAGTGTGAGTGCAGCACATTGACGTCTTGCGCCGATTGAATTGATGGCTCAGCAAGAATTAAGGGAAATCCGGTGTCATTGAGTGCTAAATATTTATTTTGGACATCGAATTAGTGGGATCGGATCAGAAACATTGTCGGGTCTTCCCATCAGAGACAAGAACGATCTAAACCATCGATCACGTGCAGCTAGGCTCCATCAAAAGGGGGAGTCGCTGTCCACTGTCCATCCGACGACCTCCTATTGTCAAGGACACGCATTCAAACACAACGCACAAGCTGCGGGTTTTGCTCGGCATTGCAACGTCTGAAACAACGACATCTAAATGGGGCTCTTTTTTGTTTCGCCACTATCGCCACTATCGCCTCCGGAAAACCCAAGGCTGACCCCTGTTTTGACTACGCTTCACGTTCCGTAGCCTTGCAGCAAAACTCCCATCCGCCACCTACTTCCTAATTCAACAACGTCGCATGAGATATTTTCCAGGAATATATCTTGGAGATCTAGCATTGTCTGCCCGGATCGGCCCTTTTCAGCTAAAACCGTCAACCTCCACCGGGTGACGCGCGGGAGCGGAATATCCACATCGTTTGGGAAGGTTGGGAAGGGACAACACTTCAATCCGGTAACACATCGTTGTGGAAGATACGAGAGCCTTGCCTAAGACGGACTTACAACAAGCACACATCACAGGGCTTGCCTGTAAGCCCCAATTGTTCACGGGTGTCTAACCCGTCTCTTCTAGAGCCAGCCTCTCTGATCTACGACTCGACAGTCCCGCTTCGATTCGCAAGGCCCCTTCCGGCGAATTCTCAGTTTCGGGAACCCCAAACCTGTACCTTGACTGTAATTTTTTCTCGTCAGCCCTGTGCAGCTCAAACCTCAGTCTAAGAACAGGATCACTCATGCGAGAGTCTTCAGAGATACGATAACAGTATCCAACCTAAGTGGTTGCTCGATTTCATTGCCAATAGCCCGAAGCAAAGCCTTGGTAATGAGCGGCCATATAAAGATGGCGGCCGCAACGTTTTCCAAGATGTTGAACTTCCGGCCTTGGAAGACTCGACACAAATATACAGAACTGGAAATGAATGAGCACGATCCTACTGCGACTCGATCCTCATTCGATGAATCCCTAAGACGGATAGGGGCGTCACGTTTGTCGGAATGGCCAAACTTTCCATTCGAAGAAGAGTTGAAGAATCAACAAGATGACCAACGACTCAAAACATCCACAACACCGACGACGAGGAGTAGATTCTCTCCATTTCGATCCCCAACACCACGAGGTTCCAGCTTCCTCAAACGACTAAAACGAATGTGGACATTGTTTCCCATTCGAGATATCAGCTGGATAGTGGCATTTAGCTTCACGATTGGTTCAGCTACTTTTGTCATCAATGGCTTCTTCTTGCTGCTCCCGTTGATTGATCCAGCGACTGACTTTGCAACCGAGACTCCTTACGCGACTCCAGCTTCAAGTGTGTTGGGCACACTGATATTTTTGATCGGTGGTTATGCAGGACTCTTGGAGGGGCTGAATCTAACGGGAAAGGAGATGACAGTGGCGGATGGTCTGAATGTAGAGGCCACCGAGATCACAGAGATCGGGACGAAGCAGGACGACGAAAGGTCCTCCCAAGAATCGGCTTCCAAAAGCGACAAGGATTCAGCCCAGGGCGAGAGAACCGTGCAAGTACAAACATTTAGAGTATCTAGCTCTACCACGCAGTCAAACGACGATGCGAATGAAGTCCACCCAACCTCCCTCGCGCCCCTGCTCGGAAGCCCCACCTTCATCTATCTTCCCACCATGCACCAACTCCTCACAACGTACGCACGCTCCCTACCCTTCCATGCAGGTTGGGTTCAATTCGTCGGCACCATAATCTTCTCCATGGCAACAATCACATCTCTCCCCGGGATCCTTACCTCTTCGCCTTCATTGGTCCCCTTGCTGAATCTCCTGCCCGCCACTCTAGGAGGACTTCTCTTCATAATCGCCTCTGTCCTCCAAATTCTCAATGCGCAAGAGAAATGGTGGGTGCCGCAGCCACTGAAGGGAGACTGGCAAGTTGGGTTCTGGAACGCAACAGGAAGTCTGGGCTTCACTCTGGCTGGAGCATTGCCAGCTTTTGGGACTGAGACGGCCACTTATTTCGGCACGCTGGCGGACTTTTGGGGAAGTTGGGCTTTCTTGTTTGGTAGCCTGGTGCAGTTTTATATCGTTATGGGGTATTATGCTTGACAATCAAGAACAGCTAAAACCACAATCTTCCAGTCTCATCCAATGTGGATCGCAAGTCAGGTATAAACGCCCAAACTCCCTCTCCTTTCTCTCTGTCCATGCTTCAATAGTAATGTCGTTTCACTCTCCTCTTCCATCTCCTCTTCTTCATCGATATCTTTTTTATCGTCGAACAAAGAATCCATTTCTCTTCCGAGAGGCACGTTCCGTGTCTCGGGAACGGAGAAGAATACGAAGAGTGTTGTTAGGAGACAGAAAAGAACGTAGATAAGGTAGGTGCCCCAACCGATAGTGGTGAGGAGTTGCGGTGTTATGTAGGCTATCACGATCTAGTTTCTTATTAGTGATCGTTGCTTTCATTTTCTCATATTGCGTACTGGGAATGAACATACCTGGAAAAGCCATTGCGTGCAAGTTGTCATCACGCAGCATTTAGCGTTGATGTGGAGTGGGAAGATCTGCTTGTGTCAGTCTTCCAAATTTGTAACAGAATGTGAATGACGAACTTCACTGCACACATTCCACGATATCGGGCCCAATGACACAGAGAACGAGAAAGCGAAGATATACACCGTCAACACGGAAACCACACCACCGAGCGTGAGTTTCGCTTCCCCGAGCCAGTGTGGGCTCCGATAAATTATCGATCGGGATTATCGATTAGTAATCGTTATCGGCTAATCGATCGATAAACGATCGATATCGATAATTATCGTTGATAAAAGTGGGCCCCAGCTATTAAGCGAGCCCTATTACATGAACATCTCGCTTTCTAGTTCAATTATAAACCGATTAGTATAAAGATTAATATAAAAGTAGACTATTATTACTATACTATTATATTTCTATTTAATAGTCTATTATATAATATAGATAATATAATTATTGCTAATACTATCGATGCAATGGGGCTCGCTTAATGGCTGGGCCCGCTTTTATCAATAATTCCATTGATAAAAGTGGGCCCGCCAGCCATTGAGCGAGCCTATCGATAATTCCATCGATAATAGTGGGTCCCAGGGCCTTGGCAATACTACAGGGCCACTACAGGGCCAATACGCTATATTTACAGGCCTTAGACCGCCTTTACAGTACTAAATCTATTAATAATAGTGGGTCCAGGGCCTTGGTAGTACTACAGGGCTACTACAGGGCTAATGCGCTATATTTATAGGCCTTATACCGCCTTTACTAAATCGGAATTCTGCTATAGTAAAGAAAAGGTGGTATGAGGCCTATAAATATAGTGCATTGGCCCTGTAGTGGCCCTGTAGTGGCCCTGTAGTATTGCCAAGGCCTTAGTTCGATAATTATCGTAATCGATGGTCGATTATCGATTATCGAAAAATTAGCGCGATTATCTAATCGGAGCTTATCGAGCTTATCGGAGCCCACACTGCCCCGAGCTGGTTCGCTGGTGGGATTTTATGAACAAAGTATGCTAGAAAGAGCATACAGACCCCACAGAGTGATGAGCCGAGCGGGAGCCAGAATCTATTACCCCTTATTTTGACGAAGACGAACATGAATGCAATTGCTGAGAGGAGTTTGACGACGCCGAATACGCCGGTTAAGAAGAGGGACGAGGAGACGGAGGTGAAACCTGCGGACATGAAGATTACTGGTGCATCTAACACATTGTCAGTACACCATTTCCCCTCATTTTCCTGATATTTGATGCGCAAAAAACTTACAGTAATTCAAAGCATTCAGCCCAACCATATTCTGTGCTATCATCAAACCAACACCGACTACCAATCTTTTGCGAATACCAGGCTTTAATAGTTCTTTCGAAAATGGTACGTTTTTATCTCTGACGAGAGAACTAACTCTCGCTGCATCTCTAATCTCCTGCATCTCGCCCTCCACCATCCACTCCTCCCCTCTCACACCCCTCAAGCTAACTAAACTCCTCTCCGCCTCCCTTTCCCTCCCTTTCCCTGCTAGGAAACTTGGAGTTTCGGGGATAGAGCACGCCCCGAGTAGGAGCAGAATACCAGGGATGAGTTGGATAGCGGTAGGGAGCCGCCATTGCAGGGATGAAGAGGAGGGGAAGGAAGAGTGGGAAAGAAAGGCCCCCCAGAACCCGGCGAGGGCGGAGAGCTGCAGGATGGTTTGGTAGCTGGACATGAGCATGCCTCTCTCCGAAGGAGGAGAAATCTCTGATATACTATTTTGTCCTGCTTAGCATTTCTCATTGCATGAAAGTAAAGGAGGTTCAGGGAAGGAAAGGGGAGAGGGAACGCACTACATCGGCCCCCCTAGTGTCCCAACTCCCACACCTAGTCCATTCAACGCCCTCCCCACTTTAAACCCTCCTATCCCGAAATCAAGCAACTGCATCCCCGCACCACAAACATACAACCCCCCGGCAAGAAACAAACATCCCTTCCGTCCAAATCTCGAGCAGAAAGGCATTCCGAGCGGGACGCCGAATAATGCGCCCACGAGCCAGGAAGTTATGATTTGTGCTTGTGTTGATGCTAGTGCGGAAGGGGGGAGAGTGGAGAGAGAGAAGTGGGAGAGGAAACTGGGCAGGACTATGATACCGCCGATGAAACCGACTGAGTAGCCGAATAGGGCGGCTGTGAGGCCGGCGATGAGGGCAGAGAGGTAGAGTGTTGTATATCTCGCCATTTTTTAAGGAAATGTTGTCTCGCTGAGGTCTGGGAGACAAGTAACAAGATAGACGGGAGCAGGAGAGATACAAAGAAGGGGGGGTAGATAAAGGATATACAGCGTTAAGCACCTACCTGGCAGTTGGCGGAACATATCTCGGGATCTGATGGCATTCTAACTTTGTGGTGGTTGCAAGATGCAATGCAGGGGCGTAAAAGGCTCGTGTTTAGGCGGGTCTAGGAATCTGGGGTACCCCGCGGAGAAAACCTTTGCCCCAAAATATACTTTGGTACTTGGGCGGATAAATACTAATGCGGGCTGGCGACCAAGAATTCAGTTACGGATCCGCGAACTTTCGGGGGCGCCGATGAAGAAGGTTTGATGGATAATGGATGTGGTACATGAAGGTAGGGGAGATGATTGGGCATAGATTAATCGCCGACAGAATCTCAGGGTTCATATTCAGATGGGAATATCTACGTACCACCACCCTGCATAGCTCTCATCCTAGCTTCCGCAGCCCTAGCTCTCCGTTCCCTCTCAAGCCTCGTCCTCATCTCGGGCGTCATTCCTCTCGCTTCCTCCTCTCGCTTCTCCTGAGCACTCTTCTGCACCTGCCCTAAAGCCAACGCTCGCCCTCTACCCGCCGCTTTTCCAAGAGGTCCATCAACGACTTTTGGGCCTTGCTCTGCTAATCGAGCTACTTCTGCCTTCCTCCTTTCTTCTTCCCTCTTCGCCTCTTCCTTCTTCTCCCTTGCCTCTCTTTGCTCCGCTTCAGCGCGCGAGAGAGCGGCGGGGATACGGGCGGCTTCCCAGTCCCATTTGCTTCCTCCTAGTTCTGACCTTGCGACTCGGAATGCGTCTCGTGTTGAGCGATCACCGGCGAGGTCGAAAGCCGTCTTACTGTCACCGTTTGGGAGAGTCGGATTTGCGCCGCCTTTGATGAGAAGACCGGATACGAGGGGTGCGGAGTTTTGGCTGGATGCTAGATGGAGAGGTGTAGGTGCATGAAAGTTTTGCTGGGAGTCTTGAGGTTGAAATAGAAAATCCGGAGGGAGATTATTGTTGTCGAGGTACGAAAGTAGGGCTGGGAGCTTAGACCGCCGGATCAAGGCTTGGATTTGTGTCGTGTGAAGAAGGGCTGTCTCTTCCTCTTCTGATCGCTTGGCAGTTGCAGGAGCAGGCTGTTTCGATGCTTTCGCAACAGTTGCCTGTTTTGCAGCCCCCTCGGCAGCTAATTTTGCTGCAGAAATGGCAGCTTCATCTATTTCCAGAACCTTGACTCGTGTGAGCTCAACGAAGGATCGCATGAGCTCATTTTGAGTCGCACGACGGGTACTGAATGGGAATCCTCGAATTCTTGGATCATTTTGCCGTAGAACCTGACCATCATAGGGGCCGAACAGCGTTCTTCTATTTGTGCTTCCCGTCGCTCGTATGAATATCAATTCCGAGGCATCAATCATTCCCTTCCAGTCCTGGAGAAGTAATCGGACCTCGTCAGTAAGGGCTTGCTCATTGTATCTTCTGAGACTGGATCCTGCAGAGTGGGCAGCCCCCTTTGCGGCATCGTTCGCAGATTGTGCACCACCTTGTTTTCGACGAGTTGTGTATCGATGGAACGTCTTGTGGACAAGCACTGTCGCCTCACGAGTCAAAGGGCCTGTCTGAGCTGACTTCGTCTGCTTCGGTGTTAAAGAGACAACCATGGCAGCAAAATGTCCGCCACCAATCATGCATAGGAACATATGAGGTCCTTTATACGCTTCCGGGAGTGGTACTGCATTATTCGAGTCGACAGGCACTTTCGCCTGTGGCTTCGGAGCTAATTGCTTGTTCTTGATAATATCAACGACTTTTGCCTCATTCTCCTGCTCTAAATTCGTGAAGATGGATCGGTATATGCCAAGATATGTGCTCGAGGGCAGTGACGGAGTCGTAAACCAAAATAAGGGAGGTTTTCCTGATCCACGTTTTTGTTTCCTTGGTACAAAATCTTCCGCATCTCCGTCATTCGCAGAAGAAATAGCCGCCTGTTTCTTCAATAATGCGCTCAGAGTTGTTTCTTTCCGTCCATCGCCTTCGTCGTCGTCTTCAAAATCCGATGAGTCAGAACCCGACAGGCTCTCATCAAGATCTGGGCATGGTTAGAAAATCATCTGAAGAGGTGTGGCAGAACCATACCTCCAACCAACTTCTCAAAATCTCCTTCTGACACTGGTTTCGCCCCTCTGATCCTCTGCTTCAGGTTGTAGCCATGTAAGTCAGACCTAATATGACTCCTTTGGTCCTCCACAGTGTGAAAAGTCACCCCGCAGAGAGAGCATGACTTGGATCCAACAGCGCTTTCTGTTCTTGACTCTGGAACTGGGTCCTTTGTGCTAGAATGAGTTGCAATATCGTCATGGGGGCCTTCCTCAGTGTCGTGTTTTCGCGTCAAAGTCGTTAAGATGTCTGCGGGAAGATCATACACTGCCCAAGTTAGTTCTCAGGTCGGAACAGAGCGGCCGGCTTCAAAGATACCATATAATGGCCGCCGCGTTACTTCCTCCTTTCGTTGATCCATTGCAAGGCAGATTGGTAGAAGGATGACGGATTTCCGTGGCAGCCACAACAAAATCAATGAGGCTGAGAGTTGACGATCGAAGTCTTATCGGTTTCGATAAGCTTTCTCGGAGCGGATCTTCTTTTCTCCTTAGCGAGCACTAACCCTGCCCCTGACGTAGTGCTTTTCTGGACAAACAGCTCCGTGAGCATACGAGCTTGACAAACAAGATATCTAGCAGAAAATGTGACACATAACTACTCTAGTCTGTCCGAGGCTACGAGCGTCTAGAATTCTATCCAAAATCTTAATTGGTTTACCATAGAGAGACCAAGAGACAGTGCGGGGTACAGAGCGGACAGGATCACCATTGCATGCGCAACCTTGAGCTCTAGGCAAAGGTAGTCCATGTCATCGGGTTTGAAGAATCCCATATCTCCTCACTCCGCCTCACGAAAAACAAGAAGAAACAATCCCGCGTCCTGGAATCGACACCCCCAAACTCTATCTCAAGATGTCTTCCTGCTTCGGATCGAGGAAGAAGTCCAAACAAAATGGAGACCGTCAACCTTTACTACCTCAATATGAGGATGATACGTCACTGCAGAGAATAGCCCACCAGAAGCTACACACATATCAAATGTTTAGAGCACTTTCCAAGGGGTTCATGCCATCAACTGAGCAGACCATCGTCAACCTGAGGACTCTTCTGGCATCCGATGTCCTGACTCCAGACACTCCAGGGCTGAGTGAAAGTGGACGAAAGCTCATGAAATACTCCAAACAGTGGCTGCAAGAATTCATCGACTTGTTGAGGAACAAGAATGAAGGGGACCAGATTCAAGATTTCATCTGGTTTCTGATCCATGCCAGAATATCTGTGGACACGAATGATTTGATTCGGACGGCGAGGTCAACGAGAACAAAAGCAGATGCTTCGGCTGGTATGTCGTTGTTTAGAATTAAGTCTGATATCTTGCTAATAGTCATAGCTTATGAAAGCATTAAGACTGTTGGAAGTCTTCTCCTGACAAACTCCGATTTCAGGATATTTCTCTCCGACCTCAACACCATTGGGCGGAAAGTATTCGCAGATACTGCCAACACGATTTCAGATGTCGCTGAAAATGCCGCAAATAAAATTGAGCCCTCGTCCGCAGAGAGTGAGGCGTTGAAGAAACCTGGCGGAGAGAGTAGCACTGCACCTACGGCGGCGGAGCTCGAAGCCGAAGCCCTTGAAGTTACGGACGTCGTTGCAAATGGAATCAAGAAGGCAGGAGAGGAAGCTCGTGACAGTTTGGCGGAGAACGTTTCTGATCAACAGAAAGAGACCTTGATCCACCGACTGAAGGCAGCCGTCACGAAATTGAGACAGAGGAATGATTACACAGATTCCGTTTCTACCATCGGTCTGTTGATCAAGAGATACGCCAAAGTCTACTCTAGAGCCGTGGACAAGACAATAAATACTGTTCAAGAGGACGTGGAATCCAATGAGGAACTCGACCGAGCTATGAAGAATGGATGGTCACTACTCAGTTCATTCGGTGACAAGAAGGCTTGGAAAGAATTGCAGGAGAGATTCAACAAGGTCATGGAGCATGCCCAGAAAGACCCCGAGTTCGAACAACTCATGGAGGAATTAGCAGCATCCATCCAGAAGATGCTCACGGAACCCGGCTTCTTCGATTCAGCCAACCACAAGATGGAAGAGCTGAAGGAAAAGTCGAAAGAAGTAGGAACGGATTCGCCGTTACGGAAAGATATCGATGCTCTGCTCCAGCAAGCCCGCAAGACGTTCGACTCGGTCATGAACGACCAAGACGTCTCAAAGCTTCTACAAACCTCTTTGCGGCTCTGGAACCTCCTCTCGCCAGCCAGGCAAGCCACAAACCCCGAGCTGCTCACAGACACTTACACAATCTTCATCCCTCTCTTCATCCAAGCAATCCAATACCTTCCCATCCCCCGCCTCGAAATCTCCGTCCCCGAAATCGACCTCCTGCTCGAGAATCTGATCCTCGAGCCTGGACGGACAATAAACAACACTTCGTTCCTCCCCTTCCGCCTCAAAGTTGAGACATATAACGATTTATCCATCAGAAAAGCTCGTTTTCGCACAGTAAGCACGATGAAGTCTATGGTAACCATCAAAGTCCAAGGCCTATCCATCCGTGCCGATGAAGTTGGCTTCTGGTTGCGCGCTCACAAAGGCCTCCTCCGCCTAGCCGACGAAGGAATCGCGTCCTTCGAGCTCGACGACCGCGGAATTGACGTTGAGCTTGACGTCGAAGTTGGCAAAGAGCGACTCGAGAAGATCCTCACTTTGCAGAACGTGAGAGTCAAGATCCACCATCTGAGCTACACTTTAAGAAAGAGCAAGTTTGCATGTTTAGCTTGGCTCTTCAAACCTTTACTACGTCCGATTTTGAGGAAGGTGCTGGAGAGACAGTTAGCGACTACTATCGGAGATTTCTTCCATGCTGCGAATCGCGAGTTGTTGTTTGCGAGGGAGCGGCTGAGGGCAACGCGGATTTCGGACCCGAAGGATCTTATGACGTTCGTTAAGGCAGTGCTGACAAGATTGACTCCCGCGGAAGATCCAGATTTGTATACAAATGTTGGGGTCAGGGGTGCTGCTGATCAGAGAGGCAATATCTTTGCGGGAGTTTATGCGCCGGGGAGTGTGGTGAAGCTGTGGGATGAGGAGGCGGCTAGGGCGGGTGAGGTGGTGGATGATAATGCGAGTCAAGGGTGGAGGAATGAGATCTTTGATGTGCAGGCTCGGTCTATGTTCTAAGACTGTGTGGGTGGGGTACGAAAAAGGAGCACACGAACATGGTGACAAAAGTGCCCTCGAGGTTTGAAGATTGAGCACAGTCACGGAGGGTGTATAATCTAGTTTAGGGACTCTACAGCACAATAACCAATACTTTTTTCTGAAGCATCCAAGCTATGCTTGAGGACACTCAAAGAGATCTGGGAACCCCACGCTCATCGTGTACCCCTCGTTTCGTCCCACTACCCCGCGGGTTCACCATCCCGACCTCTTTTCTTCTTTCCCGCAAGATCAACTCAGCCTCCCTCCCCATCCTTCTCTAGAGGAAAATCAGTTCACTCCATTTCCAATCTTTATTCTGCCTCCCGCATGAAAACCAGTCCGAAACGGCTCTCTGACTGTTTTTCCTGGGATACCCAGCAACATTGGGCGGGGTAGCTCACCGATACTTTCTTTGGTACCACTTCCACCTCACCACGTCACTCTCTTGTACACTCTTTTCCTTCGGCAAATTGTCACAAGGCACTACATCCAAGAAGCAAACACCCTAACCTCCTGCAAGTGCAGATACGAAGTATATCATCCGAAGTAACAACCCATGTCCCTATTTCTTGCCCGTGCCTCGGATCATTGCCTCGCCGAGAGGCATTGCCTCATGGCGTAGTACCCATCTAGGCACCCTCGTCGTCTTAACATCACCCGACACCGTCGATGGCATCAAAGGGTATCTTTATCTGAACTTTTCGGGCTTTTCGACATTCCGGCAAGGGCTGGAAGCTGACAAGATGAGACAGATCAGATGTGAGGATCTATTTTCCTTCGCCTCAGAGTTTCCTCGGTATTTTCTTCAGTCATCTGAGCGGAAACTCTTCAACCATCTTCTCCTTGCATCTTCTGGGTATTTATACCGGCTTGGCATCCCAAAGTATTTAATTCCAGAGTACCTTCCTATCAACTTTTCCAAGGAAGTTCGAAATAGCCCCTAGTGCATCATCGGTCCCAAACTCCAACTCGCACTTCATCCTCACGAAAACACACTTCACAGTCTCGTATCAATACATCGAAATGCACATCTCCGTCAAACCTCTCCTCACCCTCCTCTCTGTAGTGCTCTTCTCTTCCCCAATTTCCGCCCTTCCAACTGATCTCACTGCTGCCATCGCCGATGCTCCCGCTGCTCGCGCTGCCGCTGACGTCTGCATCAAAGGCGTCTATTGTGGGAGTTATGCAGGCCAGAATGCTCTTGTATGATTCCCCTCCTTCACGCATTGCCTCAATAACTTACTAACTCAACTTTCCTTCTAAAGCTGACCTGCGACGGCCACAATCTTTTCAGATATTGCTTCAAATCATGCTACATCGACCAAGGGTGCATACCGTATACGACTTGGGGCTCGTGAGCCATCTCTCGTCCAGACTTGGTGAGTCGAGGAAATCTGCGGAAGATCAATCTGGCTGTGGTTATGCTCCTGGTTCGTGATGGATTTGAGGGTTGGGTCGGGTCGGGTGGAGTTGGAGTTTTGATTCTCGGGGACTTTACAAAGTGGCGAAGACTTTAAGTATCATCCTCGATCCTAGATAACACATGGGACGTTGAATCTGTCAAATGACCCAGTAGGATATTCAAGACACTTTTCTCTCCCATCGGTCAGCATCTTGATCCATACTCTGCTTGGGAAAACTCAAATGATCACGTGTCCGTTATTCCCCTCGATTAGTGCGTTCCTGGCTCTGGTTCGCCGCGAATGGTTAGTCGATAATGGGACAATCCTCCTCTCGACGGCGACCCAAAAGCGGTGAAGAAAGAATTACAGTAAATAGCTAGAAAATATGCAGGATCCACTAGGATCTGAGTGTTTATAGCTACTTGATCAAGGCTTTTCAGTTTCGATGGTGGATATTAACGGCTTTCGGCCCACATTGCAAGGGTAGACGTTGAAAGACCCCAATTTTGCGTGTTCAGTTTGCCATCCTCACTATCAAAGTGATATCTATGCCTGAACGCCAGCCCGTTACCCTCCACTTATTTTTCCAAACCGTCATCAGTCATCACTTGCCTTCTAATTACCCGTACGCAGATCCCTACCCAGTTTTCCGTACATGTTCGCTCAATTAATCTTGCAATAATTCGCTGGAAAGCTCCCTCTAACGCCCCTGAGCTCACCCTCCCACCAATCATCAACGCTGTCTGTTTTCTTCACGACCTTAATCTGATCGCCTTCCTTAAAACTCAAATCGCCTTGATTTTGACCTTCGAAGGAGTAGAGCGCCATGGCGTACACGCCGGAGTTTTGAGAACCAATTCGTTTCGGGGGTGGGGGAGGTGGTTTCTTTTTGCCTGCAACGCCGCGCTGGAAGTAATCACCACTGGGCCCTGCGGGAGAATGGGCTACGTAGGATGATTGGGGTGTAAGTTGTGTCGAGTAGTCTGGCGATAGAAAAGCTGGACTAGGTTCGGGAGAAGGAGAGGGGGAAGGCGGCTTAGGTTGTTCGATGACGGCCAACGAATTCGAAGAAGGGATTCGCATGACTCGAGCTTCGGGATTGGGAGAGATAGGGTGGTTCGTGTTGTTTGAAGATGCACGGCGGTTTGCAATGCCATTTCGGACGCCCAAGCCAGTTATTGATTTGCGTCCAACGTCGCCTAAAGACATCGGTTGGTGAATAGCTTTCCCCCGGGCGACCATGTTGATGCTTTCTATTTGTTGCTGAACAGGCTTGAAGTCTTTGCTCCACATAGATATGACATCCTCCATCGGCGGGGGAGGTGATGGGAAGCCAGTTTCTTCACAGTAGTTATGTAGGATGGTGTAGTATTGGGCTAAGAGCGTATTTTGGATCATGATTTGGACCGCAAGTAGGTGAGGAAGAATGGAGAATGCGGACGCAATGATGGGAGGAAGAGTTTCCCTGAGGTGTTCGTCGGCGACTTTGAAGTCCTGTTTCAAGCATCAGTCATAAGTGAGATAAGGATGGACCGAGAAACCAACATCCGCAGCTTTTGCTAAGTCCTCCTCCGCCCTTGCCAACGCCGCATTATCCCGATCTGATCGTTTCAACTTTTTTGATAAGCTGTTGACCTTGTCAATGTAGCGTTCCCAATCTAGTCTCTTATTTTCTCGTTTCTTGATTGTTTTGCGTATGGGTTGCAAGTACTCCTTCGCATCGGTTGCTGGCCTGATCACGCGAGAGTCCATCATGCCAACTTCGTCCAGCAGATCCGTCTTCAGTTCTGCGTACGCTGCCCTCAACTTGGATGTCCGCTCGAGCTGCTCTGGGGTACTCATGACTGGCGGTTGTCCGTATCCATCACTTGAGCCAACAATCGGCTGGTAGAGCTCTTCGAATATTGTAGTCGCTGTCAATTGAATGCTGAGAATAGATACCCATGCATCTCTCCAACCTTTCGATGCCTCTATTATCTGCGAGTTCTGTCAGCGAGGTTCCATAGAGCGTCTGAACTAAGCAAAGGGGGAAGACAAACCTTGGTGAGCATCTTGTCAGCATCCTCATATTCGTTGAGGAGCATAGCAACATTGGCCTGGTCTCCCCCTCTCCTCTTCAACTTGCCAAACTGGCGATGCACTGTATTCATGTCGAGAAATGACGTCTGATCTGGGCGATGGTGGTAGTGACTGAATAATGCCAATTTGCCTGGCAAAGGCGCGCTCTCGTGTGTCGAAGGAACGAATCAGGCAGATGGCGAAAGGTGGAGAGAACAGACAGACGCTCAGGAGGGTTGGTTGTCAATTAATTGGCACAGCCGCACGCGACGAGATGACGATCACGTTCAAAACCGGCGGGTGTGCTGTGCTGCGGTCTCGTTGCGGCGCAAGGAACGGGTTTTGGGTGATTCACCATGGATCCAGCTTTCGCCTTCTCCCTGAAACGAAACAGGGTTAGCATTCGCCTCTGCGGGGTTTGGGGCTTTTTTGTCGTTCTGGAAGGAAGGCTGCCTGCGCCTAAAATAACATTCCCATCAACTGATGCTTGTGTGCGAGATAAATGCACTGCTGTGCGGATAACGCGTGGATAATTGACGACCACACACTGGGAACAGGGGAGAGTGTTCGAGAGGGAGAAAGCTTGAAAAGGGGGGCGAATGATTGGTTGCCAAGCTTAACACGTGATCTCGTAACCTTATTTTTGCTTGTGTGGGGAAAGCGCGTCGCGGCGCGTCGGGAAAGTCTCATCATTCGAACTTCCTGGTCATCTCAGCGATGCTTGCTTCTCCTCCTCAGCAAAGTTCAGGGCCATGACTCGCCCCGTAGCTTTTACACATAATGGTCTCTTCGTCCTTCACAGCGGGCACGTCCATGGATGTCCCCCAAACCCAGAATACTGCGCCGGTTCTCGAATTTAGATGCCTGTACACTCAAGACCTACGGCGAAAGCAGAAACGGTGGCAAGATGGCAGACTCAAGTTTCACACCTTCAACAAACGGGTGATGGTCTACGATGAGCGGTCCAATTTCGTGGGAGACACCCATTGGCGGGAGGATACGGCATTCGACGAGGGCGAAGAGTTGGAACTTGAACGAGGCGGCATAATGGTCGAGGTTGGTGAGTGTGTTGGGACGAGAGAGCAGGATCTTTCCGAGTTGGTGGACAAAAGGGTGAAAGACAGAGAAGGAAGGGCTGCTGCAAAGATTGCTGCCTCATCTCCATCTCGACCTCATGTTTCACTCATCCGGACCTCTCAAGCTACCCCGGGTCCTCTTCAACACAAACCCCTGAATGCTTTGCTCACCACAACTGGGCACTACGGAAGAGCTGTCATACCAATTACTTCTCCATACGAGGAGAAGGAACGCCTCATAAATGGGAACCAGGATGGAACGGAGAATGGGAGAGCATTAAAGAGACGGAAACCAAACGAAGGTGCACCAAGCCAGAGCGGTTATGCCCAAAGCCTGATGGGTGCTACGCTGTCCCTGGCATCTTCGAGACCCCTGAGTACTGCAACGATCCGCTACGAACCCGTGAGAGCAAAACCAAATGTCAGGGATCCTCCACCGCCCGCCATTGACCTTACTAGTGATAGAGATGAAGACGAGGAAAGATGCATTGGGACAAGCAGGGCTCGTGTGAAGGAGGGCCGGGTCTCGAACGATTTCAGAGGCAAAGGTCAAAGGAGACCCAAGAGATCACCATCAAGAAGTGGATACGCTAGCAATCTTACTGGAACCTCCTTGACGCTGTTCCGCCCGGAAGATCTTTCTACTCGAAGATGCGACAAGAATCTTCCTGTTGGTATACCTACTAAATCAATACGGCAGGAGAATAACGATTCCTCTTCAGATGCGGAGGAAGACAGTTTCATTGACACCGAGTCTGTTGCAACAGAACTGCCGGCTGTAATAAAGCCGTTTAAAGAGCGTCCTAGGAAGCTTGACAAGTCTCCGACGACGAGTTCGACCTCTGATCTTGGGTCCTCCTCTCCCACGTTACTTAATGATGCTACGCCTACAATGAAAACGCCCAAGACTTCGACTAGAAAGCAAGTCAAGCCCGGAAAGGGATTGGCTACCTCCTACGACCGGTCTTCTTCGCCCACAATGGTCGAATTGCAGCTACCCAAACCTACTAAAAATTTCCGGGAGCCTCCTGTTCAGAGGTCCTCTGCTCCAATATCAACACCGAAACCTATCGAAAACTTCCAAAAACCACCGCTTCAGAACTCCTCCGCCGTAGTACCGACACCTGAACAATTTGCATCCGTTCTGCGAATCAAAGCAAGACCTCCAAGAAAGATGATGATGCTTATGGACCGTCCTAGCTCTCGTTCATCTGGTACGATCGAGGCTTCTAGTGCAAGCCGACGTAAGCCAAAACTACCTCGGAATTTAAATCAAGCCTCAAATGAAGTCGTGCTTTCCCAAGCAACGATGCACTTGGATGAGTTTTGCCAGAGACAAGAAGATATTATCCAGGCCCGTCTGAATGGCAAACGCCCGGCTCCAGAAGCGGAGGATCTATTATCTTCCCCCGAAGATAGCGGCATCAATCATCAGACAATCGATCTTCTCTTGTCTCGCAAAAATGTGCCGTCTGTAAATAAAACAGCTGCTGAGCCAAGACCGTCGACTTCAACGAGTCGGGACACTAATCCAGGTGCACAAATTGAGCGGCCATGCTCTGAAAAAGAGCATAACGTGGAGGGTGTATTGAAATCCCAACCTAAGGATGCTTCTAACCTTAGGTCGAACAGACCTAATAATGGGTGGCGAATTGACGAATTGGATTGTCCAGGAGACCAGAATCTTTTACCAGAATTTTTTCCCAACAGTGGAGGAGAAACTTCAACTCCTTGCGACTCTGCTCTGCAAAATGCTCCAACAGCGGTTCCGATGAGCCTAGTTGCTATAGTTGTGGGGAAAGAAAAGGAGGAACGAACGTTTACCAAAGTCTCTCAAGCCCCGCCAACGATGTTGAAACTTCCTGAGCATTTCAGTAGCGCTATGCAAGCAGCAACCGATCATTTTCAGGAGATCATCAAATGCTCGGCGAGCTCAGAAATTCAATTGCCAGCTTCAACGACATCCGCACCCGAAGAAAAGGATGAGGCTGAGCAGACTCTATCAGTGCCTTTGTCTCATCAGAAAGAGCAAACAGCCTCTTTCGAAATCACCGTGAAGCCATCTCCCAGATCATCCCTGGTTGGAGGAGCCTCGAACTTCGGAACTGAGCTTTTACAGGCTGGATCAGATCTAGCAAAAGGCTCAGGTGAATCATCTGAAAAAGGAGTATCACCTGCAGCCAACGGGAAGGTAGACACACCGAAAGCGAGGCTGGTCAATCCAGCAACACGAGGCAAATCACTTCAGACGATTGCAGCCAACACGGTTGATTCACTGGCGCCGGCATTCAGTCTTATGCCTCCACCTGCGCCTCCGCCACCACAACGGATCACAACTCGACCCCAGAGGAATGTGGTTGCAGAAGAAAGGCCGCCACCTGGAGGATACGTCGGGGGTAGGACGATTGCTGGACCTTGGAGTCGGGAATCTTATGATTTGTTCGGGTCGTGGTTGCCGCCTGGAGGCCTTGCCAACGTTGCGCAGGCAAACACTGGCTAGTCAGTTCACAATCAATTGCCTTTCGCCGATTTTCGTTCTGTTGGGCCTTTTGTTTGCTCCGTGTGACGTTGCTCCTTGCAATTATGGCGCAGTGATTGGGTTTCAGCGCCCTCGGCGGCCAGGTTTTGCGGGGCAGAGCTGGCAAGGGAACAATCGCCCTGTATCCCGCCCTTCAGAAGGGCGACGTTCACAAAAGTACCAAGTTTTATGGCGCCTTTCAAGCTACCTCCGAAGTCGAACATCGGTGCCCGGTGGAATTGGGACACGATTCGATCCATCTAAGATTATCAGGGCGGTATGGTTTGACAGGCCCTAGCATTGAATCGCCGCCTACGGTGTGAGGCCTCCAGCAACCTCCATATTGAGCCGACAGGTTTGGTATCCTACTTCACCGTCGACTCGAACAATAACAATAGGCGTCATTCCGAGGCCTTTTGCCTCGTGTGCCTTCTGCCTCCATCTTTAATTGGCAGACCTTCATCTAACCCCTCGATTGACCCACCATCTGACCTCCTGGCAAGTCCACCTTGGATGGTTTAGCTGCGTTGCAAGCGAGTGTGACTGAAGGAAGTGAGGCTCACTGCGGGAAAACAAGGACGCCACCATTTCCGGGAGGCCTCGGAGGGCAAAAAGGGCATGCCCTCCGGCTCATTCTTAACAGAAAGCACAAATTGAATTGCACAGTTGCATGGCTCGGAGCACTCTCAAACACGCTTCTGGGGGTTTCATACGGAGGCTCGTAGATTACTCGCAGCTTCGCCACGCACTTTCGCGGTGCCCTCGAGCTTGAAGTTGTGTTTTTGCCACTGGGACAGTCGTCGCCTACCCTGGGGAGCCAAGGGTACTTTCGCAATTGACGATGTCCCACTTCTGAGTTCCTTCGCGCCCCAGCCACAGTTCAGGTGAGATTGGCGTTCGCTAGCGAGCAATCTCTTCACAATCTTCTTCCACCGCCTCTTCAGCTCCCTCTCTCTTCCGGATCAAAGGTGCAAATTGCAAAAGTCCCACGTTATTGCGATCAGATGCGACATGGCCACGAATTGTTGAAGCCAATTCATGGGCCTGCACCAGCCTCGTGTGGTTCGCACCAGTACCGTTCACCGAATTCCTTGCTTCAGAGTGGTCGTCACCCAGGTCAGGCTGGGCGTCCGCCCTTAACCTTACGGAAGAGGCTTATCTGCCTTCTACGAAGCCTGAGCTTGCCTCGACAATAAATAAGGCTGGGACTTTCGCTCCCTGTCGGAGTTGAGTGTGACTTTTTTCTCCATCTTTTTCTTATATCCTTGAGCATCTAATCGATCACTATAAGCCTGTGCAGTTCCCATCTACGCGCACCGCGCATTACTCTCTTTTTGGGTGTCTGTCACATCGCGCTTACTAGCAAGACTTCGTCGTCCAACATCGTGATCAAGCTTCAACTGAACACCCTATACGAGCGATACCCTCCTCTTATGCCAGACATGGCTCCGCCGACATCACCCCCTCATAACCTCTCGATCCGAACGGCGAAGCATGGCAAGCAATCAATCCAGCAAGCACCGTCTTCCTCCTCACCGCAACAACTTCACCAAGAATACCCTATAAAAGTACCTCCCGAGAAGCAGACAAAAGCTGTAGAGCTCTATAACACTTTCATCCTCGCAGAGATGCTGGCCGAGAATGACACGGTGACCCATAACGACGGTTATCTTCTTCCCACTGGGCCTCCCACCGCCCGCTCGGTCACATCACAGACGTCTTCAAAGCACCGCGGAGCACCTTCCACCTCGGCGTCGACGTATGATGCAGCTGACTACGGTTCTGTTGTGTCTTTTAACCAAAGTCCCACTTCCGCCACAGAATTAACCTCTTTCGATGGCAAGAAAGTCAGGACACGCACAAGAAAGCGGTTGAGTCCGAAAGCCAGAGCCAAGGCTGCATTAGTACGGTATCTTGGATCTTGCCAGCCTTGCAGAAGCAGACGCGTCCCTGTGAGGCTTCTCTTCCCTAGTAATGACTTTAAGCTTTGATCTGACTATGATCAGTGTCCTTTAGATCATCATGATATCAAATCCCTCGAAGCCCTCCGACTATCGATGCCGAAAGAAGAGATTCGGACCCAACTGCAATCTGTACCCCTCTCAGCCGCCTCGAGTTCCTCGCAGAGAACGGCACGGTCGATAACGAAACAAGAACCCGCCTCGAGCAGCGCGGTCTCCGACGACTTTCTTGGTATCGGAGCACAACTGCTCGAAGTGGACGCCATGGACTTCGACAAACAATTATTGGATGTGGATATCCTCTCTTCAGTAACAGGGCAAAATTATGACAATACTCAGACCGATAGACCGGCACCTGCCATGCTGAATCCTGTCGCACCCAATTTCCCCATTCTCAATGACCCAAATCCATATGCTACTTTCAAGCATGGCGCCCCCTTCCTTCTTGGCTGCCTTCGCAATGATCATTTTCACTGCCAGTATCTTCAAGTGTGCCAAGAGCGCCTCAACACGGCGGATGAGTTACAAGATCATTTTGCTTCAGCCCATTTCGAGTTTACGCGAATTGATCCTGCGCATCGGTTTATCTGTTCCGTGTGCAATGACACGAGCCTCGGCGCGACTGAACTTTGTCGTTGCGGAACACCAGCTAATATTGAGCTGTGGATATGTGGACACTTCATCAAAAGACAGCGGTTTCAACGTGATAGTTCTGATGGGACCGATTTTCAGGGATATCGACCTGGGCCAACCTCCTTTGATCCGCCATCGTTTGGAGGACCGAATGGCAGTCTACCCTGGGATCCAAATACGAACAACAGAGGAAACTTTGGTGGGGGTGTTAACAACCAGGGGCCGTCCAATTATCAGGGCGGATATGGCAGAACTGGTAATCCAAACCCAGGTTTTGGATGGAATAACTCCAATGGATCAGGATCGGGCAGTAACCCGTATCAGGGGAACCTCTTCGGAACTCGGCACATGGCATGGGACGGCCACTACGATTTCCAATTCTGGTGCTCGAAAGCACAGCCAAAGGGACTTCGCCTTCACTCGTTCCTCCTTCTCCTTCTTGTCTTATTTTCTATCGTCTTCGGTTTTACTCATGATTGGCTCATCACCAAAACACATCTGGCCGCTGCCAGCATTCGTTCTCATCTACCGGTCCTAGGATTTGCTATTCTCATGACGTCCATTGTGATACCCCTCCTGATGCAACACTTCAACCTTCGACGAGCACGATGTGTGAGTATCACCATTGTCCTGGACCACCAGGCCAAGAAGCACGCTGACGACCTTCAAAGGGACCTCGATGTCCTCTGCACGCTCTTACACACTCTCATTTGCCGTTTGCATCCCGACCAGTCGGATTTGAATATTCTTTGCGTAGTGTCGCTTGCTTATGACACGAAAGGGCGGAACGACTTCGCATTACTGCCGTCTACGAAGCATGAGTTGTAACGCCCGCCCTGACTTATGATTGACGGCCCACATTCTTTACGAAGGAGACGACGAAGTACAAGTATTGGATATATAGTAGGTAGAGCATGATCTACATTCAGAGCCGGAGTTGAGGTCTGGGTCACCGCAGGGCATGTAGATATACCCATTCAATTTTCAGCATCGTCACGAGCATTGTACCAACTCCCCTCAACAAAGAGGAAGGGATATGTTGGTTCACGGAGACTTTAGAATTCACTGCAAAGACTTGATGCTAGATGCATATAGAAACGTTACGTTGCAATGAATCCATAGTCAATGTCCAATGAGTGTTCCAGAGAAAATGACTCAGAAGCTGTGAAGCCACTGCAGGTGAGCCGTGTGGCTGAGTGAGGTGAAGGTTCCCGGCTCGGCCCACGACCTTGTCTGGGAGGAGAATATATAACTCCACCACTCCTCTCTGGGGGCCTCCCCAAGTTTCTGATCCAGAGAGGAGTCATGGGAGGCGGCGATTGATCAATCACGGCTGTGAATTCAAGTGCATGTCTGCAGAAGCGAGGGGTTTGGCGAGAGTTGGAGTCGGAGTCATCATCCTGTAACCTCTGCTCTTGTTCCCTCCTGGTGCTCCCTTCAATGCTGACCCTGGTCCCGGTCCTGGACCCTAGCAAAAATGTCTAACCTGAAGTTCTTCGCCGGCTCACCTGTGGCACATTGGCCCATGCAAATGCGAATACTGAACCCCGCCTACGCATTCAGAGCCAATGAGAGGGCGCGAGATGCGCGGGTGGGCTGCTCAGCCCTGCTTCCCTTTTGGGCTCGCCGTCTGCTGAATTCTGCCTCGCAGATGAGACGTGCGTTGCGAGTTTAAGAACCGTCATCTTGTCCTCGAGGCATCCAACTTCTTCTTTCCTCGTCAGCTCCCATATTGTACCATCGTCGCCGGTCGAATATCCTCGACGACCCTGGGCCATTCGGTTGAGAGTCCAGATCCTCAATACCGAGGACTATCCCATTGTACAGACACTCTTTGATCCACTATCGATAAGCCAGACCGCGAACCTCTATCGCAATGGCTTCCACTAACCCTTACACCTCCTTCACCATCACCCAGGTAAGCTATCGTAGTTTGTCTTTTCGCAACCACCTGGAAGTTCGAAGAGCGTGGGGAACATTCAGAAGGTTCGAAACTTGAATGTTCCCGCAGCTTCTTGAACATCCGCCTTTCAATTGTCCCATGTGAACGTTGAACAACGAGATGGACTAACTCGAGATCCAGGCCTTCCTGGGTGCTCCCCTCGAGTTCCAGCCTGCTCTCAACACCCTCGAGTTCCAGGAACTGATCGATGCCTATGTCACCGGTTCTGCATCCAGGCAGGACAAGATCTCTCAGGTTACTCTTGACTTGTATGTTTCCCATCCTCCCTAAGCTTGGGTTGCAGGAAACTGACGATATCTTAGCTACAAGAATGCGACCGTCGACCTTAACACTGGCGCCCTCGTCCGCATATACACTGTCCTCCCTTCTCCATGGACCGGCTATACCGTGTTTGAGCAAAGCCCTACTCAATCCACATCCTCCGGGTTCTCCCCAATCTACACTCCTTCTCCTGGCTCTTCTGCTACCTTCGGCGACTCGTCTTATGGCTCTATGAGCATGACTCCTCCTACTCGTACTCAAGGAGCTCGAGCCCGTGTGACGAAGAAGGCGAAGAAGGACACTCCAAAGGCCGCCGAAGCTAGGTTGCCTGGCTTCTCGATTATGACCAAGGACGGCATTGATGTTACGAACTCTGCTGGTCGGGGAACCAAGACTAAGGAACAGCGAGAGCATGCCCATTTGATGAGAATCATGAAGGCTTGCGATGCTTGCAAGAAGAAGAAGATCAGAGTAGGTATTCCATTTCCTCTTTTCGCAGAAATGGTGTTAATCATGGCTATAGTGCGATCCTTCTCATCGAAGATCACACAACGACATGTCACGCACTGCATCCACCTCTACACAACAGACTTCCTCCTCTGGCACAGCCTCGACCCCACCATTATCTCGCGCAACCACCCATGCCAGCAGCGCACCCTCCTTCAGTCCCTCGAATCCAATCGACGATTTTGTACTCTTCCCTGAAGACGACTCCTGGAACGCCGATATGGATCTTGGGCAATTCAACTTTGATATCAACGTCGACCTCAATGATCAATCTGTGAATGCCGATAGCCTGTTCGATTTCTCATTTGACCAACAACCATCCAGCTTCCAATCCAATCATCAATTCGGCTACATGCCAGTGATGAATGATCAATACGGATTAGATCAATGGGCGGAACCGCAAGGGTTCCAACCAGTTTCTCACTCCCAACCTCACCCCGCCTCCACGAGCAGCTCAGGGCAGCTAGATGCCAATTGGCCATCTGACTGGTTACAAGCTGATTCTCACGTTTCTCCCAGAACCACCACATTTGCTGACAATTACTGGCCCGATGATTCCGTCGGCCATCCGCAAATGCCCCAAAGTTCCTTCCCGAGTGTCAATTCATTACTCCCCCAGCCAGACACCCCGGATTGGTCACTACTCGCGACGACAATCATTAATGGATCATCTCCTGATTCGACTGGTGATGCCACGAACAATGAGTTTTCACTAGATTCCGAGCAACCACGCCGCAGCCGAAAGAGACGTGCTGCTGAGGAGCTACATTCTGGGAGAACCTCTGCCGAGACTCTCGACCAATCTGGTGTCGGTAGGATGACTCCAGATATCGAACTTCTTGATCCATCCGATCAACAATCCGAACGAGTCCGATACCAAGCTACCTCCAATTCGTCTGCTGCGTCTACCAGTGTCGCTGGAGACATTGCTCTACTACAGAACGCCGCCCAGCTTGTTTCGAAGTCTCTTAGGAGAATCAAGCGAGCTCCTGCCGAGTATATCGGCTTGGGCGAAGAACTGCAACAATTGGAAGGGACCCTTGCCAGGTTGCAATCCAGCCAGCACGCTGAAAGGATAGTACCAGCCTCTGAACTTGCCATCGCACGCTCCTTGAGCGCACAGCTACAAGTCTTATCGACCACATCTTTCCATTCCAATGGAAGACGCAACAACCTCCAAGCTCTGCGTCCAGATTTCGCTCGAGAACTCCAGGTCAACGCACGGCGCCTGGTACGATCGCTCTGTGCAACTATCAACAGCGTGGAGGCTAGAACCGACACATCGACGGAGGACCGTCCAGTGTTGACTTCTAGCCGCAACGTGCAGTCTCAGGTCTCGCCATCCTACTCTCATGATGTGAGAGACACGCTAGGTTCTAGCTCAGATGGGCACAGTACTAGTAGTCCACAGAACTGGAGAAGCTCCTCCGTGGTCTCAGGCACTGCAGAATCTGGAGAGGTGCTTCACCGTGGCATTAGCAACGTCGAGCCACTGGACATAGATCTAGATGTAGATGGTGCTTGTTCAGCGAGAAGCCACGAACACGGCTATGTCGCTCCAGGATTACTGATGTCGCGCGACATCCTAACCCAACTGGGACACACGATTCTTCTGAAATCTACACCGAGTGACCTTCAGGCTCGTAGCGTGGAAGATTCGGAGGCAGTTGAGAGAATTGAGCCACCAGAGCAATCTCTTATTGACAGGATGGATTCAAATAGACTGGCACCATTGCTGTCTCCAGTGCCGACCCTCAACGAAGCTTATCGCAGAGCTTCGCCGTCTGGACCTACTAATTCGTTGACGAATATTATGCCAGAGGAGCAGACAGGTGGCCTTACTACCTCGCAACATCGTTATGCGATTGTTGCGACTTCATTCCCCCATACTGACCGTGTTCTTCGTGCCGACGATGTCGAAACCATACCTGGTGCATCCAGCACAACTACTACTGCACACGATTCTGCGAGTTCGCAAGAGGTGTTGCTATCCCACCGCAGTGTGGAGAATTCTCACCCAGCTACAACCAGCCAGCAACCTCCTACTGTTCTTCAGGCAGTACCTCTGGGTGTATTGCACCTTCAATCCAGCTTTGCCAGAGCGCTCGCGGTCCTCGGATCCATGGCTCTTGCCTCCAGCGTATGGCGCCCCTCTTACCTAATCTGACCCTCTCCCCTTTCATTTTCTAACTGTTCCTAGATCACCTCAAGAATGAGTATCTCGGCCCATCTACCATACCTCATCCCGCTCCTCGCCCTCTCACTCCTGATCCCAGAACAACACCGCACCTCGCCCCTCACCACCGCCCTCATCGCAGGCACCTTCCTCCTCACCTCAGGCCTCACCCTCTCCGGCATCCAAGATCTGAGAGACACTTGCGCCCAATGGATCGGAGGCGATCCATTTTCCGCAGCTGCGAAACTCCTTTTAGTTGCCACGCTCATCTCTTCCGAGCTCCTCTCCTCGATTAACCTCTCGGTAATGGCTGTAGCGGCCATGGATTTCCTCTCTGGAACCCGGGATACTTGTTCCTCTGGAACTGCTGTAAGGGTAGGTGCTGCCAGATTTTGCCCCCACCTGCCCCCCGGAATTCCTTGAATAGAGCTTCTGCTGATAACATCAATAGGTTTCACGAGGACAGGCTTCGGAAGATAGATATGTACAGGGTATTTACGCTTCTTGGTTAGGAATGATGGATATGCTGAGCCCGGTGGTTGCTGTTTGATGTTGCTCCGATTGAACATGGTGATCTAAGTGAGGTGGATGATGGACGGATGATGGGTATGATTGATGTTGTATCCGAGATGTTCTCGTTGATAGATAATCCATCTTTCATCGGCCCTGGATATACTGTTTTTTCTTCTTCTTCAACTTCAAGGCGCCGTCACCGGCGGCGATGCACCACTCCTTGAGACTGTGTCCCTCGCCCAAGTGCCGGATAACCGGAACCCCAAACAACAATCCGTGTCCCTACTTAATGCCCAACTCCCCTCCGATGCCAAGAAATGGAATGAGATTGTCGCCCACCATTTTCGAGGAAGTCTCGCTTGTAAGCCTACAATAGCAGTTGCTGTCTGCAATGTGACGTGTTGTTCCGTCCTGAGAGCACCTGTTCCTGGTGTTGTGGTGTGGCCTGGTTGCATTTCAACTGCAATTTTAGAACTCCTTATCTACTTGTAGTCTCTGAAGTAGTCCTAATTCGGAGATTGGCAGAGGAAAGACAAAGGCGTGGAAAACCCCCGAGATAGATATCGACCTTGGAAGTTCTAAATAGATCTATCCCTCAAGCATTCCTCAAACCTATTGTGAATGGAGATTGACTGGACGTGGAAACCCAGGTTCTATTGGTATCTGATTTCGAAGTTTCTATTGTTCGCGTTGAAATAGAGTTTATTTATATATTTTCTTTGTATAGAGGCATATGTGTAATCGGATTTGGTTAGGAAAGATGTCTCGAACTATCTAACAGTCTTCGTTGAATGGGAGGGGAGAATAACCTGTTCGTTCCAACTGTTCAAAAAATGCTTCTATCTGGCTTGCAAGCCACCTTGCCAAATCTTCTCTGATTGCGTCCAAATAAATATTCAATCTACGAAGGCGGTCTTCAAGGACGCCTGTCTCCATAACAAAAACTCTGTGCACTAGTTCCTTGATATTTACTTGTCGTCTAGCATGCTTTAAACTTAAAGCGTATATACGATCAGAGCTAAGATCGCTTTGCCAAATACGAAGACCTATCAAGGTATGAAGGGAATTCTGGGTTTGAAGTTTGCTTCCGAGTTCGGAAGATTTACTGTCAAGCATTCTTTGCAAATACTCTAGACAGGCTCGATCTCTGCATCTGATATTTGCCTGACGACCAAAAGAAGCTATTTCAAAAGTCGTCCAGACGGTCCAAGATGAGACCAGCCGGGCCTCCGGTATAAGTTGTGATTGAGGAAGGCCGGTCAGCTGAAAAACCCTGTCACAAAAGTACTCTTTTCGACACAAAAGCCAAAGAAGAAGGCGCAGGCCTTGCAGATATTTGACCATGCGCAACTTGGTCTCAAAACTAGCTGCCTCGAATTCCGGATCAGGTAGCGCAAGAGGCTCGAAATGGGCTTTCCCACATCGGTATCTCACTGTGACCGCCAGGTCAACCAGTTTATTTACTTGAGCCGGAATGATTGAATGATCCGCGGTCTGCTGGACGAGTTCTGAAAATACTCCCGGTATAGAAGGTACCTCCTCGTGTGGGGATTTTGGCAAACCATGCTTTCGAGGTTGTGGTTTCAGTATTTTACGACGGGTCTTGGAGACTTGTCGGTTCTTGGTAGAGATGCCCAAGAGTGAGCGTTGGATTGCTGCGAGAGTAGCATCCAGCCTCTCAGCTTGGACGCAAGTCGTTTGATGAGAAGTTGCCTGTGATTTCTGGATATCGTGTAGCGTCTCATGGATCTTGCTAGTCGACCTCGAGATCTCCGCTGTCTCGGCGAGGCTGGTGCTTTGAAGACCAGCAGCAGTTTGAACTCTTTCTTTGATTTTCTCCAGATGGCCAAAAGTAATTTGCTGAGAGGACAATTGCTTTGCTGTGAAATCGTCGATCTTGGAATCTATACCCTTGATATCCAGGCCTGTCGACAACTCGAGATCCCTGTAGCCGTCAGTAATATGCTTTGGAAACGTCGAGGGAGTTTATACACAGTCAGTAGCTCCATCATAAGTACTAGCTGGTCTCGATGAGACGATATCTTCGACCTCGTCTCCGCAAACCGCCCCGCATCAGCAGCAAGCTTCAATTTCTTAACAGCATTCTTGGCCCATTTCCCATCCTCCACCTTCAGCGCAGCCATGCCGGTATTCCAAGCCTCCAGATCAGCGGTGCATCGTGCGACTCCCTCCTGCAACTTCGCAATTAATTCATATGTTCGCGCCGAATATTTCTGTGCTGATCGATCAGAGGTAATTTGCTGAATCGATTCAAGTGTCTGACTGAGTGCTCGAATCTCGCTGATGATAGCCTCGACCTCACCTGCAACTCGCGGAAGCTTGTGGCAGAAAGTGTACAAAGTGGACGCAGACTGGACGGCGAGACCTGCGAGGCTTATGAGGCGCGCGGCACCCGATGCTAAGTCCATGGCCGCGATGCGAATGAATCATCGCGATGTTGGGCAAGTGTGAAAATGAGGTTCAAGAGAAGGCTGCGTGAACACGGTTGGTGGCTTGCACAGCCTTCTGCGGGCGTCACATGCTGCCATTCGCTGAAGTGTGCTTTGTACCTTGTACTTGTACATTTTTTCCGAAGATATGGAAGACTTAGAGTATACGTTTATCTTCAAGAGTGTCAAGTGTTCATAAAATTCAATTATGAGTGGAAAGGAACACTGTCGATTTCGACACTTCAGAGGTTCTTCCTTTCCCGGCTGACAACGCAAGTTTGCTGGAAATACGCTCCTGGGCTGGCCTCACCGTAAAGCAGATAAGAGCCTCAAAAACACACTGTATATTAAATCAAAAAAGGAACCCGTTCGCCATTCTCACAATATCTTCTCTAAAACCCAAAACGCCGATGCTAGCCCTCTTCCCTTCTCCACCCCTCTGTATCACACACTCACGATCTCAGCGCCCTCAACCTCTCGCCCAAACCGTCCTCCTCCACTTCCGTCGGACCACTCTTAACCGGCGCCGCCTTAACAGCCTGCGCGCCCTCCATCTCCTGATGCAGCTCCACACCCGCCTCATCCGCAACCTGGTTCATAAGCCTATCGACATCTTCCTGCGGCGTACCGACTGCAGTAGCGGATGTCGTTGCGTTCTCGTAGTATCCGGTCGCGACATCGAGGTCTTCGAATTGTGTCTCGAAGCGGTCCATTACTGCTGAGATCTACACCTCCTGTCAGCACCAAAGCAATCCTGTCTATAGAGAGCAGTGAAAAGCGGGGGAGGGCACACCTTCTCCAAATCCATAGCCTTCATGGCCTGATCCATACCCTTCACCACATTCATCATGCTCCCCGTAACCTGACGCATCGTGACCGCCGTCTGCACTCGACTGGCAACCGCATCGATCCGGCTTCCCAGCCTCAGCAGATTCAGTCGTTCATTTTGCTTGCGGATCGCGTTCTGGGCGTAGATCTTTGCGATGTCGTTGTGGCCTTGTTGGATTGCCTGCATGTTCTCATGAGCCTTTCGCTCTGGGAGATGTGGGATTGAGGGAGGGGGGCACACCTTCTTGAGCTTGTCTTTCTCTGTCTTCTCGTCCTTGCTGGCTTTTGCTGCTTGGCGGTTCAGTTGCTTTGCTGTGAACTATTTCCACAACAATCAGCCTCTGTCCAGAGCTGGGGGGGTCTAGCGCAGAGAGAGGTGCGAGGCAGCGTGTCTGCCAACTTGCGATAAGCGCTGAGACGTACCTTCAGATTGAACAGCGCTTTCTCGAGTCCCGACATGATGACTAGATTGTGTGGAATATGCAGGTGGAAGTATGGAGTACTCGAAGTCGATATGTCGAGGTCGTTGAATGTTCAGTGCGATGCAGAAGTTGGTTGAGGCAGCCTTGTGGTTCTCGCCGGAGCCTGTGACGTTGCTCGGCTTTGCCTACTTGGTCGCTAGCGCCTCCCATAATATCAACTTTAGAGACCGGGTCCGCACAAGATATCTACCCCGCGATGACACCCCGCCAAGTGCTCTTCAAGCTCACTTAACTACTTTGTTACATTTGTTCTTACTTTCCTTTCACTCATTTTCCTTCTGCGCAGTAGGAAGCACACCACCAAAATGCCACCAAAACCAAAACTCAATGTCCAGAATTTCCCTCGCCCGCCATTACTGGAAAGAACACCCCGCCATCTGCAAGTCAAGTGGCACGGGCAGACGATCGCAGATACGAAAGATGCATACTGGGTGCTGGAAACGTATCATCCGCCCAGTAACCTCACCTTCAATTCCTCCAACAGTTTATTGTCATGATTCTGATACTGTCAAGCTTATTATATCCCAAAATCCTCCCTCTCCATCTCCTTGACACGCACCCAGAAATCAACATTCTGCGAGTGGAAAGGCTGGGCTACGTATTTCTCCGTCACCGGTGAAGAGGGGAAAGAGACAGTAAAAGATCGGATCTGGAGCTATGAGAGTCCGAATGAGGCGTATAAGGAGATTAAGGGGTATGTGAGTCTTTACGCGGGGCCGTGGGAGTGCTTTGTTGATGGGGAAGAGGTGAGGCCGCAGCCGGGAGACTTTTATGGTGGTTGGACGACGAGCGAATTGGTAGGGACTATTAAGGGGGATGCAGCAACGAGATGGTTATAGGCTTGTGGGAGGTAGAACAGGAGGTGTATGATATGACGACATGTTGTGTACGAGTATATGACGGCTTATTTCTGGTTCAGTTGGCGGAAAGAGGCGAGAGGTGAGAGATGAGAGGTGAACCTCGACTGGCCAGCGACCGAGTCGCACACTATCCTATTACATTCACGTTTGGTCAAGTGACCAAAAAGGATGCTGTCTTTCAATTCACGTTACAAAAGGTTGGGCAGACATTTTCGCTCACATGTCCGAAGATTCTGAGTATTTGAAGTTCAATCATGCTTCTTATTCTTGTTGCTTCACGCAGCTCGCATCTATATTACAGTGCTCTATGCACAAACCATTGTTCGTCTTCCCCACCCATTATACATGACATCAAGCCACGTTCATCTCTCATTTCATGCTGGCCGTCTGACCGTAAAGTCCCAAATCGGAACCAAGTGTTTCCCCCAATGTTATGCGAGCTGGTATCAGAAAGAGAAACGCCTCAAATGCATATATATCCTCCCAATGCTATGCTCTTCCCTCCCTGCATCTAGGGCAGGATAGGACAGAGTATGATCTTTTTTACAAGATCAAGACGGCGAAGAAGAGCGTGGCGAAGCTGGCTCCGATCGCGATGCTGTTCTTACCAGCTGAGCTGGTAGTTTGTTGTGTAGGTGTGCTGCTGGCTTGGATGGTGCTGTTCGAGATGCCGCTCGCGCCATAGGTGGTCTGTGCCGGTGTGGCGGTTGAAAGAGCGACACCAGCATTTCCAAGGGTCGGAGCACCTGTTACGAGGACTGCGTCGGCACTTGAGGTTCCTCCAACAGTCGTGAAGACGACTTGAGGAACGGTGACGACAGTGCTGATGGTGGTGGTGGTGTAGCTTGATGGAATGATGTATCCGGAGGAGACACCGGTGGTTTCTGTGCAAGGAACTGTCACAGTGGTCTGGACTGTGATTGTAGTCACTGGCACAGCGGTCTGGGAAACGGTCGCAATGACGCTGGAAGCGCATGTGACGATGGCTGGGTTGGAGGGAATATAGGGTGCGCAGATACCCTGGAAGTAGGTCTGGGCGAGGCTGATCTCGGTATCCGAGGCACCATACGCAGACAAGCAAGAGAAGACGTTGGTAACAAAGTCGGTTGATGGGCAGAAGCAGTTAGTATCAGTATTGGAACTGCAGCCTTCGATGAAAAGCCAGGTGTTCAAGCACTGAGGCAGGACATCTGGGCAGGTTGCTGTAGTTATTGGTCCGCTCGATGTCGTGATAGTTGTGGGCACGTAGACGCCTGAGTTGGTGGAAACGGCAGCTGGGGTTCCGACGGGAGATGATGTGGATTCGGCCTCGCATCGCGTGCAGATGGTCTTTGTTGTCGTCAAGAGGATGGTAGATGTCGATGTGGAAATCTCAATGCTGGTGCCATTTCCAGAGGTGTGGGTTTTTGTGACTGGGCAAAGAGTAGTCGTGGTGTCGACGACAACAGTGGTAATGACCTCAACGACGCTGGACGAGGTCGATGTTGTGGGCGGTGACGCTGCAGGAGATGACTCGGTAGCATAAACACTGGAGGTTGTCTCAACTTGGTTGGGTGTAGACGTGCTGGCAGCAGGCGACGGAGATGGAGTAGTCTCAACTTGCTTGGGTGTGGACGTACTGGCAGCAGGCGATGAACCTGGAGTAGTCTTAATCTCCTTGGTTGAGCTCGTGGTGAGAGTAGGAATAGATGATGTCGTGGCCTTGACTGGAGTTGACGTGGACGTGGTGTGATACTTTGTGCTTGAAGCAGAGCTGCAGTCAAAACCAATGCTGTGGACACCAATGCTGCAGCTGCTCTTTCCCTTTCCGCTTCCGGAAGATTGAGAAGGGTAGACAACCGTCACGTTCTTTGCACCTCCACACTGAGTGTTCTTCACAACGCTGCCTCCAGAGCTGCAAGAATGGGTCTGCTTGCATGTAGATCCGCCGGGCATGCTGTAGTGGAACTCAAGATCACAGTCAAACTCAACACTGATCTGAAGTTCATTGACCGAGAACGCGGAAACATCGGACGAGGAACCGCATCCAAAGCTGGGGCAGCTCGAGATATCAGATTGAGCTTTGCCGGTGATGCATGTGTTCTGGGCTATGTCAGAAAAGGGGGTCAAACTAAGCTGGTTGAACGTGCCTGGAATGTTCGTTTACTCAAGCTATCACGCTTGGAGCCGCTGCCGAAAGAGCTGGCGCAGGAGAAACCACCGAAATTAAGGCCGCCATATTGGGAGAAAGATCCAAAACTGAGACCGCTCCAGTCAAAACCAGAGGATTGCTGAGTATTGCATTGGTTGTTTGTGTTGGCAGGGCAAGAGAAGGAAGGGGCATTAGTCCATCCCTGTGTTATCGTCAGTCGAATAATTCTTGAAAGGTGTAATGTTTACATACAGCAGATGCCAGTTGAAGGCTTGAAGTCAGAGCAACGATAGTGGAGAGTGTAGACCTCATGGTGAAGTTGTGATAGAAACAAGTTGCTGTTCAACGAAGGTTTGGTGAGAATATATAGCTGGTAGTTCGATATGAGATAGCGAATGTACTTTGCGAGGGCTTATGAGATAACAAGAAAAAGAATGAGGCCAAAGAAGCGAATGACTTTGGAACTCAACAGGGCGAGAGCAAGTAATAATAGAGAGAACAAAAGACCTGGAAGGGATGAAGAGGAAAAAAGGGCATTACAAGAGGATCTCAGGATGTATTATATCTTTGGAAACTGTTGGTTCTCGTGGGCCACGGCCTTCACAGCCTCCCTCCTTGGACCCTCTGTCTGCCCCCCCATGTCAACCAGTCAAGACACCTCCTTCATGCGGGCAGGGGACGAGGATGCCTGCCTTGGACTGGACCCACGGTCAAAAGGCCCCGTACTTGGAGACCCATGCTTTGGCGCGCGTTTTCAGAGGGCGAGGGGGCAAAGGAGGCCGGCAAACGTGTGGCTCGCTCTGACGAGAAGAAGAACGTGGCGTGGAGTGAAGCTTGAGTTGAGGTCTACGAAAATGAAACAACAGGAGGTCTGCGCCAAGCAGCGGCGAACTAATGCAGGTACAGTGGGATGGGGGCAGCCAGCCACTTAGCGCCCTGGATATGGACATGGGATGAGCAAGAATGCCTGCAATTGTCCGATCTGGCTGCCGATGGAAGGTCTGAGCTTCCTCACCAGATCTTTCTCGGGACGGCGGATTCTCGGATGCGTCAAAATGATCTTGGGAGCGCCGGGTGAAGTTCTCAATTTGGGCCAGTCTGAGCGCTGAGCAAGAAACTGTCCTTTCTGACTGTTGCGTTTCCAGACACCGCCATTTCTTTGAGAGCAATTTGCGAGCCCAAAAGCTCGAATTCCTGGGAAGACTTGGTCAACTGTCCAAGGGTTGACCTCGAAACGATGGCTCATGGCTTTATGGCCCGAATAGGAGGGTCGATGCTGGATCTGTCCGAGAGTTGTTTTTAGAAGTTCCCCTGAGCCGCTGGCGGGCGCAAGCGAATGGTTGACGGGGGTCGCTGCTGATGGCGCGTTTGAAATATCCTCCAATCAAAGCATTGGTTGGATTTCCGTCACCAACATCGCGAAACGTTGCACAGTAGGGATGCGCTTACAGGAATTGCTTGCTAGTATTCTTGTATCTTGGTCAGACACAACTGCTATTCTGAGGGAACTGGACGAATGGACCGCATCGACAAGTTGCAATTTAACTGACGGTGGGACGGTGTTTAGCCCTTGTTTCTCCACAGAGGTCACAGTGAGAAAAGAGGTCCAAACGACTCGGATCCTCGGTCTGTCTTGCACTCTCGGTGTCACGGACTCAGAATTTGAGCTCTTTCATCGGAGGTAGAACTCACGGCAGGTCCAGCCGCAACTTCACCACCCAACCGCTCAAACTTCACATCTCTGCGAGCCTGCTAAGAAGAATCTGGGGGGTCGCTACGAGCGATCTGCCCAGTTGTCTGAGGGATCCAGAACAGGAAACACCTCCAAATGAAACGGTGCCCAAAATGGCAAGACTAGGTTCAGGATCTCCACCTTGCCCGGTTCGCGGCGGATCATCGAAACCCTGAACGACTCGGAGAGACGGAAATGCAGTCGGAACAAGACATAACTGCGGTGGGAAACTCCATTCACGGCACAACGTGCAGATACGGATTCATGTTGCTGCCAGGTACCCGCGAGCTAGGAAGACACGGAGAGTCAGTGCCTCTGAGTTTCTAACCTCGTAAGAAAGGTTCTTTCCTTCAGGCTTCACCCGGTGCCGGTCTCGCCACGAATTGCTGTTCCTCAAATTTACCCTTACGACGATCTGCTGGCTGACTCGAATCCTGATGGCCGAACATCAACCAGCCTCTACTTGGTATACCCGCCAGCCGCCAAAAGAACTTGAAGACCGCGATCGTGGCCCATTTTCGCTTCAAGTTCTGTCTGTGCACGCTGATCTTGATATCTTCTGTTTGTTGTCAAAAAATTCATCCCTGAAATGCATCCACATGAAACGAAGTCGAGAGCTCGGTTGGCTTGACAAAGAAAGTCTCGCCGTGTGGGGAAGCTGGCGGGTTTTGACGATGAAACGCTGGGCACACGAGTTTTGCGCACTGTGATTGGTTCACATCTAGGATAGGGGGAAGCCCAGTGAGGCTGTGCAAGCCCCATCGGTTCGGGCAATGCATTTTGAATTTTCGATCTGATCGAAAACATTTTCTTTTACGAGTTTTAAACTTCCTTGCTTCTGCGATCATGCTGGTGGTGATCGCGTTTTGCATTACTTTGCCATAAGTTGTGATGAACTGTTTATGCGGTTGCATAAAGTTGGGAGGCTGTGTTGGGCTTGATCAGGAAAGAGGGAAACATCAACGCCCCTCTTGGAGTCGAGAGCTTGGGTGTCCTTGGGAAGATCGGTGATCGGCTTAATGCCCTCAGTTCTCCGGATCTCTTCATGCTTTCCCTCGCGAAATTCTTTCCCCTTTAAAATTGGTTATGGGCTACAATGGAGTGTCAAGGTATTCCATGACGAGGGTTTGTTATTGTATGCGGCCGTCTGATGACGACGACAAGCCGAAAGAAGGTTTGGCATCGAGGCTGGTCTTAATAGAGCCGCGAAGCGGCGGAGATTAGGTTTGTCACCTCAAGCATCTTGCTCACTTCACAGCCCCTGTAACATTTCGGGATCGATATTTTTGGCCCTCTCAAGTGGAGGTCGACTTACATGGTTATCAGAAATATTTCCAAGGCAAGTGATGATAGCCTATGACATTCCCCAAATAATGTTCATTCCATGTTTCTTGCCCAATGGTGACGAGTTCGTCATCATGGCGATCTGCATCAGGCAACCACGTTTCAACAACATCTCAACTTCCTGTTCTATCCAAGTTCTCTTCACATTCAGAAGACAAAGTAGGAATTAATAGGGCGGAGATGAATAGCATACAGTTGAAATTCGACAATAAAATCCTCCACGAAAATATCTGATCACCGACTGCGGTTTCAAATTGAGTCCAGGCATCCAAATTCCTGCACATATACATCCCATCCAACACCTCTCTTTTCCTCGACACATCAATTTCTCACACACTTCCAATTGCCTCACCCAATCAAAATAATGACAACCCTCATCCTCTCCAACGAGGAATTCATCCTCTCCCCTCTCTCGCTCCCGGAAGAAGCCCCCAAGATCCTACACCTGCACTACCAAACCGTGCTCTCCACGCTCCAGCACGGCCAATCCGCGCCTATCGAAGCAGAGTTTAGGTCTCAAAATCTCCCATCTCTCATCAATCGCTTCAGCCACCCAAACTCAATATCCTACCAGTTTTCCCCAGCATCCGACCCAGAGAAACTTGTCGCTTATGTATATTTCAGACCTCCTTCTCCCCCGGACACCAGGACGGTGGAAGAAAGGGAAATGGAACTTAGGGAGGAGGTCGAGAAAAGCACTAGTAGGACGAGTAAGGAATTGTTGTTTGCTTTGAAAGCGGAGAATGGGGAGTTGAATGAGAGGTATTTTGGGAAGGGGTATGAGGAGAGGTTTTGGGAGTTGGAGGCGCTGGTTACGGATGAGGGATATCAGAGGAGGGGATTGGGGAGTAGGTTGGTGGAGGAGGGATGGAACGAGGTACAGAAGCGGGTGAGGGAGGAGGAGGGGAGCAAGGTAGAAGGTGTTTATTTGGTGGCTAATCCGGCGGGGAAGAGGACGTATGAAAAGGCTGGTTTCAAGTTGTTAGGTGGTAGGCCGGTAAGGCGTGAGGGAATGAGGGACGATCATATGCATCTTTGGTTTGTGAAAAGGTTTGAATGATAGAACGATAGACTCGTGATTGACCCAAAAAGAGAAGGAAATCCCTTTCGCGGGCTCAATTGAAAGTTAGACGCGTTGCAATGTTCAAAGATGCTTCGGCTTGCATTAATTCCTCACACAAGTTCGCATCCTTCCAACTGCTTTGAGTCATCACACAGATACCCAATATCTAACTGAGAGTGGGGAGTTCGTCGAATTTCCAGTTCCGTCCTTCACAGCACAACACCACTCCTATGCGCATGCTGCACAATCTCCGCAATCTTCTCCCTCACGTCCTCCCCAACCACATCCCCAACCAACCAAAGGGCAGCATCGATCCCCGAACTCACACCTCCCGCCGTGATAATCCTCAGACCCGCTCCCACATCCGTCCTATTAACCACAAACCTCTCCTCAACAACCTTCGTCTTTCCCTCTCCCTTAACTTTAACAATCTCCCTCAACTGCCCATAGTACCTCGGATGTGTCGTTGCCGTCATTCCATCCAATACCCCCGCCTCAGCAAGGAATAAGCTCCCCGTGCAGACACTCAACAGGACCCGCACACTCCCGTCCTCTTTCTTTGGCAAGGCGGCAAAAGCTTCAATTAGATCCAGCGGTTCGGTTTTCCCTTCCAGCACGCCGGGAGAGCCACCTCCGGGGATAACCAGGATATCGTAGGAGGCGAGTGTCGAGTGCGCGAGGGCCATGGGGATGTCCCGCTGGAAGGTGAGACCTTGGTGTGTGGTTGTGAGGGGCGTGATGGAGGTGATGGTGTGTGTGAAGGCTGGTGTTGGTGCGGAGGAGGAGGAGGGATGCGTTGCATGACTGAGGATCTCCAGGGGCCCGGTGAAGTCGAGGGTGTCGAGATCCGGATGTACGGCATAGAGGACTTTGAGGGGGGTGGGGGTGGACATATTGCGGTACCGTGGTTAGTGGGGATCGGGGTGTGGTTTAGGGCTTGAGCAAGAATTTGGAGAAGAGGAATAGGGGGGGAACAACAGCTTTTATACCCACGTTAGCTATATCGCACTACATGAAAGACTGAGACTGAGACGAAAGAAAAGTGATGGAGGGGCAAGAACAAGCAGAATAGAGCAGCCGTTCACCGACTTGTTGATATGACAAATCGAATACAATTATCAGTGAGCATGGGCATTCAGTGCAATCCGACGACGTCGGAGAGAATCATTGCAATGACGGATCTGTTGTCGAGTAAAAATTATCGAAGGTCCGGAACGGATGTAGGAGAAGTTGAAGATGGGGATGGGTCAAAAGGATTGGGGAGAAGAGTGGATTTATCATATCGATAAATTCGCACCACGGATGGGTGCGAAGTGACAAATATCTTTATCTACGCACTCTGTTCCCAACCTCCGCCAAAAAATCTCTGCAACCGGGGCAAAAACAAAAATTGCAAAAACATACAACAGCAGGTATTCGCTGGTGGTCACCCACCCAACTACTAATCTGCCGATCTGAGGCTTGTGTATGGCAGAGCGGACGGGATGCCCAATTCTCCTCAGTCTATGGTCGTATGTGATTATAATTGTCGTAATTGAGTACTTAAAGCACAACATTTAGGATTCACGAATCGAGCACGTGGACCTGCAAAAGCCCAATTCTCTTCGGTCTATAGGATCACAGTTCTAGGAATTGGGTTCTACAGATCTCGGAACCAAGATTTTGGACTGCCGCTTTTTGGAGGCATCTACCACTAAAAGCGCGAAACGAGCACAGACAGGGACCCGCAAAGCTGATGCCTAAATCTCGCGCATTCATCCGAGGGGATTTTGTCGTTGTGTGTCGGATAAGCGAGACAATGCCCCCCATGCCGCACGTTGGTTGGGCGCTACGCCCTGCTCTTGTGATCGAGCCTGGCGACACAGCTGCAGCTATCGGGCCCTGATAGGCACCCATCTAAAACCTTCCATAAGCGCCCTCTCCTCCCTTTACTAACAATGTATAATCCGCCTTACTCTTTACCTGCCCTACCCCAAGTGTTCCTACCCCCTCTAATTTAAGAGGCCGACAAGACTCTCAAGCCTACTCTTATCTCACTGCTGCTTCCTTTTTTTGATGAACAAGCATGGAACGCTTCCAATTCTGTGAAAAATGTATTGAAAAGCTAGAAACGGCGGCCGGATATGTTATTCCATGTCAAGAATGTGTGGACACCAGAACACGATATCGAGATCATATTCAAAAGGACAGAGCATACCGTTCGCATTTGGCAAGACAATCGGCAGGCTACCCATGCGATATTTCTAGTCACTGTCCCCACCATAAGCCTGGAGACCAGTTCTTTCAGCCGCCGACCGTTACCCGAAAATACTCACCGAATGAGCTTGACTCGTATCGTGGGCTTGTCCAGAAAGCTTTCCACCAATTCCGGAAATATGGCCCCTCTATCACAGCACTAGAGCTTTTGACAAGCCACAATAGCTCCATGGTCATATATTGCACGACGTGTCATACCAACGCAGTCAATGAGTTTGAGAACAATTCTCACATTGATCTGTGCGATGGGTGTGTAAAGAGAAGAGAAGAGTTTATCCAGCTTCATCACAGCCACCAAAATACTTTCTTGGAGCCCTGGGAGAATTTTCACAGCTTGAATCGGGATTACTTCGGCACTGGAATACCTTTTGCAGTCCTACGAAGCTTTGAATATGATGCCTACTTCGACGTTTTGATTGGACAAAGTGGTGGCGGCGGGGAATTTTCGGATATATCGCCCATGGCAATTATATTTGGAGCACTAGGGACAATAAGAACATTTGCAGGCGTTGCGGCAACTGTTCACTATGCTAGGAAGCAACCGAAAATGGCAAATTCGGTTAGTACGGATGAGGAGAGAGGCGCAACGGCTGGTGCTGTCGAGCTCACGGAACTCAGTTCTAGAAGCGTCACTGCAGATCAGACGCCGCCACTGGAAGACACAGAAAGCGCTTCGATTTCCTCATTCCATACAGCTCTTGAATAGGACGCTGGTGTGGAGGTGGATGATACGCAGGATGTTGTTGAGTAGTCCGATACACAGAATTATAGGTCGCATTCGGCAAGGGAATTCATGGCATAGGGGCGGGTACATACGTGGTGAATTTATTCGTAGACGCAGCTATTTACCAGCGGCAGCAAAACAATTTTTGGAAGAAATATCCGCAGAAGTCTCATCATTGCGGAGATTGTGCCTTTTTAAGGAGAAACCACGCGTAAGAAGGTGATATTGCACAGCTCGTCTCTTCCTGGGATTTTATAGAAGGTTTCCATAGTTGAACGCGATTTAGTCTGGGGGGAGTCTTCTATAAGGTCTAGGGGCAGATCTCTAGTTGCAACTCTTCGCGGACTCAATTATATCGTCATCTCAAGTTTTATGGCCACAATCTACTTATTCAATCGCCAAGATTCTCTTCAGTTCGGGCCATTGAGATTAAATTATAAGTTATGGAGTACTTATTCCACATCTGACTTCTATTAAGGCTCGTTTGAGAACTACAGGCGAATCATACAATGGGTCAAATAACGAATAATAAGTGCCGTGGCAATGTAGGGCCACCATATAGATTCTTCACAAATAATCTGTCCCTTCCCGTCGTTTCTTGGCGGTATTCAGGGCCACTTCGATGAAGTACGAGTGTGTATAACAGCGAAGTTGTACAGCCATGGTCATCTGCTGTCCAAGAAGTCTAGACGGATATCCCGAAGAGAACCCACGCCACGATATCTCTTACCATTCTTTACATAATGAAGGCCACATACCCACTTATTCTCACAATCCTGTCACTTGCCGTCTCCCTCACCTGCCTCGCCGACTTGGAACATAATCCGTATTTCAAATCTTACCCCATATAGACATTCACGATATCTTCTACCAGGACAATTTATACTAGTCAACACCTGCCCACATGGCCACTGCTAATGACCAGTGTCAAATGATTAGGTTTGATTTGATTAGACCCCCCTACTCAAATCAAATCAAGTCAAAATCAAGCTAATCAAATCATACTTAATTATAATCAAAGATAATCAAAGATAATTAATTAGATTTATCACGTGATTACGCACATGACTCTAGAGCTTCGGAAGCCGAGATAAGGCTAAAATAAGGTCTGGGCTAGCCGTATTCGGTATTGCTAAAGGCGCTCTTTACTAAACCAGGCCTAGCGCTAATTAGTAAGCGAAGCCAAAGGCGCTAGAACCTCCTTGATTTCCAGTGTTATCCCTTCGTCTGGCGAGACATAGTCCACGCTAGCAAGGGGGCCTGGCTCAGACTAGAAAGTCGTAGCTTCGGTTAGTCATCCATTGCCTTTTCGCCCTGTGGCAGGGCCCCTTACTAGCGTGGACTATGTCTCGCCAGACGAAGGGATAGTAGTAGTAAAGAGCTTGAATTAAGCTAAAGGCTATCTGCCAGGCTAAGGAAGCACTGGCCACATGCTAAGTCACGTGCAATAGCACCACGTGACTGGTACCACATAACAAAAACTAGTTTATTATTTTAGATTTAGACTAATTTTAAACTCTTATATATGCTTTATTGTAATGGGCACACGTGATGGCGCATAGACAGGTGTCAGATGTCGTGGATCTAGTTTCCTATTTTGAGTACAGCTTGCAATCGGAATCATATAGATCGCATGGGATTTCCTAATTAAGTAAAGGGCTTCGCATGCCTGGCTAAGTACTAGGGAATATATAGGGAGACGCTCCTAGCTTTAGAAGGGGCATTAATTAGTCTCTTGTTGGAATCAATTCTTGGAATTAGTTATACTTGCAAGCGTTACTCCGTAGCTTACTTACCTTAACTACTTATATATTACCCTGCTATTACGTGCCTTATATTCTAATTAACTTAACTTTCGGGGAGCAGTTCGTTACGAGGTAGTCAAGCCGTCGACAGACAAAACCACTAATAGCTAGAGTATTAACCAGAAGAAGCGCCTCTGCTATTACTAGGGCGACCTAGTCGGGTATCCAGGGAAGCGCCCAGTTAGCTACTCTAGCTGCCGCCTAATCAGGAGAAGGGAATGAAACTCAGATATCCCCAGAACTAGCTAGCAGGATAATAATAACGGAGAAGCTGGCGGCGGCTTATTATCGTATTACTAAGTTAGAAGCAGAGATATAATAGAGGGAGGATCTAGAGGATTTGGAAGCTCAGATTTGCCGTCTTAAGAATATTCGGGTACCTATTATAGAACCTATTATACTACTAGTAGTATATTTAGTTTATAGGACTCTAAAAACCCGAGAATTACTAACTTATAAGAAAAAGAGTATTAAGGAAGCCTAGGACTTCTTTTACTAGGCGGAGCTAAAATAGTATAAAGATAGCGGGATTATCTGGGTTACAGATATAGTAAAAGTCATATATTATGCTTCTTACTTTAAGAATATAGCCAGAGATATCTGAAAGTATAGGAAGTAATTAGTAGGAATTAATATTACGGATTAAGAGACCTTTATTAAGTTTATAAAGAATTCTATCTTGGATTCGGAGAACTATAATAATAATACCCTTACTAAGTTTAAGGATACAAAATAGTAGCTAGATTAGAGTATCTAAAGCTTTATATCTTACTTAGATAGCCTATTAGATAACTTAGGATATATGGATTTATTATAAAAGCAGGATAACTTATTTAGTAGCTTAAGATAAGAGATTCAGGATAAGATTAATTACTAAGGGAATACTTTATAAGAAAGAAAGAAGCTTATTTCTATAGCTATAAGAATTAAGAATAACTTAAACTAGTTTATTTAACGGGAATATAATAATAAGCTAATAGGTTAATAAAAAAAAGAAAATTAGAGAAAGAAAAAAGGGAATAATAAAAGGAAATAGAAGAGAAATATATTCCCGTTACAAGATTTATATAACCGGGATAATAAAAGTATAGTAACGGGATCTAATATAATACCCGTATCGGGATTTATAAGACCGGGTATAATTTGCTTTACTTGCTAGAAAAAGGGTTATTATATTATTACTTACCTAAATCGGGAAAAACCGACTTGCTATAACTATAATAAGTCTAGCCATAAGATATATAAATACCTAGAACTAAAAAAGCCGGGAAACAGGCACGCCCTATAATAGTTATACTTATTTATATTATAGAGGGCAAGGCCCCTAAAATAAGAATAATAATTAAGATTATTATTAAGATAAGAAAAAGTAAGTAAAAAATTAGAGTATTAATTAATTCGGGTATAAAAACTAATTATATAAAGAGGAAATTAGCTTTAGATATAAGTATTTTATTAATATTAAAAGTAATTTCCTTATTCTCGCTAAAGAAAAGAAGGATTTATTTATATAGAAATTATATTCTTAGAATTACTACTAAAAATATACTAGAGAACTAAAGAAAAGCTAATATATACTTTATATTATGTGATTTTAATTTGAACTATATTAATATAATACTTGAATTCCTATAGCTTTACTAGGTTAATTTCCTAATTTTCTTTAGGGAAATAATATAGAAATACTAGATTTAATTATAGAAAATTAAAGTTCTAAATACTAGAAAATTTACTAAAGTAATAAAATATAAAATATATATTTTTCTATTAATTACTTATTCTATAATAAATAGCTAAAAGATTATTACTATTACTATAAATAGAATAGCTATATTTCCTAGGAAATATTAGAATTTTTTTCAAGTATTCTTTATAGAGACTATAGACATATTACCCGACTATTATATAATAGAGTATTATATAGATCTGAAATCAGGATCCTAATTATTATATAATCCTATATATGCTTTATTAGAAAGAAAGCTTAAAGTTCTTCGGAAATATCTTAATACTAGCTTAGAAAAAGAATAAATCCGTTATTTTACTAGCCTAGCTAGTATCCTAATTATATTTATTTCAAAGAAAGAAGGCGGCCTATATTTATATATTAATTACTAGGGTCTAAATAAAATTATTATTAAGAACTAAATATTATTATTATTTATTAGTAAGATAATAAATAAGCTTTATAAAATAAAGATATATATAAAGCTAGACTTAAAAAATACTTATTATTAGTTATAAATATAAGAGAATAATAAATAAAAAATAATATTCCGAATATATTATAGATATTTTAAGTACTATATTATATCCTTTAAATTATCTAATACTCTAGTAATATTTCAGGCATATATTAACTATATACTAGTAGGCCTTATAGATATTATTTGTGTGATTTATCTAGATAATATTTTAATTTATTTAAAGAACCTAGAATAGTATATAATAGTAGTCTAATATATACTCGAGTAATTATAGTAATACTAGCTTTTTATAAACTTAGTAAAATGCGAGTTTAATATAGAGAGAATAAAGTTTCTAAGATTTATAATTAGCCTAGATAGTATAGAAATAAAAGCTAGCCGAGTTATAGCTATTAGGAAATAGCTAGCCCTAAAGAATAATATCCGAGAAGTTTAAGTATTTCTAGGTTTTACTAACTTTTACTAGAGGTTTATTTATAAATATTCTAGAGTAGTAAAAGAATTAACTAATTTACTAAAAACTAGCAGAAAACCACTATATTAGTTTAGCTAGATAAATAAGGCAAATAAGGCTTTTAGGAAGTTATAAATTATATTTATAATAGTACTAATTCTTTATTATTTTGACCTAGCCTTAAAAATTTATATGAAAATAAATATTTTAGGATTTATAATTATAGGTATAATTTCCTAGCTCTTTAGTAAGGGAATAGAAGCTAGGTAATACCCTATTACTTTCTATTTAAAAAAGATAATTATAATTAAGAGTAAATATAAGATATATAACTTTAAACTTTTAGCTATTATTCTAGTATTTTATATTTAGTAGTATTACCTAGTATATACCTAATATACTATTATTATTAAGATAAATTATAATAACTTAAAATACTTTATAACTAAGAGAAAACTAAATAATTAATAAATAAGATAGGTAAAGAAGCTAGCTATCTTTAATTTTATCTTAGAATACTAGCCGGGATATAATAATCTCACTAATAGGCTATTAAGAAGGCCAGACTTTATAATAGATATAAATAAAAATACTTTATTACTTATACTTTATAATAAACTATAGAATATAGAATAGAGAACTTTATAAGTAACGGTAATAGGATACTATACTATTCCTATAATACTATAATATAAGGCTTAGAAAAGAGAAAATAAGTATTTCTTAATTAGCGAGATACTAAGAAATTTTAAAAAGAAAGTTTATTTTAGTAATGAAATAATACCGGAAATATTACTACTTGAGCCTATTACTAGTATAGCTAGTTATAAATAGTACGTATTATAAATTCTAGCTATATAAATAGCTAAGTCCGAAATAGTATATAAAAAAAGCAGAGAAATATTACTTAAATTATTATTATAATACTAAAGGCTTAATCTATTAGTATAATAC